GATCGTTAACTAGTAATGTTTTACATCGTTCAAAGCAATTAATATATTCTTGGTTAAGATCAATTTTGGAACCCTTTTTTAAACATTGGGTCATGGGTTTAGCGACTCTAGTGTACACTGGCATATCGTCGGTGGTTTTAATGGAGTGCTTTATCTTATTTGTAAAAGTAAGCGCTTCACCTTCAATGTAAAAGACATCTGAATACTGAGCACACAACGATTCTAAATTGGATTTTTCTTCTGGATTTAAATGTTCTGTACGCAACCTAGAAAGTACTTCCTTAACTCGCGACGGATATTGTTCAGTACATTCGAAGTTATGGATTTCAGCCACAAGAGCTCGGTCCATAGAGAAAATAACATCATTTCGAGTGGAATTTAATACCTCTACTATGCCTCGATTTTGCTTTACCGTAGTAATACATTCGCCTATAATACAATTCGATAAATATTGTTCTTCGACTATTGCTTCACCATCATGAACATTAATAGGTACTCTGATTAATCGAGGTGAGGCCGCGGGTATTATATCTTCATATAAGTTTGCATTACGAGAGTCATATACTTTTATATCATTAGACGCGTTAATTGTACTTAATAATTTATTTTTATAATCGATCGTTGCCTCCCATTTATTCAGCAAATCTGACCCAATTAATCCATCGAAATAGTCATGGAATCTGTAGATAAAAAAGGTGACTTGATTACAATCATTAAATTCGTTAAAGTTAGGAATAGTTATCGAATGATTACTTCTACTTACAGCATGAACATTATGGACCTTAAAGGGATCGTAATTTAAAGGTATGTTATTAAAATATTTTTTTATTGTGTCTGGACTCAGAAATGATTGGTTCGCTCCCGTATCTATTAAAAGTTTAATAGGAGGGTGCTTGATCTGTATATAAGGAAGCTGTCTTTGCGTCTGTAAATTTAATTCTATTTTGATCTGTTTGATTTCAGATCCTTTTGAAAATCCTCAAGGTGTGAGGCTTGTGAAGGTTCTTGATCGATTTCAGGGTTATTTGGTGTTACTTCTGAGTATTCAGGATAATCCTGTGGAAAATATTGTTGTTCGGACTCTTGATAATATGGAAGATGTTCTAACGAATCGTATTGTTCGTAGTTATTAGGGTAATATTCGTCATAATAAGGCTCATGTGAATAGCAACTATTGAAATCCATTTCCCTAGTTTTGAAATAGTTAGTAGGGGGTGGATTTCCTGATTTTCTCCAATCATGACCTGTTAACTGATTTGTTGGGGGTAGATTTTTAGGAACAAAATGACTGACGCCACTCATAGGGCGTGGTGGTTGAGTATTGCCACCAAAGTGTATTGGTTGATTTCTTGTGGGCATTCGGAAAGAATTATTTTGTTGGTTGTAATTGGGTGGCAACGCGCGAAATATTTGTTGAGTACGTGAAGGGCCAGCTTGGTATATACTATTATAGTTTGGTTTCCATTGTGTTGGCGCTTGCGGCATAAATTGCATACGCGAAAGACCTTGTGCATAAGGATTAGACAACTTAGAAAAGGGCATTGCATAGGGTGCATTGGGCGGTAATTTGAAACTGACTATTAGATTGAACGGAATGAGCTATAGATTTCTTATCGGGTAAATGTTCATTTCTATGTTGTAGGTAGAGAGTATTCATTTCCTCGTGAACAAATTCTAGCGCTTTTTCAATTGTTTCCGGACGCATAAATCTAATGCGGGACCCCAAAGGATCCTTCAAACGACGTAAGTAAGCTTGGAGTGTCAACTTTTTATATAGATCTCGTTTAGCAGTAACGGTGGTTTGGAGGGTCTCATGTAGGGACACATACGTCATGATTGTGCTGAATAAATTTTGGCAGCGTTCATAAAACTCTTGAGGAGACCCAGAGCCCTGGGTGAGTAAAGCCAAATCGTTGTATAAAGCGGTCTCATCGCGTTGGTCCGCGAAATTATTTATCAAAGCGTTACGAATGCCAGTCCAATCGTTAGGTATACCATTAGTGTTAATTAATCGAGCCGCAGGACCTACTACTTTATTTAAAATTCCGTTAAGAAGAGCAACATTATTAAAATTATTATTATGAAGGCCATATTCTTGTACTAATTCGTCACACAAATTTATAAATCGTGTTAATACGTTTGGATTCCCATCAAATTCGGGTAGCAGGCGGAGAGCTTTAAAAATAGTATCTAAATCAGGCATAGTCCTAATAGGTTCCGGGGTCGGGTCCTCTGAAACCTGTGGAACCTGTTGCCTTATTGACTCCATAAATTGTTCAAGATTGAACTCTAGTTCGTCGTTATCACCACTAATATTTAGGTCTCTATTTGAATCTAAAAATAATTTTCTACTTAACCTATGAGTCCTAGATTGTCTCGGATGGAAAATCTTGGAAAATTAAGATAACGGGATATACAAGAAAAGGAGTAAGCAACCACTAAAAAGATTTTAATGTACTTACATGAACATAATTTTGGCTCCTTTATTCGATCGATGTCTGGATGACTCAGCTGCAGCACGGCGTGTAGATTCAGATACTCTGGACGCGACTTAGTAGCCACACGGGGGCTCAAACTATACCGGAAATCTTCCCTGATGAATGCGAACCGGATCCCGCGAGTATCCTACCGACTGCGCAAATTACGACAGGCTACAGCCGAGGACTCAAAAAAAACCAAAATTTTATAAACTTATTTATTAAGGAAAAGTAATTTTACAATTAATTCTTATAATTAAATGAATGGACTATTGCGTGATGTTGGCGAAACAAAAGTGAACGATGCCGAAGTTCGATGTATGTGGAGTCACGTTGCGACGTTCCCGCGTGGAGCTGAGTCGGCGCCTCGTGACACCTTAAGTTTCCGCTACTTGCATATATTGCTATCGAGGCCACGCAGTGTCATCGTTTCTCTGGTGTCTTCTGTACTTAACACACATCTTGAAATACATATTTTATATACATGTTTAGAAAAGTTGGCTTGTTTGACTCTTTATCAATAAAGGAATAGATTAAAGATTCTTCCTTATCAAAATTAGTTTTCCTTTAATCAGTCGATATAAAATATTGGAATATGTAATGATTTGTTCTGTTTCTTAATAAATTTAGAAAGATTCACTGTATTTTATTTCTTTGTAAAATATTGCAAAAAATGATCATTTTTCGATAAATATCGCACATCGATGTTGAGCTTACGATGATAACATCGACATCAACAATCGATGTAATAAAACACTTGGCTGCGATATATACATGTATGCATATGTCGCAGCCAAGTGTTTTATTGAATGGCACCATTCAATTTCATTGAAAGGCTAGCCACCCAATTGGTCGGCTGATTATACCACTTACCTGCGACATAATATACGGTACATACCTATACCATAATATTTTTTACATTTTTTGTCTGTCTGTATACTATGAGGGCGGGATAATAAATAGCTAGCCTAGCATAGAAAAACTTGAATTAGTGTGTTAAAAGTAGATTTATTTTTCGATATAGTCTCCTTGAAGCGCTATGTACTTCATCCATCTATGCTCTAAAGCCTTGATGCCATCCCTGAAGTGGTTTTCTTCAAGCCCTTCAAAATAACTGTCCACGGCAGGCAGACATCACCTCGCTATTATTCTCAAATCTTTGTCCACCTAAAAATTTTTGAGCTTAGGGAATAGATGAAAGTCAGATGGTGCCAGATCAGGAGAATAAGCTGGGTAGCAAATCATAATTTAATTCTTTGAATTTCGCCATCGCAGTGATGCACGTGTGAACGCGCGCATTATCTTGATGAAAGATTATTAAGTTTTTTTAGCCAGACCGGGTCTTTTTTTTCGAATATACATTTCGAATAGCCATTTATGTTTTGTCCTTTTGGAAGGTAATCAATCATCAATATACCCTTCAAATCCCAAAATACTGACGCCATGACTTTCCCCGCTGATTTCACGGCATTTACTTTCTTTGGAGCCGGGGATCCTTTTTCCGTCCATTGTTTAGACTGAAGTTTTGATTCAGGTATATAGTGGTGAACCCAAGCCTCGTCTGTAGTAACAAACCGTCGCAGAAAATCAGTTGTATCGCTCTTCAGCCACCCAATTTTATATGGTCGCATATGAAGGAGCATTTTCTCCCAAAACATCCTTCATCTCCGAAAAAATCTCTCCACCTTTTAATCCTTTTAAATGCAAAAACTTTATCACAGCTCGTAGCTCAATTTTATCCATTTTATAGAAAAAACAATAGAATGCTTTTTGAAATGTCAATATTTAAAAGAAAAACTATACGATCGATTTGAAATTTGGAACACTGGCAGCTAATGAACCAATAAGTAAAATACTAAGGAGATTTTATATCGTTATTATACAAAATATGGGTTGGGCTAGCTATTTATCATCCCGCCTACGTAGTCTCTGAAACGGCTGGACTGATTTTGACGGGACTTTCACTGGCAGATAGCTAATGTGATAAGAAATTACTAAGGCTACATTCCACGCGGACAAAAAATCGGGTACAGGTAATTTTATTCTATAAATTGTTTTATAATTAGTTTTAATACGTTACTGGCTTTATATGTTTATTTTTCAATTTTTTTGGAAAAATATCCCAAGGTTGTAATTTTTGTAGGTTTTTTCGGATTTACTGGTAAAATCCCGGGTTTTAATCGTTGCGTCCTGTACTCCCTTGGAGAGTTCCAATATTTGACCCCATGTGCGAAAAGTTTCGGATAGTTTCGGATCTAAGTCTTGAGTGAAACTGGGTAAAGCTTAATGCAAGTAGAAAAAACCCTTTTAACTCCGGAACTATGAATAGGCTGGAACAGGGATTTTGTGGAGATCGGTAGACGAGATCCTGTCGAGTCTATTTCTAGGGTCAGTTGAAATTGCCCTCATGATACATCCTAGGGATGATCACGGGGATGTGATCACAAGTGGAAGCCCCGTCTATCTAGGGCAAACGGCGTAGGAGCTACAGCCATTCGAAGTTTTCCAAAATGGCGATCCAAGATGGCTGTCGAATCTTTGGAGGGCTGTTTCCCCGGTACTATTTGTCCAAGAAATTTGGGGTTTGGAGTGGATGTGTTAGGAGCTCGCAAACGGGGGGTTGAATACAACCCTCCTTTCAGACTTCACCCTATGTGATGGCCGATATTGCTGGAGATGTGGCGGTTCTCCCTAATCCAAAATGGCGGATTCAATATTGCCGCCCTAATTTTGGAAACTTGTATCTCCGCCAATTCCGGTCGTAAAAATATAGGGTTTTTAATGGGGGGGTTGGGGATTTGGAACGTGCGAACAATAGATGCCCTATCGTTCGCGCGTTCCAAATCAAAGTTTGGGTAAAATTTAGAGCAAATGGTGTTTAAACACTTTCTCGACTTTATTTTGCTGTCGAAACTTTGGAGGGCTGTTTCCCCGGTACTATTTGTCCAAGAAATTTGGAGTTTGGAGTGGATGTGTTAGGAGCTCGCAAATGAGGGGTTGAGTACAACCCTCCTTTCAGATTTCACCCTATGTGATGGCCGATATTGCTGGAGATGTGGCGGTTCTTCCTAATCCAAAATGGCGGATTAAATATTGCCGCCCTAATTTTGGAAACTTGTATCTCCGTCAATTCCGGTCGTAAAAATATAGGGATTTTAATGGGGGGGTTGGGGATTTGGAACGGGATTTGGAACGCGTTCCAAATCAAAGTTTGGGTAAAATTTAGAGCAAATGGTGTCTAGACACTTTCTCGACTTTGTTTTTGTCTTAACTGTTTAATTTTTTTATATAAGGGTTGAAATTTTGAATAACTAAAAAACTATAAAAGATAAAAATCAGAAAATTTACAATTATTAAGCTTTATATTAATTGTACCTTATATCTAAATCTGAGCGTCAAGTTTCCTAGCGTCAAGGATGCATCTGCTGGAGTCAGGGGAATATCATCCCCTAACTTTGCTGGTCGATTCGTCCCGATTATTTTACTCCTCGCTAGACTTTTTGATGTCAATCGATGCGTGCTTATCACCCCTTTCTTAGCCGCTGTACTCTTCAGGATTTCCCGGTTAAGCTGGGACCGTCTCCGGGTAACCTGGGGCTGGTGGACTTTTAAGCATTTTTCATAAAGTATATTTTCCATTTTAACATTATGAATGTCAATAAGGAAGTTTTAAAAATGAAGAAAGCACTAAAAACGCATCTCACTAAATGACGACTCTAGTAAAAGTTGATTTTTGCAGGAAACGTATGGACCAAAGATAGTAATTTCTGTTCCTTTTAACTAACATATTAAAAAACAGAAATTTGCAAAATTCGAAACTTAGATATCAACACAAATACCAAAAAGTACAAATAGAATATGAGTTGTTAATGAGTTTTGAATATTAATTTACTTTTATACATGAAAGAATACCGAAAATGTTGTCATGGGGAAATCAAGAAAGTACCGTAGGGACATCTTGTTTGGTTTCGGGAACTAATGTTTTTTTTAAAACAACCTCGCCTTAATAAGGACAGTCGGACTACTGCTAAAGTCTTCTGTCGAGATCTAATATAAAGCCAGGTACTCTGGCCACCTCTTTAAAAGTCAATTGTTACTTTTCACGATTGTTATGGTCTAACCGTCATCTTTTATCAATTGCTTATATCATAGTTGTTTATTTTATGGTAGTTAAGTCTAAGTCCAAGATTTATAAGCAGTGTTGGCAAAAAATGGAAGTAACTTTGTGTGGACTATATAAATTCATTTTTGATAAATAAAAACTTATTAACTTAACAATTTTCAAATATTAACATCAAGATTTGAGGTTCCACTAGTTTTAGAAATATAAAGAAATAATTGTTATAATATATTTTTTGGGTTTATAGCCGGAAAATGTGGAAAAATCTCAAAAAAGACTTCCATTCACAGAAGTCTTTAGAAAAAAGTGGCTCGATGACAAGTTTTACGGTACTGGTTGCTAATATAAATAACGTGTAACTAGTGACGTCCCCTTACTCAAAAATAAAAGATACAGATTCTCTGGATGGATCGCCACCAATGTTTACAAGTAGCCATAGTAACAAAACTATCCATCAAATTTGAAGCAACATTTCACAAAAAAGTAAACACACTCATGTCTGTTACTTCATTCCACAAAATTAAAATATTATATTTTATTTGTAACGTAGTAATATGGAAGCGATAAAAGAAGAAGCCATCCACCACACTGCGCTAAAATTAGCAGAAGAAATAAAAAACCTATCAATTTATAAATCATTTTATAGCGATGTTCAGGCGAGTAGTTTTGGGATTTATTCTAATTAAGTATTATATAATTAAATAGATAGCTTTGAATATATTTGCACCGTGTATCTTTTAACAGAAGTTAGTCTCGTCACCTAATGTAAAAAAGGAAGACTTCAAACAAACTTTGCAGCAAGCTATGAAAGAAAAGGGGTTAGATACCAAACTTAGAAATACTGTTTTTCACTGGGTACGAACCCAAAACAAACAAAACGTAAGTTTATTTCACATCGTGGACTAATATGATATGTCACTGTAAATTTATAAGTATCGTTAGTTTGTAATATTCCCAGAATTTTTACAATCCAACCTACGATTGTTTAGATGATTACATTTATTTTAATCAAAGCAATCTATTGAGACATTATAAACAAGGTAGATGTTCAATATTTTAAAGTGAAACATAGAGAGAAAGATATAAATATTTATAAGACCTTAAGACGAGATTGTATTCAAATGCTATGCTAATATTTTCCAATTAAAAACCATTTTATAGAAATTTATCATATGCTCGATTGCTTGCTCCAAATAGAAACATAAATTTAAATAATTGTCTCGAGGGAAAAAAATCGCATTTGTAACTTTTCGATTTTACCACTAATATTTCATTTTCACTATATAGGTACAAGATATACTTAAATAATAATAGATTTTGATATATTCATTTGATCATTTTTATATGACTGTATTTGATTTTTATTGCTGTATTTAAAAATGTAAAAAATCAAGCGAGTGTGTCTTAATTCTCGATGCGTATTTGTATTTGAACATAAACGGAGGCTCATCAATTATGTAAGCGCAAAAATTGAAAATTATAACTCTTTTGCTAAGGCTCCACCGCATTTATGTTAGTTTCATGTCGTTCTCTGATTTGAATACATACGTGTTTACTTTCTCGAATTTGGGTGGTTAATATCGTTAGTGTTTCGGGTATCCGTAAAAAACTTTAGCAAAGTACTTTATCTAAACCACCAGTTGCGTATTACGGGCAGGTAAGTATTCGTTTGTTGTATTTCTTATGCAAATTTATAAGAAATAAACACTAACAAAGGATCATTACCTACATCCTGCCAACTAATTTGTCATAGAAAAATATTTTTGTCTCGTACAGATTACGATATGTTTTTATTTCAGAAACTAGACCCTTTAACATCTTTGATGAAAGCAAGTGCACAATGGGAAAAAAGAATTCATAAGTCACTAAATTCTATGTGTTCCGATCTTGAAACGTCCTTAGCTAAAATACGGTCCCAAAGCGAACAGGAGGAACTAACAGAAAAGTGGAATGAACTCAGTACATACAATTTAGGTAACGAATTAATCACGAATATAAAACAATGTATTTTAAACAAATGTATTGAGGTATTTAAAGATCAACCTAATAAATAGCTTAAACCAGTAGGCAAACTATCAAATTTTTTCGCTAACACAGCTAAAAGAAGAGCCAAGATTGGGAAGATTTGTTAGAAGCGTTCGACTTATCTGACAAAATGCGCAATCACGTCAGGGAACCACTGGCCTAACCAGTAGAAACACTTATTAAATGTGCATTTAAAATTAGTAAAAGTGCACCGTATTATGCATTTTGTAATTTTTTTGAACTTTAGTCGCACATTCGATAGGTATTTAGTGTTTTGGAAATAGTTTTTAGCGTGATATATTTTAGTGTTTAATTATAAATCACATTTCAGATTTATCTAAATACAGACCAGTTTATGCACCAAAAGATTTTTTAGAAGTTTTACTAACCTTATCCGGTTATGTTCCATACACAAGAGAGTAAGTAGTAATTTATAATACCTACTTAATTTTACGTAGGTATATGTACTTATCATAGGTAGTATAAAAAGTGTAAACATTCCTCATTGAATAAGTTTAAATCACTGGGAAACTATAATAACCAGGTCCACATCCAGGTCAGGATCACATAGGTCGCAGTGTTTTTTTTACCCCTAAACTCGGCCACACCCATTTTTAACATAAAAACAAAAACATTCTATGCCAATAGCGAGAGAAAAACTCCCATGCTCAGTAGACTAGTTTCGGAGAAAACGCAAGTCAAAGTTCATGTCGCGAAAACTATTTTTTTTTATTAGTATCTTTTCAAACTTGAGAAGAAAATTCGTTAGTTTGTTCACATTTGATAGAGTTAAATTAACCTTTTTAGAAGCCTTTTTAGAATTCTATCGAATTCGCAGTTCCCTAGGGAATCACGATTTGGTGATTTCAGTCTTCATTTTTTTTAGATTTGTTTACCGATATTATGGGCTGGAAATTAGCTGGCTTCAAACTGTAAAGACGACTGAACACTACTACTATAAATAAAATTTCATTCTAATATTGCATAATTTCGGAAAAACAAGAAAACAAAAAATGGAACATTCAAATTTTTCGGGTCAAAAACATTGAAATTGTAAATTGGCAATATTATTGTGTTGATTCAGCAACTCATACTGAAAAAAATTTGTCATTAAAAAATGTGCTAAACAATTTCAGAGCTTCTGTACCCCTTAGTTTGTTTTTTTATGTACTGCATGAAACGGTGACCATATTGAACATGCGTATTCTAAAATACTACGCACATAAGCGTAATACACGATTTTAAGACTGGTGGCTGTTTCAAAAGGCTTACAAGTTCGCATAACGACGCCTAAGCTTCGTGGGCTCTATTAAGTATATTATCAATGTGTAATGAGAATGTCATTTTAGAATCAAGCCAAATACCCAGATCCTGGGCAGATTCCACTCTTTCAATATCGGTATCGTTCATTTTGTATTTAAAGGATACTGGCTTAAGTTTCCGTGTAAAACTAATACACTGACATTTTGATATACTTAAGTGTAATGTTGTTATCCATGTAATAAGACATTAGAATGTTAAGATCTTGTTGAAGCAATATACAGTCAGAGACTGAATTTACCCGCATGTAAATTCTTTTATCGTCAGCGTATAAAAGATCTTTAGCACTATTAAAGCAGGTATACGTCATAGATATATGCATTGTAAAATGAAGGCCCAAGATGCGAGCCCTGAGGAACGCCCAATGACACCGTGATATAGTCAGATTTATATCCACCTAATACCACTGCCTGGGATCGATTGGAAAGATACGAGGCAACCCACCGCAGCAGATCGCCATGGATCACCAGTGATTCGAGCTCTTGGAACAGAATAATATGATCGACACGATCAAATGCTTTTTCAAAGTCCGTGTAGATCACATCAATCTGTCCACTATTTTCAATTTGTTCTAATCTATAATTTGTGAAAATAGCTAGATTGGATACAGTAAAACGACCTTTCAAGAAACCATGCTGCGATGTCGATATGCCTCTAGCTATTATCGGGTAAATGTGTGAGAAAACAATTTTCTCGAATAATTTAGCTATTGAGTTTAAAATCGAAACCGAACAGTAATTAGAAATAAGAGTCTTGACTTCACTTCACCAGCCCTTTTACGTCCCCACTGCAGGGGCTCAGGCCTTCCTTATGGATGGTTAAGGAGGATGGGCCATGACCCTCCACGCTGGCCCAATGCGGATTGGAGGGTAATAAGAGTCTTGGAACCCTTTTTATAGATTGAAATGATATTTGCTCTTTTCCATATAGTTGGAAATACGCATTGCTTCATTGATTTCGAAAACAATACTGAAATCGGGAGACCCAATGTTTTCGCACAGTTTGACAAGTAGTAAGGGGGTATACCATCACTACCAGCGCCTTTTGATTTATCCAGGTTCGCAAGACGTTTCTCCACGACCATTGGAGTAATGTCTATTCGAGAAATTATGTTTATGTTTGTGGGAAGCACACTAATTGAACCAGATGAGTCTGAACTAGACGTTCTGCCAAAAGCACTCTTAAAGTAATCATTAAATGCATTACATATATTTTGTCCTTCGGTAAAAGTATAATTGTCGTGAATAAATGCTGTAGGATAATTTGGACCTCCTCTTTTTGGTTTAACATAAGTCCAAAATTGTTTGGGTTGATTGCGTATGTTACATTCGGTCATGTTAACATAGTTTCACAAAAAAATGCGTGAAATTTTTGACACCATGCACCGATTTTAAATCTTTAAGGTAATTCTGCTTCGGGCATATCGTCACAAAAAACAGCTCATCATATTCCGAAGGATACAAAAACACATATTTAGGTGTCAAAAAATCCATGCATTTTTTATGAAATAATTTTTCGGCTCATTTCGAAATATTTTCTCTTGGGGGGGCATAAATATAAAAAAAGTTTTCGGGACACGATCTTTGACTTACGTTTTCTCCTAAACTAGTCTACTGAACATGATGGGAGTTTTACTCTCGCTGTTGGTAAAGAATGCTTTGTGTTATTATAATAAAAAATAAGCGTATCCGATTTTAGGGGTAAAAAAAACACTTTGCTATACGTATACACGATACGATTACGATAAATCATTACGTGCAAGACCGCCGCTCCGCATAGTATTAATGTATTTTATCTATGGCGTAACTGAAGCCTTCTTTAACACTCCAGGCCAATTGCTATTGGTCTAGTGGCAATTGTTGGTTATAGATACGCGGTAAAGCATGCACACACTGTCCACGTACTGATCACCTATCCGTAAACCATAGTTTTTATACTATGCTTAAACTCTAGGTGAAGACTGCGCTCGATGTCAATTTCGAGACTTTTTATAACAGAATAGCTCTGCAGAATATAACAGACGATGTAATTGTCGCCTTACTTATAGTAAACGTTCAATAATTACTCGTTACTTAATTTAAACGGATTCATATACTAACTACCTATTTAACAATAATTGTTTATTTTTTTAGAGATGAGCCTAAATGGGAATTTGCACATTTACCATTACAAGTTAAAACTTTAGATCAGTTGGTAAGTTGTTTCGTTTATAAATGTTTAAATCTGTTGTCGTGCGTGCCTTATTTACGTAACGTATTGCAGAAAACAAGGCTTTATCCAATATCTCATATTACTCGTACTATCTTATGAAATAATTATTATAAATGCATAATATGGTGATTGAATAAAAAAGGCGTTTAGTATTATTATTTCTAAGTAGTATTATTTTTTCCCTTATTAATTTCTGCTGTTACGTCCGTCAAGGTAGATTATATGTAGAAATATTGGTCGCCTAAAGAACTGTTCCCGACTTGTAGCGAGCAGTGTTCCTAGAATGGTCGAGCGGCGAGCCCTTACTTGGAGTAAACGCTAATATGCCAAGTTCTGTGCCGGGATTCACGACGCTTGAAGCGGAGCGCATAGGACTCGGCGAGCGTGTGTCAGCGCTAGGGTACGCGCCCGTTATACAGGAGTACCTGAAGAAAGGCAGCCCACAATGCTTGCGTGCCAAGCTTTGGTCACAGGTGCTTGGAGCTGACATCACGACACAGGTGGGATATAAAAGGTCGATCGTACCTAATTGACATACTGCCCGTTTCACAAACGTCCATTAACATCGTCGTTAATTTAGAGCGATATTACCCCTTCAGACAGGGCCGGATTAACTCTGATAAACGCCCCTAGACAATACAATTCTCTGGGACTTCTATTTACATACCTACCCTGACTAACTAAAGGGGAAGAGGGATTTTTTACGAATTAAATTCATGTATTCAACGTAATTTAAAGCCTATGCCTTAAATCCTCCCCTGTCTAAAGATTTTTAAATTCATTAGATTTTAAAGTTGTCATTCAACCTTAATGAGCGTTTGTGCAACTCGGTAATATAAGGCTTCTTACTTGAATATGTGTCTTCGTTTTTTTCCCTTAAATTAGATAACAATGGTAGCATATTCTTAATGAAAAATACTTAAAAATCCACTTCCGATAATCCGGGCGAGGGCGATTGCTCTAACCTTTTCTTCCTTGAGAAACTGGTATACAAAGAGATCTTTGACGGGTAGTACTTTGCAACATTTAAAGAGCTGAACGTAGTTTGAAGCAAACTGCTGCCTGATATTGGTGAAACTATATGTTCTAAAATTGTTATTTGAAGACTATATATTTTTTCTAAATAGGTTTAGGTTTGTATGTTCGTCCGCAACTTGAGAGACCAAACGTTATTATAGAATTCACAAAAGCATTGTACAGTGCCAACCTAGTCGTAAAAGTCATTTGTTTTTTAATAATATTAATATTTGCTAGAAAAGTAGCTTACAGCACACACGTTCAACCTGCGGTCCACAATCAAAAGCGTTATTTATAACTAATCCAAGGTATTTATGAGTATGTACAGTTTCTATTGGTGAACAATCGGACAAATAGCTCGTTTTATGAAGACAACCGTGATCATGAGCAATAAGATTTTTAAATATGTTTTTATCTCGCATATGAGCTGAACTTATGTGTAAAAATTTGGTATTGGTTGCGATTAAAAGCAAACCCGCATCATGGCACCACAAGTTTAAACTATTGAAGTGAGATTGTAGGTTATTTAAGGCAACGTTTGGATCTTTTCCAACAGATATAATACACATATCATCTGCGAACTGATATTATAGACAAGGTTTGAATACGTTAGTTATTTCATTAACGTAAGCCAGAAAGTGGAGAGGGCCAATAACCTAACACTGAGCCGTGCCTGTGGTTATAGACATTGGTTCGCTTAAGTATTATTTAATTTTGACTTTGTAGGTATTATTTACACCAGTTCAATAACCCGCCTCGGATACCAGTGCTTTCAAGCTTAGTAATAAGTTTCTGGTGATCGAGCGTATCAAATACACGAGATAAATCAATAAAAACGACTAGAATATGTTTTTTACCATTTAAGTAATTATTGATTTCTTCCGTAAAATTTTGCAGCGGTGCCGTAGTACTTTTACCAGATTGAAAACCGTACTGTTTCACGCTAAGAATATTGTTTTCTTTAGAAAAGTCATGTATTTCAGCACAAACATACATATTTCTCCGCTATTTTATCTACAGATGGTAAAAGAGCTACCCAGGACCTACAAACAGGACTGACGAATTTCGATAAAGATAAAAAAATATTCTGAGTATTATATTTGATCAATTTTGCATTCACGATGCTACACTGAAAAAATTTCTTTATGAAAAATTACATAATTATATTAAATATTCTTAATGAGAAATAATAATTGGAACAAATTTTCATCTTCATCGAAAGTTTAACAATTTGTAAAAATATTTCTTTGGCTATTTGGGTGGATTTTTTGCACATTAATGAAATTCACTCTGTAGTGGGAAAATGTTCTCATAGATACCCCTTTGATTTTTTAGCAACTCAGTTACTTCAACCAATTGAAGAAAAGTGTTCTAGACGTAGACCTCATGATTGACAAATTAATATTTAAAGATGTACAACTAACTGCTTCCAATGATGACCAGTATTTTGTGTTTGAGGATCTCCTTTACCAGGTAATAAGCAAAGCCGGCCCGTCCATATTGGCAAACTAGGCAACTGCCTAGGACGCTTATATTTGGGGGGCAGCGTAGCATGGTAAACAGATTCGAAGTTACTGGTCCGGTTAAAAAAAACTCGTAGATCCGGACCTGCAGATTATGTTTGCTCTAATTATTTAAACTTTAAATCTGCATTACTTAAAAAAATACTATTGTTCTTTGATCATTCGAACATCCTTGGTATTCAAAAGTACAAAATTTTCGGACCAGCAGTAACTAAGGAGTTTCTTTTGTCGGTGGTGTATGAGTACGGACTTAATCTTGTTGTGATCGTCGTTGCAGTGTTTTGCCACGGTAGCCACGTTCCAGTAATTTGCCTAAGGAGCCAAATTTCATTGAGCTGGTAATAGCGAAAATATATTTCATTCACACATTATCTTGGGGCATTTCTATGAGCTCTAAAAATGCTATTCAAATGACGCTGTTATAACAAGTTGTTTTTCATGTGTCAATATGTAAAATAGAACACAAGAGCAGACGTAGCGTAGAAATATCGTACATAGTCATGATTTTCATTATTTTATCTGTTCCATTCCTAAGAGTTCTGTGAAAAATTTCCTTAAAATTCGAAACACTTTTGAATACCATCTCAAGATCAAAGCTAAAAGTTTAGGATTTTCTGTAAGAGATATTAATATAGCAAAGCAAAAAATATTAGTTATGAGTACCTAACTACAAATTGTGTCTATTACATACGTCTGCTATAATTATCACAGGTGATGTTGTGCTTTTCCCGGGACTATGAAGTGATGCAACAACTAAAAGGTAGCATCGGAAATCCTCTAACTGTTACTATAAAGGGCAAGCAAACATCCGCGGAAAGCGTTACCGTTTTTCCACCGAGTGGCATTATACCTTTCCATGGATTCACTATGTATGGTAAGATATCATAAATATTTATAACCAAAAAATATCCTAGGGAACTAATAAGTTAGTACCAGTGCCTATTAAAACTATTAACCATGACTTTCCTACGTTTTATTATTAATATGATGTAAAAAAAATCAAATCAGATTGACAGATAGGTCCTATGGTACTATTTGTATAAAATAAAAGGCTGTTACATTTATGTACCTATGTTACGTTCAAAGATAGAAATTACACATTGAGTGAAAAATAGTTCACGCGTTGTGGCAATGAAGAAAATACACGACGCATTCTGAACATTAATTGGTCTTTTTAATTGCCACAACGCGTTGTGGTCGAATAGCATGATAGCCACGACATAGATTACTCTGTATGGTTATTCTGTAAATGCCACAACGCGACGTGAGCGTTTTTAGAGCCATAACACGAATTTTTTTTTTCGCTTAATGAGCGATTTCGATATTTGAACGTAAAATGTACATCAAATTTTTTATTTTTTTTATATAAAAATCAGATTTTTTAGAACCATGCTTTTTTTTTCTTTTTAAATCGGTATTAGTTTGTTTCTCAAAATTTAAATGGCACATATCTTTTTCAGCGACACCGTTTTGTTATTTGTACGATGATCCCGCACAACTGTATTATACATTTCGCGCGTTTTATATCCGGTACTGGCACAGACTTCATTATATATCGACGCATCCACAGGTATTCATCCTTAAATAAATAACTCTTTTAATAATAGTCTTTATGAATAATTAACTTCCAAGCATAGAACTACATACTCGTACTTTATTGAAGTGTGATTAGAAGTTTTCTTGCAGGGTATTGTTTCGTTATGTCTTTTATACGAGAGATTATTAGAAGCCAATGAACCGCTGTTATGGATACACTTTAGAAACATAAATATAAACCCGTAAGTATTTCAACAAGTCTATTAAAAGACTGCATTTGATAACATCTAATTCATCAATATTTATACTATGTCCAATAGCTCAACATCGACTTCAGAATTTACAGATTATTTTTTAGACGATAATTCTTTAGACTCCACTTCTATTGAATTGGGTTGACGATTGGGTAAAAAAAGAAGAAATTTTATTTAGTCCGTCAGTCAGATAATAGAAAAATGTTAGACACGTATCTTTTACTTCAATTAAACAAGAACTAGCTTAAATTAAAGTTGAAGAGTGGGGGCTCGCTACCTCATAGATTTGTAGAAAATGTACCAAGGCGTGACATCATGGACATTTCAATAAATACGTTTTTAATATTTTTAAAAATTTACCTGACAGACAAACAAACAAGATTAGTCGTCAGCCCTATTCTTCTTTTGCAATTTTTAAACTAGAATTTTTATTACACCAATCCGCATTAGGGGAGGCCTATGCCCCAGCATTGAGGATAATAACAAACTGGTGAACTTGAATAATCTTTACAACTTGGGATTAATTAGGCTTGGACATTATACACATGGCTGCACATCAGCTTACCACAATATGTCAAATTTCAACAGTGGATTTTCACTTCTACCTTGAATATATTATGATTTAAGAGATCGAGTGAGGAAATTTGACTTGTATAGTTGACTTACAAACTTGGATGTTAAGCAACTTGCAACTCAAACGCAACCCGAAATATGAACGATTTGCAACAAGTACATTTAATAACTTATATTACATAAATTAGATTAACAGTGAAATTCATTTGCACGGAAAACGTTATCAAACTTGAAAAATTTGGATCTTGGACGTCACGTGATGTAACATGAACAATTTACAACTTCGGTATCATGCCACTCGAACAATTTACGTCTTGGACGTTGCATGACTCCAAAAATTAGTAACAAGGATTTCACATAATTTATGAGCAGACATTAAGCACGAACGCCTCTTAGTAGATTACTTATGTAATAATTTTGTTATTTATTATTGATATATTAATGTGTATAATTTTAGGATCAGAGTAGTGTTCAAATGGTTAATGAGAGCATTCAGTGGGCATCTTCCACCGGATCAACTGTTGCTGCTGTGGGACGCTATACTAGGGTACGATTGCCTGGAGATACTGCCGCTGCTCGCTCTTTCCATACTAAGCTTCAGGAAGGAAAACATATTTCAAGTGAACACCCTACAGAATGTAGACGCCGTCTTAGCGGATCTCTCCACTATATCAGTTATACCTCTATTACAATTGGCTTTAATGAAAACATAGAATATCTTGCACAAGGTGGTCATTACAGATTGAATGTCAGTGTCTACTCTATATAGAAGTGTCGGTGCGAGTGTTTTTTTTTAAACAACCTTGCAGGGCCCGATCAAGTATTTTAGTCACTCCGGGCAAACTATTACTTGCCGCCATATACACTACATTAGGAGACCCTTACTTTTGCCACCCTTAGATCGAGCCTGTAATTTCGGAACTGTGAAGTTTTGTAAGTATGGACTTTTTATCGACATGAGAGCTTTGAAAAAAATATCCAAATTTAATAAAGGTAACGAAACAAAAAAGGAAAAATAAACGTGTGTCTACATCGATTATTGGCTGGTAAAACGTTTTCCTTTTTTTCTATTTTCAACCATGTATTATTTTCCTAGATTCATTTTGAATAAGAATCTGAACCAGAAGTTTTAAATTGTATTGTTCAGCCCATAGCACACGTAGAGATGCCGTTAACAATAAAAACAAGATTTCAAATAGGAATTTAAAGAAAAAAGAACATGTTACATAAGAAATTTCTAACAAAAATTAGTTTAATGCGACTGTTATATATTTACATTGAATAATAAAGACAAGTGACAATCGAATGTGTCCGAACAATACTTATATTATTGTAAGTTTATTTTACGTATTACGTATGAAGCGTGTGCGCAAGTCATAGCTACCTAACCGTTATTGTTATTCATGTTGTTTTGTATAGTGTTTTGTATAGTATTTTCTTTGTAGAGTTGTATTTTTATATTAACAAGAAAAAGTAAAGTACGAAAATGTCTTTTTATTTTTTATTCATATTTTTCACTTTTTTACAACGACACACCAATTTCCTTCCTCATAGAAGGTCTGTTCGACCTTTAAAGGTAATTGTCTACAAAGTTCGTCCAACTCACCCTCTTCGAAGACATGATAAAATCTTAACAAAGTATCCTTTGGTATGTTCTCTAAAGTTTTATTGTCTTTGAGCTGCCGTAGTTTCCATGGCACCAGTACGTCATTATGTTGGAACTGCGTTCTGTTCTCATGTACCGGAAAACTTATTCCGTTAACAGTCACATGCTGTTCTTCTAAAGTAGTTTGGGCTTTAGTTTTAGAAAGATAGTTCGATTTAGTTTGATCCTTTGCCCACACAGTGATGAGTGCTTTTCCCCCTGGCCGCAGTAATCGACATATTGTGGCGATAGCTTGCAATCTCCTAGCCTGCAATCAAAACAGGAAATATGATCCTTTATAACAAATACTGTTTAGTGTGTGTTTACAGTAAACAGAACGTCAGGTCATACAAATCTATCAAATTTCTCCACTTGATTTTAAACCTTAATGTTTTATTAGTACATTTTAAAATCAACTGTAGAAGTTTGAGATATTGTGGTAACCTTACGTGTAGCCGTGTGATACAATGGCATATAAAAATTCTGCAGCTGGCCCTTCGCGGAAGTTTCAATTTGGGACCGCCAAATATTTTTTAAATATGGTAAAGCCTGTGTATGACCATTACAATATATGTATATTATAAAATAGCCGATTATAAGGCCTGTTAATATTCTTTGGTTAAATAAAAGGTATTCAAATAAAATCATTACATACAACACTACTGAAGTGGTGTATAACAGCGATGCATATGATGACGTCAGCGCACGCGTCGATGAGGCCGGCGTGTAACAGATCCAATCGTACGCAGTCCGCTAACAATTCACTGCCAGCGCCACCATCACGTAACCGCTCTCTACATTCACGTAATAATCCATCGCTACGTTCACCCGCTATCTACAATATAATTTAGTGTTCAACATTGTTATCAAATTAAAAATAGTTCAAAATTCGGTGGCATTTCGCAGCCTTGTATTCCTAACAGACTATACTTGAATGAGCCGACCGTGACTTTGCTGTTGAAAAAAATTTTTAGCTGTGTTTGTCATCGTGCTGTGTTTTATACATTAATTGGCATTTCACAATTTATTACAATAATAAAAGTGTGAATCGCACTGATTTCTAAGATACCAATATTTAGGCTCAGTTTGGGAGTCGCTCTTCTTATGAATATTATATTTACTTTATTTGCAATCCAATCCAAGGACATTACTGTGATGGGACAAGCTTACCAGAGTGGGTGTAGTTTATAAAATAAGTACCTATTATTGTTATGTTTATCGATGCTTGATCTATAATGAATATTTATTTATTTATAACGTTATAAAAAAATAACGTTATAAATAAATATTTTTGAAAATATTCAAGTACAAATCACAAACTATAGGTTTTGTGCTGTACTAGATGGCGTTAAGTATACCTCTTGTATTCATAAGTTTTAGACAAAATAAAAGTTGCGTAAAATTTTTAATAATAGATAATAATCAACAACAAAATATATATTTTAATAACTAGAAATTAATATTCCAAATTCAAATTCAGAAAAAAAAATAACAGCCAGTTTCATTTTATTTTCTTTTTTTAGTAAAAAGTTTGTCTCCAAGCTTATGAACTCACGAGGTACTTCTACATCCTTTTTTGGTCAAGGTTGAGATCCGGGAACTACTCTAATCACTAAGTTACCCAGAACCTAACAGAACTGACGAATCTTTCAAGCACTTGTTACTTTCTTGCTACTACAGAGCGCATTCTCATCAACGTTCAGGCAATCCACCCAAACAGCCGGAAGAAATATTTTTACAAATACCCAAACAGCCGGAAGAATATTGCTATACTCATGAGCAGCTCGGTGACGTAGTGGATAAGCGTCGCGGCCCGCGATCGTTGTTGTTAAGCATCTTTAGCAAAGGTTGGCCACGGGATGGGTGAACATTTTTTATTTTTTTTTTTATTTCAAGCTACTCCATGATTCGGAAGACACGTTCATGCATTTGTTGCATTTGCAATTGTTAATGTCATCCAACCCGCGTTGAACTAGCGTGGAAGGTCACGACCGCTAGTTCAACGCGGGTTGGATGACATTAACAATTGCAAATGCAATAAACCAATCCATAAGGAAGGCCTGAGCCCCTATAGTGGAGACGTAAAAGGGTTTATGATGGTGAGACCAGATGGCGTTTTTTTCTAAGTTTATGATTAAGTTTTATGTGAACATTAGATTTGTGTTTTCTTTCTATCTCTATTTCAAATTGGATAAATAGCTTTAAGGTTTTCATAGATAAAGTACTGTATATTGGACATTAGTCGGTTAATTGCATAAATAAGTGATGCTGTACCTTAAATAAATAAATACATATAGCTTTTTGTTGTAGTGTCTTCAAAGTTGAACATCAAATTTTTTTTTCGAATATTGCGGACATTTTGCTATTAATAAAATTTATAATTATGTTTCGTATATTTGACAGTTAACCACTTCCCTGGGTACCTCCGCACTGTAGAAGAACGTTGTGATGGTTACTCAGCTGATCGAAGTTTAGCCCGCGCAAATGAATGGCCCCATTCTATTGTAGACCTAATTGGACGTATCTGGTATCCAGTTGGCTACGACAAATCCATTATACAAGATGCATTTAAAATGACTCTCCAAATTTTTTCTAGGCATTAGGTATCGTTAATAGATCACATATATGAAAAAAAAACAGTATGTAAAATTTTCAAAATGAAGTGTAAACTTTTTGTAATTACAAGATAATTATAACATTCGCATTGTCACATTAGTTATGAACGAAACGAGCAGGGGTAGCAAGGGGCGCGGGCGCAGGGGATGCGCCGCGCATGCACCGCCGACGATATCTGCTCGGTTTTTTATTTAGTCGGCAACATCAGTCACCCGCGCACAATCCCTTTGAACGCACGCGCTTCCGCCTTTGCTTCCGTGTTGCGCGCCACCCGCCGCAGCCCCACACTTCGCGCGTCGGAATGTATTCCAATCGCGAATATTACGAAATGGTGCGGTGTTACATTTTAAGCGGTGAAAGTTTAAATGCAGCTCGGAGACTATACGAAACAGAATCCATCCCAGCCCTGCAAAATCAGGGATTAATAAACCCCGCAGTACCTAGTCGCGAGACATTTTTGGCTGTGAACCAAAGGCTATTGGACTATGGTCAATTTACTACGCCTGCTCACGCTCGCGGAGGTGGAAGATCAAGACTTGCAGTTGAAATCGAAGATGAAATCTTGGATTTCTTCGAAAGGGACCCGCGAGCCAGTACACGAGATGCCGCACGCCGATTTAACGTAAGCCACTATGCCGTGTGGAAGCTGCTGAATGTGACAGGGCTACACCCTTACCACTTCCAAAAGGTCCAAGCTCTACACGATGGAGATAATGTGCCCCGTCGCACCTTTTGTGAATGGCTGATTGCACACCCTAATGCCAACATTTTGTGGACTGACGAAGCATTGTTTACTCGTGTGGGGCTTTATAACCATCATAACGAACACTGGTGGTCCTTCAGAAATCCGCATATGATTCGGGAAACCCACCATCAAGTGCGCTTTAGTGTCAATGTGTGGGCCGGTGTTATAGGCACGAAAATACTGGGGCCGTACTTCATCGAAGGGCCGCTCACCGGCGGCAACTTCCTCGATATGTTGCGGCATGTCATTGCCGATTTCATGGAGGACTTGCCCGTGGCCTACTTCCGGGATTTTTATTTTCAACTGGACGGTGCACCACCCCATTACGCCGCCGCCGTCCGAGATCATCTCACCATAGAATATGGTGATCGATGGATTGGACGCGGAGGCCCCATCGTGTGGCCTGCTCGATCGCCGGACCTAACACCGTGCGACTTTTATTTGTGGGGTGAAATCAAAAGACGTGTGTATTTTGAAGAAGCACAAAGCCTCGAGGACTTAAAAGTGCAAATTAGTGCGGCATTTGACCACGTGAAAAATGACACTGTAGTGCTCGCCAAATTAAAAGACAATGTGCAAAAACGTGCAAGACTCTGTGTGGAGAGGAACGGTATGCACTTTGAACAATTATTAAAGTATACGTAGGTAAATAGTTAAATTAGGTAGGATAAAGTGATTAGTTGATTATGTACATAAAGTTGATGATTTTTTAAATACGCCTGATTGCAAAGAATATCTAGTTAAGTACCTACTTTTTTTATTATTGGTTTAACTAAACAGAATTTTAGGTAACTTGATATTTGCTTACCTACTTATTTATAAATTTAAAGCAGTATAGTTATTGTAATAGTAGGTATCTAATAGAATTTTTGCAATTTGACGGTCCTAAGCCCGTAAAAGTATGAAGGAAAGGTTTCAACTTTATGTACCATTTGCCCTAGCATGAAAAAACGAAAACATTTTAGGTAGCTGCTACTAACTCGCAAACGTACTTGTATTACTATCAATGAATTGCGGGAAGGGAGGGGGGGGGGGAACTAACGTAACGCGTAAAGCGCACGTACTGGGCAGCGGGAGCGTCCACAAATGTATGTTTTTTGAAAATAACTTGGTGACGATATAACTCAACATTTTTGTTCTAAACGACATAAAAAGAAAAAACACGTATTTCATTATTTGTCGTAAAGATTAACATACTAAAATTTGGAGAGTGGTTTTAAATGCTTCTTGTATATTAACAGTTTAAACTTTTAATTTCCATTTTGACATTAAAAGTCGACCAAGCAATCGTGATTTATATTTTCTTAGTCTATTTATTTCGGCAACTGCCTGGTAATCTATTATTATACTCGTAATATATGATGATGTAATGAGCGACAAGGAGAATCGTTTAATAGGGAATATGCGTCCGATTCAAAAAATGGGTTAAATATATTTTATTACAATTGTTATTGCTTTAGAGTAAAATCTATCTAAATGTTTTTCAACATTAGTTCGTTTTTGACTTGAAAATAGTTATTAAAAAGTGCAAAATAAATGCGGTAACTTCAAAATATTTAAACGCCATGCTACTTGTCAGAGCGCATGTGACGCAAATGTATACGTATAAGGATGTCGTTGTTACAAAAAGTTAACATCGATGCAATAACATCAATGTATTATGTCGCAAAATAAACGACTTATTACACTCTTAAAAAAATTTGTTACATCAAACAATATTGTGATATATGTGACCAAGCATCTTGTTTCCATATGAGCCTGACAAGATGTTAGATACATTAAATAAACTGGTTTTTATTATTTTTACTATAGTTACTTTGTTAAGATAGTTAAAATTTCATTCAATTTGATCATTATAAATAACTATAGCAACTACCGCCTAGTCTTCAATTTAAATAAGATCGTAGTCGATATGTCTATGATATGTGACTGTATGAACAATTTACCACAGTTGATTCAACCAAGAGGTTGGTAAAAATTAACATGAAAAACGTGGCTAAACTAATCAATTCCCGAAAGTTAATTTGACCAAAGAGTTGGTCAATTTAAACATGAAATATGATTGTACTTGCCAATTTACCTTAGTTCTTTCAACCGATAGGTTAGTCAATATAAGCATGAAACATCGTTGTACTAACCAATTTACCGAAGTTAATTCAACCAACATGTTGGTCGATATTAATATGAAACTTGGTTGTTCCAAACAATTTACCGAAGTTAATTCGGCCAAAAGATTGGTCAATTTAAGCATGAGATATGATTATACTAACCAATTTACCAATGGTAATTCAACCAAGAAACCAACCACTTTAGCCGTTGATCATTCTGAACTTTTGGTCCAAAGCGATGAGACTTAAACTCGACCACAGCTCAGAGCCTAACCAAAGAGCTAAAGTAAATAACTGGAATGGTTGGTTTCGAATCCCATATTAAGTTCACTTTAAACGGCATATTACTTATACAATTTAACGATATAAACTGATACCGCGATGCATTAAATGAACAACACCATCTAGTTTGCAGACTTAGAACTATTCGGGCACCTATGAAGATGATGGGCGTGTTTCATATTAATATCGACCAACATGTTGGTTGAATTAATCTTTTTCATAACAATATTCAAACAATATTCTCACAAACTTGCCTCGTCATATTTGACATTGGCGGTAACACTGGCGTGTACGGTTGTCAAATCCTTACAGCTGATTTAATTTAATTTTAAATTAAATATTTCCCGATATTTATTAATATTAGTTTTGCGAAAGTGAAAACAAAGTCTTAAGTGTTGATAATTGATCTTACTGTGTATATATAATCACTAACATTCAAATAATAGTGCCATACTAATATGCAACGGCTATCTGCCGCATAAAAACGAAAAACTAAAACAAAAACAAACAATAATCTATCAAGGAAAGATAAAAAACTGTGGACTGATGCATCATAAACCAGTCTTAAACAGAAGAAAAGTGATTTTTATTGAAAAGTAAATTTGATAAGTTTGTGTGGATTGATTTAACAAAGTCACTCCTTGTTGGCACTCGCTTTTCTTAGTTGATGCATGTAAGAGAGTATTTAAATCAATCAGAATTTGATAATTATTTTAGCAAATATATTGGTAGTAGCATGAACAGCTTAATTTTAGTTAGTCCAATAATGTCAAGTAGTTACATTAATCATTCATGTTTTTGAATTGACTAAATAGTCTTTGTTGTTTGAAAAACAAAGGGTTTTTTTGGTTCTACTAACGTTTTTTGTTAAATCAAATACGAGAAACTTATTACTGCAACAATAAAAATCGTCTAATCTATTATTTTACCTATTTATTTTGATTAATTTGTATAAATTGCTTCAACATACTTAGTTGTTAAATTTAACTATTAAAAATAATCGATTCACACAAAAAAATCCAGTAATGATAGATACGATAAATATATTTGATAGATTTAATCAGGGTTACCAAATTTTTAATTTAACCATACTTTAACTAGTTGGTTCAATGTTTCAGCTTTGATTGATTTATGTAAATAAGTAATTGTTTTATTCAATATTATGTCAACCAAGAGAAAATCGCTCTTTGTTGGCCTCCATTTTTTAGAGTGTACAATTTAAATGATGTTTTAGGCTTTTATTTTTATTTCACAAATTTGGTAAATTATATGATTTCTTAAAAAAGTCTATTATACTTTAAAAAATCGATAAGTAGTTAATCGATTTGGGTAATTGAATAATAATCAATCACTCAAAACCCATATTGATTTAAAGTGTCATATCTCTAGTCGTGTACTTTAACGTCACGATGAGCGCGCCAAAAATTCCGGTGTTTAAACTGCTCGCAGCTATTACTTATTTTCATCAATGATTAATGTTACAAAATTTTAGTTTTTCTATGCCGGGTATTTTTTTACAGTTATATATCGATGTAAATTATCATATAAAAACATTTTCCAAAAATGTGCATATTCCCTATTATTACATATAAACATTATACATGCCAAAGTAGGTCTGTGTATATGTCAGTTACGCACTCACGCCGTACCCACTTAACAGAATTGATTTGAGATAGGACATAAGTTGCTAGATTGTGATAAATAGATTGTACGGAAGTTCGTCATTGTCAAAGATAAAATCATGAAACTTTGTTTCAGGTAATTTACACGATATAAAGAATAAATATTCATTTTAGAAATGCTGCTCGAAGTTACTATTCCATGCGGACGAAGTCGTGTCTTCTATAAAATTAAATAACCACTAACTTGCAAGATGTCATTTCTCGTCAATATGTTCTTGCCGTTTCCACATCCGAGGTCAAGCAGTACGGAGCCAGCAGGTACACCTCGCATGAAGTCCACAACGCGTGGCCACGGCTTGTGTCGCGTCGTACTAAAGTGACCCGCTATTTTCTCATAAACCTTCAATACCAAATCGTATCTATTTGAAAAATTAGTCATTACCACAAATTAAATGATTTGTTTTGTCTTCGGGTGTAGCTTGTGAAAGCTGATTGTGGTTAGAAAGCGTGAAGGCAAGCGATAGCGTAATTTTTCTAACATAAAGGATCGATCAAATGAAAATGAAGATCATTTGCTCCAGATGCAAATAATTCCTTATCCTAATATATGTCATACATAATAAATAAAACATGTTGGGAGGCAAGTTGTGACGAAATTTCGAAATATTAATATTATTAAATTACCTACACTCTAGCATTAAAGATCAAAGACATCGGTGTTATTTTAAATCGTGTTAAAAGTATGCATTTGCATTCATACATAACTATCGCCATACAGTGCAGAAACTAGGTAACAAAAATAGCTTAACGAATTACTCGAATTAGAAAGCTAAAATCATTTCTGTAGTACTATAGTATTATAATATAGGGTCATATTTAAGCTAAAACTTAAGTAAATTGAAATTCTGAATTAATACGATGTTTTGACATAAGATCCATATTCAAAACATACCTGATGAACATGCAATTCCTCTAAGTTCGACGCCACATCATCTTGCACATTGTCAGAACTAGGTTCTACACTGTCACACATGGTTTTGTATTCACACTCGCAGGGACCAGTCCTGGTCCAACGGAATGTTAATGATATTCTAGTTTGCCGTTCTATTGTTTCGCTAGTAATAACTTTTATAATTTTCTCACCGTCCTCAGTTACTATAGGTCTATTTTCTATTACAGGATCCCATGTTCTTGATTGTATACCATGTTGCCAATCATATCTGACAAGCATAAAAAAATCTCGTTAATAACAATCAGCCTTTTTACGTCCCCACTGCAGAGGCCCAGGCCTTCCTTATGGATGGTTAAGGAGGATGAGCCGTGACCCTTCACGCTGGCCCACTGCGGGTATTAACGACTGCTAACGCAGCCGGGATCAACGGCTTAACGTGACTTCCGAAGCACGGAGTAGTTTATGATAATAAGGTTTTGGTCACCTATCCCGTGACCGACCCTTGCGAAAGTTCCTTAACAACAACGATCGCGAGCCACGGCGCTTGTCTGCTACGCCACCAAGCGACTCGATTGTGTATTATATGTATAAGGTCCAGGGGCTTTATTAGAATATTGTTTTTGCCAATATCTACACCCCTATTGCTGTGGGGTCTCAGTGAACAATGGGGATAAAATTTCATGCACCTCAATCTCAATCTCATACAGCATACACGCAATTATTTCACTATATTTCCTGAAGTTTACAAATTAGCTCAGTTTTGCTAATTTGTAAACTTCAGGAAATATTGTTGTTAAATTATTTTTTTGTTACGATACCAGTGAGTAGCGCGGTAACCGAACGATAATCTTTTTGCTTAAAAAGATTTCATATATGTTACGAAACACACAGTGTCAGAGCAGATTCATAGAAATCACAGATTTGTCTTAGTGGTAGCAATTGAAAAAGAACTTTTAGAACAATTTTGTAATTTTTATGACGATGTTTTATTGAATTAAGTATAAAAAAAGATAGGCACGTTGATTTAACTTATAATTTTAAGGGATTGTACAGGCCCTAAAATATAGAGCTCTTAGAAAGAGATGATATGGTAGGGATAATTAGAGTGAACAGACTGTATAATATGAATGAAACAACAAACATTATTATATGGCCGAATGTATACTTATATAGAGCAGAGATTTGATTGATTATTTGCATTGAATAGGCTCTGACACTACTGGGCCGATTTTAAAAATTCCTTCACCTATAGGAGAATTCTACGTATAATGTTAATTTTCCTGAAAAGTGCCTCTATTGTTTATGTGAGTTAGAAATTTTCAATTTTGTGATTCGGCAAATTAAGCTTTTACATAGAGGTATCAGCGATAAGACACGAAATCTGGATATTGTAATCAAAGTTTTTATTAATTTTATCTCATATATTTGATATCAGGCAACCTATTTCACATCAACAACAATGTGTGGAAACTTTTATCACCAGTGGGGAAATAGACAGTGGCACCAACGAGAAAAAAACTTACCTAGCTTCCCCTTGCATTACAAGCATTGATCTAGCTTTCACTATAATTGGTATTTGTATATTGCTGTGATGTTTCCAATCCATAACAATTGTAGAACCAAGTGACAAAGATAAGATAGTGTCTCCAAATGGGCTATGATTATCAACATGATTGGGTATACCTGAAAAAGCAGCATTAGGGTAAAACACAATTAACTTTTCCCGCAATAGTACAAATGAAGTTGCTAAATATAGAAAAGGTAAATTCAAGACTTAAAACTTGACGTACCATGACCAGGGGTATATTTATTCACAGTCAACTGATCAGGTTCTCTCACATCTAATCCGTGTTGTTTAAGCCTCATCCAAAGCATGTTACATTCTTTAGGTATCATTTCTAAAAGAGGTGAATGCAAGTCTACATCGTTTGTTCCATATCGAAACTCATACCCATAGTGTTTCACAAGCCGATTCTTTAAATTACTACGATTATCATTTTCGTCCCAATCAAACAATTTTATTAACTGCAGTTCTTCTTCTGGAGTTATGAAATCTTCTATTATTTGTAAACCTTTTGGGTTAGGATGGTAACATATCACATCTGTGTTTGGTACTGCAATAATAAAACATATTTATTAATAATAAAAAACCATTAATGTGCCAATCCAAATATCCAGTTAATATAATTTTATTTAAATGATAGTCGACAACTTTTATTGCAGAGTGATTCACACGGCCGGATTCAAAGTCTCGTCTTCTCCGAGGTCCCGGGTTAGAACCCAGTCGAGTCAATGTAGAAGATGAAATTTTCTATGTTTCAGATCTGAGTCTTGTGGTACCTACGTTGTTTCAAATACCTAATAACACGATGGCTTAGCTACTTGCAACCTAAGCATTAAATGAGATTTGTCTATAAATAATATTTATTTGTCTATATTATTAATGCAAATTCTAGGAATATTTATTGACATAACAATCCTTGAAGAGAATGAGAACGAAATCCGATGTAATGATATCAGAAGCTTAAGAAAAATTCAAAAGTGGAAGTCAAGTAGACAAATCCAGTTGACTTGCTCTGCAACATGCAAGTAAAGAATGCTTATGTATGGAACCGAAATTATATCAGAGTATATAAATATAATAAATGGAATTGAGAAGTTTTCTAGAAATAAGAGAGTAGATCTAAAAGAAAGTATCGATATTAATAATAATGTCAAAGAAGCAAAAGACTTGTATCAGAATCGTGCTTGTTTCTTTTTTGGATCTCGCAATATATTATAAAGATTAGAAGATAGTTATTATGATTATTGAAATAATTTATATATAAAATAAAATCTTACCCGTTTCCACAAAACACATATAAAAAGCTGTATCTTCACTAAATTTAGATTTCCCATTGTATGTATCATAAAATAATGAGGAGTTTTCAGTTGAATTGAAAACTAAGAAAGAATATGTTTCTCCTTTCTCTGCTATAAATTTTGGCATTTCTATACTATTAGGCAATCCTAACACTAATTCTAAAATATATTTTTTATCTAGACCTGTAGCTTGACCTGCATTGCATATTATTATATTCTGAAAACAAATTTAACCTTACAGAGAAAAATACTGAAAATTATTTTACATAAACAACAAAATATTTTAACACTTCCACAGGGCAATTCCATGATGACAGGAGACGCTTTAATCTCTTGTTCATTTCTAAAGTAGCATGTTTGCTTTTAAAAAACAATTCATTTTATTACATTACATACTTTTTTTAATAAAACAAAATCATATAGAAATTACTAAGATGTATAGATTCCCAAAGGGAGATTTAAATGTTGTGACAAGTATTGTTAAAAAAATCAGCAATTGATCAAACATTAGAATTTAGCTAAACTAGATTACTAGATGTTTTGATCAGTTAAAATATCTTCTTTTCTGGTAAGACTTGTACATATTTTACAGGTGAAACCGCTGGCAGAAAGCTAGTTATAGACTATATTTAATCTAAACCTATGACAATAATAGTATGCAAAACAACATTATAAAGAGATGAAGTTTACAAATTTACAATAATACTTAAAAGTATAACTTCATTTGACATACCCTAATTTATTATTGTATTTAATTGTTCAGATAGACATTTTAATTTTTTTTTTTTGTTATCAATATACTTACAGGTCCTCTCACATCTGTACATAGAATTCCCTTAGAACTAAAAAGGCGTGTCGTAAACCTTTTTATTTTTCGGCGAGTCTTCTTCTCGTCATCCATACTTCCTTAAAAAAAGATAACTGTTTAACATGATGTAGGTTATCTGATAGGATTTTTTAAAAACAGGATTCATAATCAGCTTAATCTATAGTTTCAGTGATTATTTACTAAAAAATTGTGTTATTTTCGATTATTTAAGAGTACAATAAAATAGAAGCATTTTTAAAATAATTTAGCTGTTTATTTTATATTTTAGTATTTTATACATCCTGCTTTTTGTATATAGTTGTGGTAGTGAAAGCCCAAGTGAAATTTTGAATGTTGTTAAAGTAAAATTTTACCTACCTGAAAGGGAGTTAAGTAGTAATAGAAGAATTATTACTAATGTTAGAATATTCTATGGCAGACAATTCTAGGCATATGTTATTAGTCTTAATATATTTACATAGGTAATTAGGAAAGCGAAGTTAAATATCTTAAGACGGTTTTATGTATTTAAATCGTGTAATGATCTCCTACGTGAAGTTGGCAGTAGTATAGCAGGTGACGCAAAGAGCCATTAAAGTTAAGAAGAAAAAGGAAAGTGGATTACCTGGATAAGACTTAAAATCATTGAGATACCTACATATACCAATGCGTACAATTCTTCTTCTTCTTTTTTAATTCATGGCCTATTTGCTTTTACACAATTCCGCCAATGTGCGTACAATTCAGTACAATCATAGAGAAATATAATATTACCAAGTACAATTCTCTCATATTTTTTGACATGTTTACTTACAATTGCATTTTTTTTTTATAGTTTTACAGCTTTGGAACCACCCATACGGCCCTGCTTTAGTACAGTTAACAGAACAACAGGTTAAACAAATTTGACTTTCTCCACTTAATATTAAGAGCTAGGTAGAGAGAAAATTCAACTGAATTAAGGAGACCTACGTATGCTTAAAGAACAATGTCATTTTGTGGCTGTATAGATAGAAGTCCTTTGCCTACCCTGAAAGGGTGACGAGCATTAAAAAAACATGTTATGCCAATCACATTGACGTTGTCACAGTGATCTTATAAGAGTCTGGAAAATTTAACATTTTTCGCTATACCCATTCGATTAATTATACAAAATGGATGATTTTGGTGATAATTTCGTTCAACCAGATACTCAGCCTGAGGTTGATCCAGCTGCAGAGTTCTTAGCTCGTGAACAAAACCAATTAGCTGGCTTAGAAGATGATTTGGAAACAAATGCTCCGCCCCCTATGCTTTCGTCAAACTCCAATGGATTTGATGATTTTGTTGGCAAGTAATCTGTCATCTATAAGAATACCGTGTAGATGATACCTGATGCTGGCTGAATCTTAGAAGAGCCAACAACGAAGAAATTGATTGATTGATTGAAAAAAAAATGATTTTATGATTATAAAGTTTAATATTTTGTTTCAATTTCAGAAGTACCTAATGCAGCAGCTTTTGAAGCTAATGGGCTTTTAGACGATGAGTCAACTCCACCTACAGTGTTCAAACAAGAGCGCGAAGAACCAGAAAAAATAAAAATTTGGAGAGAAGAACAAAAGAAAAGACTGGAAGAAAAAGGTTAGAAATATCACATCATATAATTGTAATAGTCTGTTATAAAATAGTATTTGTAGCTGTTTATTTTAATAAAAGCCACAAAACAAATATTTCGAAAACATGTTTTCATAAATTAAAATTAAAACAGAATTTAAACTTTTTATATATTCATGATATCATTCTAATAAAACAGATACAAGAATATAAGATTAAAAGATGTCAATAATGTCATCTAATTATTGATTATGAAATAAAAACATCTATATCTAGATCTATATAAGCTAAAAACCTGACTACAGCTAAATAACACTGTAAAGAGTTTGAAACAAGAAATTTATTTTATAGCCATAACTACATTATATTATAATAGTTATGACCAAAGGATAGCGTAGTCATATGCCCCTGATCATAACAAAACAAACTTGTTATTAGATAAGTTTCTTGTTTCAAACTTTTAGAGTGTGATTTAAATGTAGTCAGATTTTAGTTCTTGAACTTATTTTTTTATCAAATCAAAAATAACTATTTTAGGTTGATGAATTTTGCTTGTTAACTATTCTATGTATTGTTATATTCACTACTACAATGATGTATTAAAAAGCTTAGATGGATTATCTGCACTCAATATTGACAACAAAAAAGCAAGGCAATTGCCTGAGTTTCACTTTAGTCACATTTCAGCAAGTGTAGTGGCTAATATAATTTCCACTCTTAATTTTCTATGAAACGGAATAAAATAAATGCCTTCCTACATGTCTAAACAATGCACAAATTACACATTGTCAATGAGAAATGCAAAAAGTTATAAGATATCATTTCATGCCTATGTACTGTACTTACTCTTTTTTATTTTATTAAAAATAGGTAATAATACATCATTGAAAGGCCATTTTTTCATGCATCGTGTTCTATGAGGTATTCAGTGAGGTTTAACGTAAAGTTAATCAAGTATGTTTATCTTATTCTTATTAGAGGCATGCTGAAATTCTGATAGGGAGATATTGTTAATTTTGTGATCCTTTGTGGACGCTGTTTTAAAACGCAATAATGTGCTTAAGATGATCCAGCAACTGGATAGGTGATTACTCCTTAACTCATTATCTTGTTTCCATTATTATTAAATGATTATGTTATCATTATAAGACCATAGTTTTTTTTTCTCTCTGTTTATAATATATTGATCTGGTAATGACATGGTTTTTGTAAATGTCATTACTCTTATTAGAGCTGGTGAGTTTCTTGCTCATTCTTCTTATCAGCCAAAAGACGTCCTGAACGAGTGGTAAGGAAAAAAATGTTGGACGATTCAAAAGTACTTTTAAGAAGTCTATTTGAATAAAGATTATTTTGACTTTGACTGTTTCAGAAATTCTTTAGGTAAGCGAAACAAATAAGGTCTTATGTAATTTTAAAGTCTTATATTTAAATAAAAATGTGAAGAAGGGGATAGTTAAAAGCACATTCATATTCTTTAATAATAACTATGAACTCAAAATAAATCTTAAAAGTGACTTCATTATTAAAGAAGCTGCTATTGAAATCGGGTGAAGGTTTTCTGTAGATTATTAAATGATAACTGGGGTACAACATAAACTAGTAAAAAAAACTGGTTTTTTTTTATACTAGTTTATGTCGTAGATGGACTAAAAGGAACAAGATATCGTGTCGAAATAACTAGTGTAGTTGACGTAGTTCATGAAACTGTTTTCAGAATGAACTGTTAAGACAACATTGTTTACGTCAACCCGACGGTTCAGTAAATTGTGGACGGTGAAAATGATATTGCTTTCATACTTTTTCATTCTTATTATTATTTTCAGAATTGTTTATTAACACATACCAAATCTACAAATTGAGATAGTTTATTTGCCTTTATTCACCAAATTATTCAAACTGATGATATTACAATCGAAGCAAATGAAAAAGTGGGATGCTGCTTGCATAATTTTTATCAGTATGCAGAATAAGATGTACAGATATTAAAAACTTGTTGTATTTATATATTCTTAATAATTACGCCGGTAATGGGTATATAATATTTAAATTTAACAATTAATGATAATTTTCAATGTATCATATAGATATTTGGAGAGAGGCATATTTTGTTTTGTAAACCTACCAATAAGATTTCTAAATTTGTATGCCACATAAGCTGTCTAATAAAAAAACAATTTTGAAAATCAATTCAAAATTGGCAGAGCAATCGCGTAACAAACACCCAAAAAAACATAGTGTCAACTTGAGAACCTCCTCCTCTTTTGAAGTCGTTTAAAAATATATTAAAAATTTTGAGTTAACGAATAGTGCAAATTATTATTGGTTCAGTTAAATGTTGATGTTTAATGAATGTATCAAGAAAAACTAATATAAAATATTACTTAAAGTAAATTATTGTTATTCTATAGATGCTGAGGAGGAAAAGAAAAAGGAGGAAATGCTGCGTATCGCAAAAAAAGAACTCGAAGATTGGTACAAAACTCATGAAGAACAGATAGCCAAAACTAAAGCAGCTAATAGGTAATTCATAGTTTTTAGTTCAAGTATGTATTGTAAGATTTTTTAAATAGTTAATGCCACAAATTTGCAATACTCATAATTTTCCCAGTTGCACTCGTCTTCGCAATTGATGTTCTGCAGACGCTTTCTCGTACCGTGATTTAGTGTAGGTTGGGGGGCTCCAATTTTCCGCATTTAGACACTAATCGATATATTGTACATCTTATGACTAATTGTATCCGATATATCAGATTCGCCCCTATTAATACAATCCCACGGTACAACTACAACGTAGTTTTGCAGGAATCAATTAGAACTGTCTCCTTGAAGACACTATGGATGAGCAGGTCATTTAATTAAATCCTTTTGATGTTCGTACTCCCAACTCATAAAAATTATAATTCTATTTTAAAATGAAAATTCGCCTGAGGTTTGAGGTTTATAACAATAAGGGATGCAACGGAACCTACTCAACGGAAGCAGAAACAGAACAGAAGTCAAAATTTATGTAGAAACGGAAACAAACGGATGCGGAAACGGACGTGTAAAAACTATGAAACAATGTATTCTAATATTATATGGGTTATTCTTTATGAAATCATAATTATCACAATATTATAATTTATTATTATTATAATATTGTGATGATTATGATATAAAAAATTAATAAACACGCAGCGACAAATCAGAACAAGTGTTGAATATGCCCGTTTTACGCGAGCCGGGCATTTTTCCCCTCCCGCGCGCATCCAATAAACAAACAAAAAAGCTTTCAAACAAACCGTACGTCGCAATGTTCCGTTTAAATTTTCGTTATATAAGCTGCGAAACCAAAAACAGAAACGGACGTCAGAAAACATGCGGAACTTCTGCAATTGCGGATTCAGAAGCAGAAGTCTGTTGTCGTTGTCATGCATGACTAATAATAACAATACGGTTTTTGGTAAATCTTGTAGAGAGATCAGTCTTAATCATAATGTTGGTATGGACCTACTGATGGAAGCTGTTAAGCTGGAATCCTCTCCCACATCTGCCAACATTAGATTCCTCTTTTTTCTTACATCAATTTTCTGACTGTTGTTAAGAGAGTCATTATGACAGCAATGCAGTCCAATGCGGTACAAAATCAAAACCGCCGAACTCTTGCTATAACTCTAGATATTAAAACGTTTTATTGATTTTATAAATGAATACATTAATTTTCTACTATAATGATATGTTTTTTATAGAGATGCGCCAAATAGTGCTTTCACCGAATAACCGAATACCGAATAGTATTTGGTTTATCATTTCATTTTTTTTCAGCTAGGGTGTTTCGAAGTGCTCCTTGTAATATAGCTAACAATGATATCGGAAGCAAAGAAGCTATATGCATGATAAAATTTTAAATAATACTTAACTCAAAATCGACTTATTAAAGAAACTACTTCTGAAGTCGGGCGGAGGTTTTCTGTAAGTTATTAATTAAATGATAGGCGACCGACTTCAATAGAAGTTTCTCGAATAAGTCGCTTTGGAGATGAGTGTTATTTATCCTTTTTAATAGTTTGAATTCATTTCTATTTAAAATATATATATATATATTTCATGCAATATCAGTAATATTGATATTTTTTTTATATAATAGGAAAGGTTTTGTTCATTTTCATTTTTTTCCTATAATCTATACTCATAAAGAGGAAAGATTTGATTTCTTGTTTGTTTGTATTAGCTAGACTCCGAAACTATTGGACCAATTGTAAAATTCTTTCACCTACGGGAACCTACATTATATGTATGATATTCGGGGGTCATAAGCTATAATTTACGCATGCAAAGTCGCGGGGAAATAGCTAGTTTGATAGAAATTGGTTAATAATTCAAGAAAGAATCAAATATCATACCTACTTACATAGAAAATATACATGCCCGTTGAACATAGAAAATCCTCCTTTCGGATTTTGAAATCATCAAAATATTTAGGTGGTATCTGATAAAAAAAGCATATTTTGTTTTGTTATAAAAGGAAAATTACTGACTGGATTTCGATAAAATGTCAAATAAAAAAAAGAAAATCGGTCAATAATTCGCGGAATAATTGGTAAACACACATAAAAAAATACATCGCCGTTGATCATATAACTTCTTTTTCGATTTTGAAGTCGGTTAAAAACCAAACAGCCTTGCCGGAGACAGCCAAGAGCTTGGTGTTTCTGTACCATAGTTTACCATTAATGAATTATAAATATTAATATATCTACCCGACCTTTTGTTTTATTTCTGGTTTTTATTATATGTATATAGCGACAACAGTTTATAAAATAAATATTTATGATTTGAAGCTACATTGCTGTATTTTATTAGACACATTACTCGTATGATTTCTATGACTTATAACATAAATTTTCAATAAGAAGTTTTGTCTTTAGTTCTATACTGAGTCGTGTAACCAAGACAATTGAATTACTCGAACCGTATATATTCGGCACCAAAACCGAATAATTCAGCCGAATACGAATAGTGAAAAAGATACCGAATACCGAATAGTAAACAAATATTCGGCGCATCTCTAGTTTTTATATTATCTTTATGTATTTCCAACATTTATTTATTTAACTTTTAATAATAACTTTGTTTGTTACAATTTGACAAACTTAAAGTAATTCAGACCTGAAATGTTTATGCATCTTATGTATTCCAAACATAAGTTATGAGGATCCAAAAATCTGACGTAACGTTTTGAGAAAAAGTAGGTAGTTCCCTTGCTCTTCGTTTGTCTTTGGGCTCGGCTTTGGCGGACCACTACCGTGGCCCTAGATAACTACAACAACCAAAACCATTTATTACATATGTACATAATAAAACTAGAACATTATAAAAGAGTACGCACATATTACTTGATAAAACCAATAAAACGATTTTACAGCTACGGCTAGAGTCATAGCGAGAGAGTTAGGCAGTCAGTCTGTTGGTTCTTTAAATGGTTAATTTTTAACACGGGTTATTTTTTGAAGATTTTGCTGCATAGCAATAAGGCCGCCTTTTATATAATGTCTTTCTTATCTGGCTTCTTCGAGTTTCCGTCTGTAGAGTGCAATAAAGCATATTACTATTATTTAAACAAATCCTAAATTATGTTAAATATAGGAAACCTTTTTGTTAATTCAAATTTCTCTCGACTGATAAATGCTTCCTTACTTTAAATTAATCTACCTAATATCTCTCTTATCTGCTATTGATATATCTTTTGACTATGCCAAATGCTTGTATGAATACATTTATACGAAAAAATACCTCTCATATTCTTTACATAAGTATTGATTAAAAAGCCCTAGATACAACTTCGCCTATTTGTACTATAATTCAGTGTCTATGCTGGCATCGAGAAACAAGTGTATAATGAATTATTACGAAGCGTCTACCATATATGTACGCACTAATTTAATTACAATGCATCATTTCTTATACGATTGTAAACGTTACTCCCACAGAAACCATACAAAGTTGTATGGATAACGATATTTATCATTAACTTTCAGCTATAATAATTCAGGTCAGTATTTTTCAATGTGCGGTTCACGACCTCTCGGGGGGAGATTGTAGAGCCTTATTCAAGGGGTCTCTGGCAAAAGAAAAAAGTTACAGCAAAACACAATTTTCGTGTGAAGGAGGTACTTGTTCGTTATCTTTGTCTGCAAATGTAGTGTTATCGTTGTCTTTCTGTAGCCCGAAGGATCGCCAGATTTTTTCTACCTAGAAAGTGATCGTGTATTCAAAATATTTGAAAAACATTGCATTATTTTTTTTTGTCCATTTTTTGTGGGTGGCCTAGACGAACTAGATATTGATCCCAATCGTGACTGAACAAATGAAACGCCACACAGGACCAGTGGCCAACCATCGTTCGTTAAATTCATAATTGTAGTCCATTGTAGCACGTGACGGCCGGCCGATATGTTTCACAGAAGGCGTTCAGAGGATGCGTAAAGCCAAATAGAATAGAATTACTAGTGCGTACTATAACATATTTTTACACTTTTTACTTCGATATGATGATTAATTAGTTACTGTTCTTGACTTGGGCTGAATGTTGTATCTTGGGTTTGTTTAATCGAAAAATGCATGACTTGACTCCACTAATACTTCACATTTCTTTCTTATGCTCTCAGGGAGTCTGCTAAGTAAGTATCGCAATAAAAATATTTTATCATGTTTTACTGACTAATATACCCATATTCATAAAACGTTTAAATCTTATTTAGAAAAGTACTTTTTCAAGAAGGGTTCTTAAACAATGAGTTTTTTTTTAATATTCCCCCTAACCCTTGGTACATACAACATCGCTCAGGTTTATTACAAAATGTAATATTTCTGCAAACATTTTTAAGCGTTTGAGATGTAAAACATTCGCTGGCTTGGAATAAAAATGAACAGGACATGATGGAGGAAACTTCCATAAAAGGTTTTTAATTGTATTAGATGTGGACTTCGTGCAAACTATTCTCTCAAGTACAAATCGCCAAAAAGTTATATATATTAGAGATAGTCCTTCAGAAATGGATGGATGGAAAAGTTAAAAGTACATTAATATGACTTTTTTTATTTAATATAACAAGGTACGATGGGGTGACATATCCTCGTGGAATAAAAGATCCAAATTATGAAATATCAACAGAAAAAGGATATTTAAACGTACGAATATTGAGTTACCAACAGTAATAAGAATTCGTTATGCTTAAACTTCAAGGTATAGAGACAAGAAACAGATACTTTCTAGGATTACATTTTGCCCTTGATATCTGCCCCAACAATCGGGACAAATAGTAAATACATTAAAAATATGTTACATTAAATGTAACATTAAAATCGATACAATAATCAAATAATATTTAAAAAAAAATCTTTAAATAGTATTCAATCTACATACATACATATTATTCATGCCTTCTACCGGACGGATAGGCCGAGACTCCAAACATATCCACTTACTAATATCATAAATGTGAAATTTTGGGACAGATGTCCCGGAGAAAAATATAACCCTAAGGAAGTATCCGTGTCTTGTCTCTGTTATTTCTTATTCCTGTCACTGGTTACCATTCTCATAGGTGATGGTGTATTGGATTGGAATTTTCATTAAAAGTCATGTTTTTTTTCAAGTTCATTCCAATTATCCATGAGTAATCCCTTAATCACCATAATGAATATCATTTATCATTGGTAATCAAAGTAAACTGTTGATAGTTCTTATTGTCGCTAATAATTCAGATGCATTTGAGGTAAAGGTAACTAACAAAATTCATAACTTAGGAATGCAGAAAGGGCATTAGCTCGAGGGTCAGAAAGCAACGTTGAAGAAGGTAACGAGTGGGCGCGCGTTGCTGAACTCTGCGACTTCGGTCCGCGGCGTGGTCGCGACGTAGCGCGTTTGCGCTCCATCGTGCTGCAGCTGAAACAGTCCGGTGTACGCCCCAAACACCCACCTCGCACTACAAAAGTGTAATTATATCTAGTTTTTATTGTTTTTCTGATACATATTTTAAAAGTAGTTGCTTGATCTTTATATTGCTATATGGTAAACATTTGAGAAGAAATGGCAGTTTTCCGTGATATAAATCCCTAAAAAAGGTGTTATTATTTAAATTTAACAAGGAATATTACACAAAGCTCGCCACAGAGCAGCACTAGGACACGCAGTTAACAAAACAGCGTCTTTCACTATGTCTTATATAATTAGGTATAATAATAATTTATGAAACCACTTCAAATTGTAATAGTTTTATATTATCCATGTATCCAAAACCTGCACTGTATAATACGGTCGATAATGATAAGATTTTATATACGGGTTATATACGGTAGATACGGTGTCGATAATTCCATATGGACTACTGATACTTGAAAACTTTGAATCTCACATAAAATCTTCACATTTAAAATGTCTTAAACGTGTTATTTATATCTTAGTGTTTTTTTTTTCTAAATTGTATTGATAGTACGGTGTCACTTTCTGTAATTTTCGGACTCAGAAAAATGTGCGACAGTTTTTAAACCCTGATATTTCAGTATGTTCGAAGTACTGTGAGTATATCACTTAGTACCCACCCACTGCAGAAGACGATGAAAGGTGTTTTTTTAATAGTTTAACATTAGTGAAATACCTTATTCTTAATATAGACTAACTGCTGAGATTGTACAACCCGGCGACTCAGCAGAGTCTCAGTTGGTGTGAAATAGACCTCCAAAAAGGAGTTTCGAAATACCTGAAAGTTAATTTAGTACTAAATTATTAGTAGTTCATTCATAAAAGACTTTCATTTAATGGAGCAAACATTCAGCAATCGCTTGCGCCTGACCTCCGCACTGGATACCAAGTGATGAATACCCTTAGTTCTTCAGCATACTGAAATGTCAAGCTTTATAAAGAAAAACATTTCTTCGCGATCTCTGTTTATTATTAAAAAATAAATGTTGCAATTTAGTTTAAAAATAACAATATATTATATTATATAATATTGTTGTTATTCAATTTGTGTTCGTAATAACTCAATTTAAACTCAAAAATCATTTTTTTACAGAGCTTGAATTCAGACCATACAGATCAGCTACATACAATCTAAGAAGAATGACTATAAACTCTTAAATATAATGCAAAAGTCACTCTTAATGTGAACTGATATAAGAATTTATAATATAAGTAACCTCATAATGTTACATTTTGTAAAATAGTCTTGGTAGGCACCCTGTTAAATTATATAATAAAAATATTTAAACAATGCAATATAAATATACTATCATTGCAAATACAATTTGAAAACCATTAAATGTATACTTGTTTTAGAATCAAAGCCTGGATTGTATCTTCAATAGACATTATTTTATTTCTTTTAATATACTACACTGTCTGATTGATCAGATGTTTGTAATTTTTTTATTTAACATAGTATAGTGTTGTGTAATCATTCCAAAATAAATTTTTTGCATACATCATACTTGTTACAATTTTAAATCTCTAGCTATATCAATGTTTTTCCTTTTGTATATTTTTTCTACAAATTGTAATAATAAATACATTAAACTTATAACTAAAAGAAATGGCCATACACCACTAGTCAAATAATTTCTAAGTTGTTGACCTATTGACTTATTCTTATTAAGAGATATTTTGTCATACACTAATTCAGTTCTTCTTGATATGTCTATCCAGTTATACATTTTCCTGACCATTCTATTACACTCATATGGGCATAAGATATTTCCATCATTTAAATCTTTCAAGGCCATCTCAATGCCTGCTACCAAACTGTTGACATTAGGTTCTGTTAAATATATCATATTTTCTGGCAATACTTCTGGTATTCCTCCAACCTTTGTGGAAACCACTTTCAAACCACATGATGCAGCTTCAACTATAGCCATGCAGTAAGCTTCAGTCAAAGAAGTGTTCAAGAAAATGTCTCCTTTAACTAGCACATCTCTTACTTGGGAATGTTGTAAACTACCTAATAAAGTTACACAGTGTTGGAATCCTTTTTCCCTGATTTCTTGTAAAAGCCACATTTTAGGGCCATCCCCACCAATTAAAAACCTTAAATTAGGATACCTTGGGCACATGTCTGCAATAACAGCTGCCATCAAATCCACTCCTTTTCTGTAAACTAATCTTGAAACAATAACTATTGTTATCACATCTGGGTCTCTTTGGCTTGGGTCAGGTGTAAAACTATATGCATCAACTGCATTTGGTATGACAGATACTTTGTGAGCTTTAACTTTAGCTCTTAAAACTGTGTTTTCTTTTCCAGTATGAGAAACACATATACAGTGATCAGTTTCACATAAACAAATTTGCAAATATTTATTAGTGAGCACAGCAGAAGTATCAGCAAATCCAAAAAGACTGTGGTCGGTAAACACTGATTTAAGTCCCATTAGTTTGCCTATAATGCAAACTTCATGCCCCAAGACACTAAATGCTGAATGGGCATGAACAATTTGTACACACTCTCGTATAAGAATGTATCTGATCAATGCTATGTTACATATCATAGTCGGAAGAATACACTGTGCATACATAACAGTTATGGGCAGATAATACACTTTTAGACCAGCTGTTAAGTATCTTATACCTACTCTTTTTCCATAAGAATGTGTAATGACAACTACTTTGTGACCCCTTTTGATTAAACATTGAGACAAATTAAAAATATGTTCTTCTACTCCGCCAGTGTTGGGATAAAAGAAATCAGAGGCCATGCAAATAGTATGTCGCTTTTTCCTCCCTTTAGACTGCTCCTGAAAATATAGTTTAAAATTCAGACTATACAATAATTACACAAGGGAACAATTTTTTTTTTTCATTGCATGGAATTTTATATTTATTGTTTACTAATTCGGTGTTGCTGATTTCAAATCTACATTTCTTTCTAACAGCTCTAGTTTTTGATATTCAGCCATTGGCCATATTTTTGTATCATGTAAGCCTAATTTTCGTAAAACGGGTTATTCTATTTAAAAGTAATTGTTTGTTACAAAATTCCCATCAACTTGTAAAACCAGTATCAACTATTTCTATAACAACTGTACTAAAAATACATAAAAAAATTGAAGATTACATGTGCTGAGGTATGTGAAATGAGTATATTTTCTTTAAGTTACAACTAGTCACAACGAACACTGCCTTATGTTGAGAATAAGCAAAAACTAGTAGACATTAAAATTATTGTCATTTTTGCATGATCAACATAAACGGGATTAACAGAATATACTAGTCCAAATGATTTACTCTCGACTTATTATCTATTACTCCACCAGAACTGAGCTCTAGTCGTAATTACCACAAGTATCTTCGTTCTCTACAAAATCATCAGGACTTGGAAGGGGTATGGTCCTATGAAGATTTCTGACTATGAAGAATGCCCACGATTGTACCTTTAAAAATAGTCTGTGAACTAGTTGAAGTAAGGGAATCGTAAAAAGCTGTTATTTTTTATTAATAGTGATCGTTTTCTATAATAACGCCCTTTTTTGAAAATCAGTTCCCATAAATTTAAAGTTTTGATATCAGCACGTCAAAAATATACAATATCAATCATAATATTTTATGCAACAAAAATTCTGTTCCCTTGCGTAATTTTATGCAAGATTAAGAATCCCAGTTATTTTAATATTTATCGTTAAAGACAGAAAACTTACTCCTAGCATGATTACATATAGTTATTATGTATGTTTTGTATGATGATTACACCACAGATTAAGAATATGTATTACACTACCTACACAATTTTTTTTATAAAATTTTGAAGGATACCACAGATCAACAAAATACGGATGTTAGTTAGGTAAAGTAAAACCAATCAAGGAACTCGAATACTAAACTGGAATGCTTACATGCACCTCAAAACATTTTGAAGAATAAAGCAATGTTAATGGATGACATCTCTTTGTATGAGTATATCTCTTTGTATGAGTATATCTCTTTGTACCCGTAAAATTCGGTACTATGGGATAATTCCAGACTAAATGTAAATACATATGTTGTATTATTTCTTATGTTAGGCATTAAAACTTAAGTAGAGAGTTCTTAAAGAAGGAATATTTTATTATGTTTTTTTTGAGACGACTACTCACGAACACACATTAAATAACAGTTGTCATTTGTCCTACTTAGTGGCAGCTTCAGTACTTGAATGCAAAGGAGATGTATCAACTTTATTCAACATAAATCAGTGGGCTAATTGTCTAATTTAAAGCATATCGCTGTCCCTTTGATTGTGACAACAATTAAGGGAATAATATAAGTTTTAAAGTCTCAATCGCTTCTGGGACGAATGATGTTTTGAATGATCAATAAACACAAAATAAAATTACTTATACGGTTGAATATTATTATTGTCTATTTATTTATTGGTATATAGGGTGATATTTAACTTATTGGTAAGTTGACTATCTGACTCTATTTATAAAAGAAGTGTCGGTAAAATGAATAATCCTGTTCACAGGTATGAGTTTACTTTCAGACTGTTTTAATGCTCAATAACGACTTACAAATGCATTATTGTCTATATTACACAGATAACGTCGAACAGAGTGGGCGAGAATTATTATTAAACAGATGTGCCACAGTTATAATTGTGAAAAGTGTTGCGTTTATGTTTGTCCAATTGAAAAAAAAATCGATATATCGATTTTTTTTTCAGGAAAATATATATATTTTGATATATCGATAGTTTTTGCCCAATCCTAGTGAGCATACCATTTGTTGCATCCCGTCCATGGTGCATACTTCTTCTTCTTCTTCTTCTTTTATTAATAACGTATCTGCGCATTTCGCAAAATTCTGCCAATGTCAAGTAAATAAATTAGTTTCTACATGTAAAATGAAAATGAAATGAATGAAAGACGACAATGGATCTGTCTATGGTGCATACACTTTATTCTTTTTGTGTGTCAAAATTATGTCAAAATAATTGCGAGTTGCTTGCAAAGAGTATTTAAAATCGCCCATGAATTGCCTGTCGCATGGACATATCAACTATTTCTTATTTAATACAATAAACACGTTTTCATTTCACGTTCAAAATGAATATATATGTGCGGTCCAGACTCTTTAGGTCTAATTTAATCAATAATTTAATATGCTTCTATTCTACATCTACACCTGAAGTTATTGATCAAAATGATCGAGTTTTGATAGATGATAGTGATGAAACCACAGCAAGAGAAAATGAGATTGAAAAGAAACGAAATAAGTCAGGATTATCTGCTGCTCATCTGAATATCATGAATGGACGTCGACCTTATGAAACACCTAAGCATTTAAGCCATTTGACGGTCAAGCACAACAGAAAACTTTATGGAAAATATGGCAGTGAAAGTGGAGTTAATCCGAGTATGTATTATTAAATATTTTTATCACATTATGATATGTGTGCGATATGAGTAAATACCCAAGGGTTGCCAATCATATTCTAAATAGAGTTGTACTCTTACACCTAAGTGTACTCTTTTATTTGTATAACATTATTAGAGGACACTAAAATAGTGTTCATGTAACTGTAATTATTTCATATGCATGTTTAAAGACATATTTTGTATTGAATTTTAACTTGCTTAAATTCAAGCTAAATTGAAATGTACCACCATCATATAAGATCATTCCTACTCTATTTTTTGTGAATAAATTATTATTAGTCCCAGTCATACATATATGACACATACCTATTTTCTTAACCAAAGAAAAATCAAATAAACATTAAAAAATTTTTTTTAAGTCCCCTTAATTTATCTCCTCTGAAATCAGATGTCCTCTTTATCATCTAATTCAGGTCCACTATCAACAAACTACCAGAAAACCATTGTATTTCCACAAGATAGTGTGAAATGTGCTTGTCCTTTTTATATGTACGTTGTGCTGATATATTTCATCTCAATTTTAAAAATTTCGAGTTTAACCAGTAATAGTAATCCTCTTACATTCCAAGTCCCTATTCAATACCTGGAGCTAATGAATGGCTGGTTTACTATTGTCCTCAGTTACGTTAACTGCCTCATTAGCCTGCAGAAATAGTATAACGCTAAAGAGGTGTATTGGCGTTTCTATAATTGACCTGTATGATTGTAGTTCTTTTGGGAGTTTAATTGTTGTGCTTTCTCATTCCCATTACTTTGAGCGTCAGGTTGTTTTGGTTATTTACTCTCCCCAATCCCAAATTTTTCCTTACTCTATAATTTGAGTAGGTTAGTTCACCGTCGTCGTTGGAGTGTTTTATGGCTGTCTGAGGTGAAATTAAACTCACGCTCTGTTCACAGGCCGACTCTCCTTCTTTCGCAACCACGCGTGGTTCCATCTACGGAGGAGTTATCGTTCATAATAATACACTAGTATTATTTTTATGTATATCTATCTCTAAAGGGCAAAGGTCTGATCTGTCAAAGCACAGCTCTTACAATGCTACTACTAGAAGCAGCAGTCCAATAAGGTAGCATTGTAACTGTGGACGGACTGAGCATTTTGAAAGATTTAAAAGAACTCTACAGATTTAAATAGGGATTTGAAAATCATGTAATCCAGGTGAACAAAGACGTGGACAGAAAGCTAATTATTATTATATTTTAGGTTTATGCTGGCCTACAAAACTAGATATTCAAGAAGCACTAGAATATGAATCGGTAGCCTTTCCTTACACAATTAGAGAGGTTATGGAATCTGCAGCACTAAGGAAACAGGAGGAGAAATTGAAAATACAGAAGCGAGAAACAGATATTGCAGCAAAATATGCTAAGTTGGAACAATGGAAGAAAGAGCTCAGAGATAAATTAGCAAAGAAAGCTGCTGAAGCAGAATCGGCTAAGGTAAATATTATTTTTGTTTTTCTTTTTATACATACATACTTTTATACGTTTAACGACCATGATCGCGGGGTCGGGCTTTCAACTTGCTTTTAGAAAAACGATAATTTTTATGTAATAAGATAAAATGATAATGGAGATCATATTTTTGTTTATTAATACATACCTTAAGGTTACCACAAGTGTCAAAGGCATTTTTTTAATGAACAGATCAAAAAGGAGAGATTGGTAGAAGAAGTTAGAAGACATTTTGGCTTCACATTAGATCCTCGTGACGAAAGATTCCAAGAGATGCTTGCTAAACGAGAAAAGGAACAGAGGAAACTAGAAAAACAAGCTAAGAGAGATGCCAAGGAAAAGATGATGTTTGCCAAATTACAACAAAAAAATGTTGAAATTAAAGACACTCCCAAAAGATAAATAGGTATCTATATTCCAAGGGCTAATCCAGGGGAACGGGGTCAGAGGGATGATTCGAGTATTGGTGTTTTTTTGTAGTATAATGACTGAATTTAATAAAATACGCCTGGATATCGATTTAATGACCCTGATATTAAGGCTGGATACACTCTTGATTTTTTAACACTATAATATGTAGTTCTGTACATTTTATGTAGGTATGTAATAAATAGTTTAAAATTTAACACTCTGTTTCTCTACAAACATATCCCACCTTCTGTTGTTATCGGTAAACACCTTTCACCATAATCGCGTAGTTTATAGCAAGTGCATTTTTTAAATTTTCTCGCTGCCCTCTAAGTTTAGTATGACTCTGCAGATCTTTATTTCTATTGCCAACCATATAAATCTATAGTGCTAAAATAGTTATAAACAAAATACATTGATGTCTCCAGAATAAGTTATTTTAACAGACTTTTAAATCAAATATGTCCTCCGGTGCTCTGTTAGACGGTGATTTATGTTTTTCTATTGCATTATGCTTACTAAGCAGTGTCGGCGGTTTTGCTCTTTTCTTTGGCGGCTCTCACAAGCCTCCGGCACACTGCGGCCGCCGGGCGAGCATTAAAATCAAAATGTCCATAATTATTTTTGCTCTATTTTGCATTCACAATGCTATACTTAAAAAAAAAACAATTTGTCAGGCCTGTTAAGTCCTGGGTAACTCAGTGGTTAGAGCAGTCGCCCGGATTGCGAAAGGTAGTGGGTTCGAGTACCTGTGGCTAGTTTTTAAGCATTTTTCATTATGAATACTGTCGATAATTATCATCAATGAACAACACAAAATCGTGCAAAGTAGGCAATGTGTAAGTCTTATCTGTCTTGTTGACAAGCAATTATACACTTCAAGCAAACCAAGGGCCCTTCAAAAATTTGTTACAAGCCCGGCACTGGTGCAAATGGGTGTTTAATAACACTAAAGGTAAATTAAAAGCTTCAGATTGTTCAAGAAAACTTTTTATCTATATTGTTTTAAATAAAGATATAAAAAAAAAATCATGAGCTATCTTCATCGTCGGAGGAGCAGAGCGCGTCACGCGGATTCGGCGGCGGCGAGCGTAACCGGCGCGTGTGAGCCGGCGAGTACACCAGTGTGTCCGATGAGTCGCTCACACTACCCGCTTCGTACGAGTTCTGCAAAACAATAACTAGGGAATTTATTGAAAAGTATAAACTTTTGTTTGTTATTAGCAGAGAAGACTGGTTGTTTATTTCATTTCGTATTTCATTAGATACGTCAAAGTTTAGTTTCTTAAAAGATTAGTACCTGGATGACTAAGCTTTACTCGGCATTTTAATAAAAAAAAAATTAAACCTAACTAAATTTAAAATTTAAAGCCTCTGAGAGCACCTACAAGCTTAATATCATGAAAATTGTTGGAGCCGTTTCCGAGATTTATAATACAGGAATTACTCTTTTAAAGGTTTAAGATAAAAAGTGTAATAACATAAAACAATGTTAACTACATAAAACTTTATTGTAAATAACCGTAAAAATAAATGTTTATTTCATTATACCTATAATTCCTAATTTTATTTTCCTAATTTATTCAAATATTGTGATTTGAATAAATAATATTACAGTAAAACAGTTAACACACAAAAGTGCCAATCTCGCGATATTGATATTCATAAACTCTCGAGATCTCGCGAGGTTGCATTAATATTAACTATTCTCTTCCTGCACGGGTAGCATGACAAACTCGAGAAACGCTTTGTCTACACTCACTCGTCAGTTTGTCGGGTCAAGAGTGAGATATCGTATGGGCGCACACGAGAAAAGTGTCATTTGAGTATAGACAAAACGTTCTCGAGTTCGTCATGCTACGCGTGCTGGTGCCCTATTATGGGTTAACTCGGCACTGCCTACAGTTAGCTTTAGTCATGATTACTTGACGTCAAAGTCTTAGTTACTCATACATATATATACAGCATTCAGTAATAGCACCAGTTTTTTTTTTAACTATGCTTCAGTTTTTTTTGTCATTGTTAAATAACAGTAAATTGCGTAAAGGTAAAAAAATACGAATCATTTATAAAGATCTAAATGTATGTAGGTACTTATAATTGTGATAGAATTTACCATTCTATGATCATAGTTATTTCTCATCTTCTTAGGTTTGTTCTGTGGTGATATTATGTCGTCAGTTATGCTGTGATCATCACCGTGTGCATTTGTTGTGTCTCCCATTTGTCGTTCAATCATTTCAGGTTTCTGCAAAAATATTCTATATATAATTTGATATTCCCGCGATTTCTTTATTAGGGTTCCTATCATTAAGGCTACACTGTGCGTCTGCCTGCAACCAAGTTTTATCTCACAAACCCTTATAGCTAGACAGTTCATTTATAATAAATGATCTATTTCTTTTGCCGCTATAACAAATATGTATAAATACGTGTTTTTTTGCATTTTTTATAGTATAGAATACGGAACCCGTTGTGCACAAGTACGACTCACACTTTGCCGGTTAGCATTTGATTTTTAACACGTGACACTAGGCATAAGATACATCTGAATTCGAATCAATCTAGTAAACTATAAGTTATGTGGTTATATTTTTTTTTATGGGATAGCGGGCTGACGAGCAGACGTATCACCTGATGGTAAGTGATCACCGTCGCTCATGGACACCTGCAACACCAGAGGGGCTACAAGCGCGCTGCCGGCCTTGGAGGGAAGGGTTGAGGGGTAAAGGGAAGGGAATAGGGAGGGGTTGGGTCTCCGGTATCCTCACTCACACGACGAAAAACAACGCAAACGTTGCTTCACGTCGGTTTTCTGTAAGGCCGTGGTATCACTCCGGTCGAGCTGGCCCATTCATGCCGAAGCGTGGCTCTCCCACGGTTACAACTTTTATTTTAGTCATTGTTGAAGTCCGAGAATGTTCTGATTTTTTGCAATTCTCACTTAAAGTTATTTATATTATGTTGATGGTGTGTTTATACCGTCTTAAAAGTGTAAAATGTAGTGTACTTACCATCTCTACATTATCTCTACATCGTTCTACGCGTTGCTTATCTCCGAGCATATGCGCAGACTTTGTGGTTTTGTTCATTTTCACATTATCTGTCATCTTCATATGGGTACTCTGAGCTTTCTTTGGTATAATGTTGATTCGCAGTTCAGTTGACTCGTATTCTTCCATTTCCGTCACCTCTGTTATTTCGTTTGCAGTTTGGTGTTCCATTTGTCGGTCTTTCGCGTTTTCTCGAAGACATTGTCTGAAATTATTTTTTTTAATAATTTATAATATATACATTTTTTAGAAGAATGTATTTATTCTTATGATACTATCAGATTTTGGTACGTTTTCAATGATGTCTTTCGACCTGCTAATTGTCATGATGACGTAGACGTTAGCAAAGAAAAAATATTTTGAAAAATTCAACCCCTGATGGTGGCAAATACATACTGGTTAAAAAAGCACGTATTCGACGAGTGTGGAGTCGTAGGAGGAAAGCTAATTAAAATACAAGCGTTGTTATCTAATAACAATAAGAGTCTTACCCATAGCACTGGTTAGTTTTGATGAACGCATAAATATCTTTAAATGCTTGTTGTATATAAGACAACGTGTTCTGGTCAATTGGCACCGAACTTGTGGAGCCCGAACTGCTCGACAAATCACACGATCTTGAACTCGCTTGGAACGATTGTTCTGAACCTATACACAAGCAAAACATCAATAAAAACAACTGTAACCATCAGAGAAACAAAGCACTTTTTATATCTTAGGCGAAGAAAGGGAGATGACTCGGTTTTGGTTACTGGCCCCCTAAAGTTACCATAAACTATCTTTAAAATATTGTATCATGGCAAAGCTTATACCGTTGCCATTTGCGAAGTATCAAATTTCATAACTTTTAAAATAACCGATATCGGGTGATAATATTAAAATGTACAAAATCAGGTCATCTGCCCTATCGTGTGTGCACCAGAGGATATAGCTCCATTTGCCCATAGTCGTTGCTGATGCTGTTTGAGTAGCTTCATCTGATCAACAAGCTGAAGGTTTAACTCTTCCAACTGTTGCCTGTGTGATATTTCCTCTTGAAGTTGTTCTTCCAGTACTTCCGCGTAATCCCTGTGACATATCAATTAAAAATCAAAATGTACAAAAATTGACTTTATAAGATATTCAGTTATCTATACATATTTCAATGTAATTACGTACTTTTCTTTTTTAATCGCTGTAGCCTTATTTGAATATTTTGCAGGTACTCCTTTATTCATAGAAGGTATACGGTCTTTAATTATTCCATTTCTGAAATTTTTTTATCCATCATAATCGTTTCAATGTCTACAGGAAGTATCTATAGGTACTTGTTATTTCAATACTTACTTAGAAGAAACAGATTTAGCCAATCTGCCATCACTTGAAGAACCACTTAGGTTACCGAGCCATGAATACTGAAAATTTATTTATCATATAAGTACCAAAATGAGTGCATGTACCTACGCAAATACATTATTATTACTACTGAGACTTAGTACCTAATCATTATCATCACTCAATTATTATCCTCTACTCAATGCTCGTTTATCTACAGACCTCTATGGGGTAACCCACCATGCAGGCGCAGCGCGGATCGGTGGGTAAGTATTGGCTAGAGACTACGGATTTGCGGATACAACCAAAGCCAAAGGCTTAACGTGCTTTTTGAAGCACGGAAGAAATCAAGTTACCAGTCCATACAACAGTTGCATGACTAGGTCGGTAACAGACCAAACGCGAAATCACTGAGCCATTAAACTATATTTTTATTATATTTAATACGAACCACATTTCCTCCGACTCCTCTCTCATTTTCTCGCAAAGCAGCTCTGATTTTAGAAAGGGATTCATTGCAAATGTCGATATTGTGCCTCATATCTAAAATAACAAGGGTCGTGTTCGAATTCATCATTTGCAACGCAACGGATGCGCTTTGTTCTGTCAGTCCACAGTTTTGCAAGTCTACAGCTGATGAAGACATATTTTGGTTATTTTAATACTAATAGTTTTATTTTAATTTGACTACTTGCTAACTACCTTTAATCCATAAATCGTCTGCCAATACATCGTATAGTTTGGAAGCGCCTTGATCACCGAGTTGAGGATTCCCACATAATGTAATCCGCCTGAGTCCCGCCATTGTATCCAATTCTGGCAAGCGATATCGTAATGTATGGATCCAATTTTCGCTATATCGGTGGATCTTTTGATACTGTAACACAAAGTCCAATTATTTACAGTACCTACATACTTATCTCAAGCATATCAATGAATCATACACGGAACCAGTTATTTCAAATTTAATACGGTAAGCAAATAAATTCATTATGGGCAAACCTACAGAGACTAAGAATGTCGATGTTACGTTCAGCTGTTTGTAATATACAAAATTACCTTAACTAAATCGGCAATATAACCCGCACCAAGAACTGTAAGTTCACATCCCGAGAGGTCGAGGGTAAGAATGTTTGGGAGACACCTCACAGCCTTGCAAACAGCCAAGCAACCAGCATCGCCAATCAAAGTGCGGGGAAGATACAAATGTTGAAGGGAACTATTCGTAAGCAGAGCCTGAGAAAGGAATACCTACTTTATACTAGGCAAAGAGGAACTTCAGATAAAAATTACTAAATTTTGCGCGTTTTATGTTGTTCATTGCTGTGAAAAAGACTACTATGAGTACAACCAGTTTGTCATATGGACGAATTTATAAAATTTGGAAAATGTTAATTTAACATTGTCAAGACAAAAAAGGTAATGAGATTCAAACTCGAACTATGAATTACGAGGCTGCAATCAGGTAGTTAAAGATAAGCGAGGTCTTAACCAACTTAGAACTTCACACATTTTATGGCAGAAGACCTGGTCTTGGCTACTGGCACCTTTTTGTAATATGGCACCATAAGTAAATATGTCTTTAAAATGTTGAATTGGCAAAACTAATGACGTTTATAACTTCCGTGTGTCAAAATTTACTTCCTCTTCACTTATAGGTAAAATACAAAGGGCCCTAAACAAAGATATTTTTTAAGATTACCTCGTACAACGGATTTAAATACGGAATCCTGAGCGGCAAGCCGTCCAACATCAGTGACACAAGCAACGTAGTGTTGGCGAGCAGCTGCGCTATCGCCTCCACCAAGTTAGTCAACATGAAATTCGTCAAAATCACAGGTCGCTTGTTCACAGTCTTCGCTAATCTCTCACAGTCTATATGCTCGAGTACTAAAGTCAAAGTTAACATTTATTACAATTCCATGCGTTACATATTGTGATAAAATCCTGAGTATTACATCCATCCATCCATACCTACCAGCATTTCAAAACTAAACCTAATATAAGCTGGCAAAACAAAAAAAAACTTAATCTCAATGAAAATGCTTAAAAAATCCACTTTATCCCTGGCACTCTGGGACGGGATAGGCCATGATAATATTTAAAACACAAAGTAAATTAAGCTATTTTATTTGCTTTCAAAGATTAATCATAATAAGTAATGCTCTAGTGACTGGTACCTTTAATTAATCTATCTGAAAGGCCTATAACTGGTGTCTTGTTTTTAGTTTTATCATTTTGCATTTGGCATCCATAAACCTAAATAAACTATTAACTGTCTCAATACGTACCGGTTTTAACTTGTTGCCTGCATTTAATAGACACAGAATGCAAGCTAAGGTCGCAACAGAGAGCATTGAGTATAGGTGGCCAGTCCACGTATTTTATCCGATCCACACAGATATCTAGCACCTTTCCATTTCCCGATGGAATGACGTTATTGAGTGGCGTCAAGTTCTGCAGTTTGCAGCACTTCAGGTAACATTGGTGAAATATACGACTGCTCTTTGGATCGACTCCCTTACTAACCATTTCAATTAAAAAAATATGTAGAGCATAAAAAACGAGAGGCAATTGCGCTCGAACTCGCTTTTTGATGATGAAAAAAATACTTTGGTAGTAAATAATTGATTTGATGGAATAATAACTCAAAAACTGACAGTGTTTAAAAATAGAACCGAAATGACACTGATGGCATTGAATTTCATTCATAGCTATTGACACTTGCCATATATGGGACAGATGCAAACAGATTTAAAGTAGGTCACTCAACACCAGTGTTTTTCATTCTGTAAGTCACGTCCCAAAGGAAGTTCTTGGAGGCTTAATATATCAAAACGTGGTGTTCTTGAAATGACTTTTGGGCAAAGTTGAAAATGTAGCTTTTTAATTATATTACATTTTTTTGTCTTTCTATAACCCAAGGAGTTTTCAGTATTCAAAAAGTTCGAACAACACTGTTCTTGGAAAAGTTTGAAGAACACTGCTCTTTCACTAGGAAACTTTTGTAATATGTAATGTTTTAATTATAGGTATACAAAGTAAGAAAAGGTTTCTGTTTCTCATAAATTACATGCATACGGTTTTGAAGACATAACTCATTGGATGCCATGTAAATGATGCCAGAACTGCTTACGTGGGAAAAATTGCCTCCATCTGGTAGGCCATCAACGTCTGCAACTGAAGTTAACATCGCAAAAGTGAAAGAAAAAGTGACTGAAAATCCTCAATAAATTTTGAGAGAGTGCCGCCGAACTTTCTATATCTCATGAGTCGATCCGTACCATTTTTAATAATCTGCAAACACTCAATCGCATGAGTCCCTGAGGACATGCTAGAACGAGTCAATTCCGACCCAACATTCATGAAACGCATTGTTACTGGTGACGAGACGTTGGCTTACGAGTTTGACATGTAAACTAGCCAACAAGCTTCGGATTGGCGCTTTCCAACTGAACCGAAACCGAAAATGAACACGCCAATGTCGTTTAAAAGTCATGTTAACTGTTTTCTTTGACTATTGCGGTGTCGAACACACGGAATTCTTGCCGGAAGGTCAAACGGTAAATAAGGAATAATATTTGAGCGTCATGCGGTGTTTAAGAGAGCAAATTCAACGAACGACAAGCAAACACCCAACAAATACCATCGAGCAACCACCAGCCGACTTCTTATTTTTTGAAAGTAGCATCTTAAGAAGCACAAAATATCCAAAGAATCGTCTGCTACTCGTCTTTTTATTATGCTGGTCAGATAACCAGCTGCTGAGAAAGCCCTTTCGTAAACAAAGTACTGTAAAAGTGTAAAAACTACTCGTTTTGACCTCGCATAAATTCGCGCTGCCGCAATTAGAATAAATAGTTTTTGTGCTCGAGTGCAATCTAGTTTTATTCGCGAGATTTCGCCTATTTTTCGACCAAGATCAGTCTCGCTAAAAAGGCATTGTCGGGCCTCATTCGAGATGCGAAGGTGTGACGCACCGCGTAACCATAGCAACTCTTAGGGAAATCGCCATTTTGGTCTAAAAGACGATTTCCCTAGCCTACGTACCACGCATTATAATTAAATGAAACCAAATTAATTTTATTAAATGTTTATTGCAAATTAAAATATAAAAGTACTTGTGACATCAACTATCCAATATAAAACTGTAGATATAGTTAATGGATATCTCCCCATCGACAGTTTCATATTATGTGGCCCATATTTATATTATGTAGAGTAATATGCATAACAAAGTATTATTATCATTACACGAATATTTATTCTGTAGAATCTCGTGGACAACGTCGTGTTATTATTTATTAAAAGGATATTTTTTTAATGACTTTTCCGTGTAACTATGGAAAATAATTTTTATTCGACGTAAATAATTTTAAATGATTTATTATTCTACCTATGTAAATTTAGGCCAAATAACGATGACATTTATAATATAACATTATCTAGTTAACAAAAATACTTATCTGAAAATTTACTAAAATATATGGGTAACTTATGGTAGGTAACAAAAAAAAAGCAAATTATTTTCACTATAATTGTAAACACCAGGGTCGGATCTGGGGCGGGTGGAGTGCCAGTCTAAGGGGGGAGGGTCAATATCATCATAACATAATACGGTTAAAATAAAGTGACGATGATTACAATTTTACGGTGACATAAAGGTATACGAAATTAAATCACTCTTGAAACAACACAATTTTCAGTGAAGAATTAATAATAACATTGGCTTAGTGTAACCGTTCTTACGTAAAGTACTTTTGAATCTTGGCGAATAGTTGGACGTTATTATAAAAATCTCAATGTACAATTATCTTATCTATGAAAGTAATAATATGAATTGTGATATAATTATGTTTTTATATATCAATTATCGCTTTTAGATCACCTTTCAACAATAACTAAACTTAATTACCCACAATAATAACAAAAATATTAGGTACTGTTTAATATTCATTAACAATAAATAACACAGAGATAATCCTTTCACCATCAACAAACTTAATTACAACGCTATTTTAATATCTGTATTTTTGTCCCTGTAATAATCGTCTAAAACATAGGTAACATTAGTAAATTCTCGTCACGTCACTATCAGGCACTTAAACTGCAACAACAAAACTACTATTAATTTATATTTAACAAACAACTACTATTTACATGACATCTATAGTTTATGTATTCCCAGATATGACGAGCAATAGTGACACATTTCAATAAAGTACCTATATACCTATGAAATAACAACTTTATTGTTTTACATTACAGTTGATTGTTGTTTCAAATAATGACTTTATTGGCACAACATTATTAATAAATTAAGTACCATTTTCAAATTAAAGTGTTTATTCACCCTGTAATATCCCATTTCGCTATTAGGTATACCTAATAGTTTGTGAAAGGAAAGGATAATATATATTAATAAAAAATCACCAATCAGTCCTGCAAGTGCAATGAAAAAACTACGCTGGCATGATTACTTAAAAATAAGAATAATAATAATACATTACACGATCGCAATTAGTTTTATTATTAAAAATACGTTATTAACTATTTATGATAACATATTAATTTATTTAAGCATGTTTGGGTTACCGTGTTAAATGTCAATATTAGTCTGTTACCAATATCACCTGCAGTGATATGTACGAATAATTATGTAACCAAACATACATTATTTGGCATAATAATAAGACTATTTTTTTATTCATATCACATAGGGACTACAAATTGCAAAGATACTGTTATCGCCCGAATAATCAAAGAGCAGAACCCGTTATCAAAACAATCGCTAGATTAAAACAAATATTAAATTGTTCTTAGAGATCATAATTTTGAAAATTAATTATATATATATTTTTTTACTTTTTATAAATACAATATTATTCACTTTTAAACTTTATGTATTGAAAGAGAGAACCCCGCGTTGGAATATTGGCTATCGGAAAAAGATTAAAGCTGAGTATTTACTACAGCAGTCCAGCAGGACAGAAAAGTAGCACGTTTCAGATTAGCAGTGAGGAATTATTAATAATTTTTCATCATGAGGCATTCGTAAATTGTATTCGATATGGACGACTATCTATCATTTTCTAAAACCATAATTATTGGCACTAGTTTTACATCAGAAATTAGTTGTTGATGCCTATTATCCAATCGTCGTGATTTAATTTTTCACCGCAGCATTACAACATAGGCCAGGGTTTCCCAAAATGTACGCCGCTTTTTAGAAAGTGCAAAGGGGCACCGCGGAATGATTCAAAGGCCTGCTCAGATCGACCAATTCTTTTCGATTCGATTTAAAAGTCGTCTTACATACGTAAGTAATAGATGACTCCTTATTACAAATTAACTGGTGCACCGAGACATAATACGTAACCTGTGAATGCATCGCGTGCGGAAAGAGTTTGAGAAACCCTGCCATAGTCCAACATCGCAACGTGACACTAACCTGTCCTAACTCACATAACATTACAATCACTATAATTCGCAATCAAGCGTTCAGGATCTACCTCGACATGTGAAAGGGAGGTAGTATGAAACAGTAATGCACAGTAATGGAACGGTCATGAACATTACACATTTCAGATTTTGATAGCCTGTCGGATGTCCACACAGATTAAATATAGACAGCATCCGCTGTGCCTATCAAAATGGCAGCTATACGGTCGCCGAACAGAAAGAATTTCGTACGTGGCCGTAGACTGAAAGATATCGTAAATATTTTAGGTTAACTTTACTGTGACAAATTTGGCTAGATGAATCTGTGCGAGCGCAATAGTTATGTTTGTGAACGAGTGAAAGAGAAGGGTAAAACGGGTTATTGTACGAAATTCACTCTGTTGTGCGACCGTGCTATAGCATATGTATATTTGTATCATCCCGAAAATTACTAATGCGCCTGGACGCCATTTTGATGACGTAATTGCGTTAAAAATCAGTATCATTAACAAATAAAACTGGTTGATGAGTAAATTTATTGTGTTGAGATCAAACATCATTTTTGTTATGTTTTTGTTGGTTTCGATTGTTATTGTTAAGTTTTGTTGTAACTTATTATGGGTGACTAAATTTAGCAACAGCTATTATGATTTTCACAATATGTAAACATAATTTCACTAATAATAAATATTATCTAATGTCTTTCATTTCATTATTACTTTCGGTCATGGTCAAAAATTACAAAGTAAATGTTATTTCATTTTTTTATTACAATTAACAAACAAAAAGTTATTATTTTTGATCAAGTTATATGTAATTATTGACAACACATGAAAAAACATATGAAAGAAAGTAACATTTATTTATTTTAAAGTTATTAAATTATTTTAACATTTTGGAGATTATTCATGAATATTTCAGTTATCACTAAATAATTTATCTTTAGCATTTTGTGCTGTCTATATTTTCCATTTTCATGTAACGTCACAAGGTTCAAGCGCATTAGCAATTTACGGGACTTATACATGTACGTGTACGTTTGTTGGCAGCGGGTTAGTGTGCGCGATGCCTATCTTCCTCCGGTTGACGCGCGTCGTACTCGCAACTGTCGACGGAGGAGCGACGCTCCGTCCACTCGCTCTCCGGGTCAGAGAACATGTTACGATCGCCTAACTCGTCATCCTCCATTTCATCCAAGTCCAGTTCGTCTGTTTAGTGTCAATGAACTTATTAGAGACGTCACAAAGCATATAGGAAAAAAAGTAGCAGATAATGGTGTGTTTCTCAAAATAGAGCATTTTGATTAAATACTTGAAAATAGTTATTGAAAAATTTCCGAATCTTGGCTCGCCAGATTCTCCCCTTCTATGAACTTTCATTATAAAGATAGGATATATGTAGTTATTATAAGATTTGGAGAATTTTTTATTTGAAAAGAAAGAAATTTATATTTTGGTTCGATTAGCACCCTAAGACAGACTAGTAGTAATGTTATGAATATGGGTGCAGACGACTTTTTTATATTTTTATTTTATAGATATACTTGAAATATAAATAATCTCTCATATATTAACTTAAAATCTAAAAATAAAACGCGGGCGGCCATGACAATACATCGCGTGACGTCGCATTGTAATAAAATAAACGTCAACGTCTTTGTTGCGAGTTCAACCAGCACTCATTTTAATGAGATGTGACGTCACGCGATTGATAATATCCGCGAGACAATTTAAAATAATGAATAGAAATATATTCCTTTATTAAAAGACACTTTTGAGGAAAAATAAATTTGACAGTGTTTTAATATGATCTTAAGAAAGCTTAAAAGAGTTTTCCAAATCAGTGAGGTAGCTAATTCATAAGCCTGCTTATGCTTACATATAATTCATATAACTAACCGTTGTCGGCTATGAGGTCCGCCGCCCATTCGTTGTCGAACTCTAGTTGCTTGTTGATGTCGCGCTCAGTCTGAGACTGCACCGCCTCTGTGTCAGCGTCAGTCACGTCGTATATCTCGGTCATTTTCATCTGAAAATAATACCTTTGATTATTGCATATTCTAGAATGGGCCTGGCTCATTATAAGGGGCCGTCCATTAATCACGTCAATTATTTTTTTATTATTTTTCTATTTAAAGTGGCGTCAAAACGTAATATTTTTTGTAGATAAAAATAATACTCTTAAGGGTAGTCTTAAACCTCACTATGTATCACCAAGGGGGAGGGGGTTAAAAAATGCTGAAAAAAACATCACGTTATTAAAGGACGGTCCCTAAGGTAGTAAAAACACGTCCACATTATGAAGAAAAATTAAAAAAATTATACATAAGATAATAATAATAATAAAATGTATTTACTCCACAAACTTTTTATAACTTTTAAAATACAATAAATCTTAAACCTAAATTTCGTTGTGGATCGCTTTTGCCTGTTTTAGGTAATTAAAACCTGTTTGTACAGGAAACCAGATCTCCATCTCTCAGCGGTAACTACAATTTAAAACTAGAAATTTAAAAAAAATGTATATAAATAAATTTACAGACTAATAATGAAATGCAGTTAAAAGGGCAACCAACCAACAGTCAACCAACTTGATTTGTTTAGACAAAGAAACAACGTCCAAACAAGCTGCAACCAAAAGTGGGCAAAGTGGATAACATAATTTGTATTATTAGCTGGTTCTAAGAATTTAGTGTATGTGAGTGTGAATGGATGTACGTATGTTTGTTAATATTTCACGCAAAAACTAGAGAAATGTCTTTGATGACTGATGATTGATGAAGATATATGTAAGATATATATTCTTTTTTCTTTTTGCTGTTATTGTTATCAATAAGTATTGTATTGATATCAATACCTACTAAGTAAAAAAAACTTTTTTTATCATAAAAGTAGCTACTTTAAACAATATTATTTGTCTATTTGTGCAATGTTCTTTTGTTTTTCACGTTTTGAAATACCGGCGTTATCTAGTGACCGTAGAAACTAATTACTTAATCTTAAAAATAAAATCATGAATTCATTTCAATGTATATGGTTTATTATATTCTTATTCAGATGCCATTAAGTTTTACTGTTTCTCAGTCGATATTTTGCTCTATGATCAAACGCATGTATATAAGTCGGCCCCTAATATTGTTGCACTAAGTTTTTATTATTATACACAACGTAAGTCAATCATGTAACCCTTCCTTGTAGATATCAAATTACTATTCTATATGTATTTCTGATGTGCAACAATTAAATTTTGAATCATTGATATTTATTATTTATTTACACACAAACAATAACTTCAAGAATTGGACTATCTTATACAAACAGAATTTTACAAATGTACGTACGTACAGTGATATTAAGGCGTTCGTTCAAACAAAAACAAACGAGAACCCTACACCTTCCTTTGCACTCTTTCTTTGCAATGGTATATTTCTAAAAGTAGTGAATATTTCAATTATGGTAATTATGAGGCGCCAGTCCCGGTCTTTATATTTGGATATAGATCGCCGTCGCAAATTAAAAACCACACACTTAGAAAATTGATATCAACAAACTATAAAATGTATTTTTTTATTTGGATTTTTTTTTTAGTTTTATTCGGGGGGAGGGGAGGTCAAGTCCTCTTCGGAGCGCGCCAGATAACAATGCAAACAGAACGTGACCTAAATTAACAACAGATATTTTGCATAATGGCACCGCTATCGGCCACTCATATCAAATGCAATTTTCTGTACTTACCATCTGTTCTTATTATTCACCCTCAGGACGAAGTTCAAAATGTAAAACATCATATCTTTTAACAGAAACAAAGGAACTTATAATATTGCTTTACTGCAATTAATTGGACAAGATCACCAATGATACACTCCGATAAAGTAAATATTATGTACCTACCTACTTAGTGAATACTAATTCATCCACTATTTATAAATTTGATTAGTATGTCCCCAAGTCATTATTAGTGGTTGTGTGTAATATCGAGGATAGAGCCGAGTAACACAGAATTGTGACACAGATATTTATCAATAAGTACCACTGATGGTACTATACTAAACAGTTCTGTTATAATAGAATTAATGAAACAGGTCACGCATGACATCTTTGACGTTATAATATAAAATAGTATGAAAAAATTTTAAAGACTTTTATAACCTGACGTGCTACTGTACATTTATATTGGTATATATTTAAGACAACATTAACTTGGTGCGAAGTACTAAGTGGGGGTAACGCGATCGCAGGACTCGTGGTGGCCAAAAGTAGAAACATTACGAGCTCTGTTTTTATCATACCATATTATGTACTTGTATTTCTTTCCACTGAATTAATGTTAAAACTGTTTATTTTTTTAATTTATTGGACCAACTAAAATTAATTATCATTACAAAACAAAAATACAAAAAACACTTAAATCTAAGTTTATGTATATGATATCTGTGAAGATTATCTGTGGATCACAAGCAGTGTCAGCTCCTACCTCAGTTACATGATAAATATACGAAAAATGCGTTTCTTTGCAATTTTGAATCTTATTTTATTCTTCCGAAAACTAAACATCGACTTGTTTTCGGAAGAATAAAATAAGAATTCAGGTGTGATGCTAAATCGTACGACTAATACTGATATTTCTAACTGACTCTGTTTAATCGTTTTTTGTTCGATTTACTGAAGAAAGACATCCAAAGCTACTCTCCGTTGTTCTCATAATAGCAACCGAAGTGACTGTCGCAAAATTTCCTCAATGTATGAGCGGTCGATGTCTATCAAAAACAATCAGGTATTAAAATCTAATTTGCCATTACCTGTACGGTAACGGACCTATCGTTTTAAGGACCAAAATGGATTTTTAAGTACATTATTATAGAATAGAGTGAATACGTTTTTATTATCTTGAAAAAGTTTCATTGTTTGAATAATCAAATTATTTTAAAGCATAGAAACTATTTATTCCAAGACTAATTTGGTTTAAATTATAAATGTAAATTAATATTTTTCGAATACACCTTTGTAAAATTAGCATACTAATTTCGAATTATTTTTGATTGGAAACACCTAAACAAAAATGATCAACAAAAAGTATAATATCGCAACGTAATGATAACCCCTGTGGTTTGTCCTACAATCGCGCGAGCCGATATTGACGACACGGTCGGTGGCGTGACCCAGGCACCATTGCCTGCGATAAGCGGGATCAAGTATTGATTTGAATCCTCTCACTCTCTTGAAGCACTTTATGCTTAGAATTCATATCCAAAATGCAAAATTAACGCCATAGACTTTATAGACAGACATAATAACATCAAAGAATTTAAAATGGAACCACAAAATAGTGGCTGGAACGTCTCGAATCTATAGTTTTGGTTGTTTAAAGATGGTGCTGGTGTTCTAATTTAATGACATATATTTTTTAAAATAATCCATGTTTTCCCGCGACTTTGCCTGCGTAAATTACACCCTATGTCAACAGCATTATATAGTTTCACGAAGGTGAAAGAATTTTTAAAATCGGTTCAGTACAGTATTTGTACAGACATGTAATATATCTACTTGGTTTATTTAGTTTGCAAAGTACCTTAGAAACGAGCTCTTTCTCTATCATATTGTCAAAGGGGAAAACATCGACTACTACAATAGCACTAATTGTCGATTGCACTACGGGCAACCCTATCTGTCAGTAAAAACTATTGGAATCCGGCTGGTAGTTTATATATATCAATTGAATAGTAAAATGTGACTTTCGATTTCTATCTTAGAAACCTTAAAGTGATGTATACTAACTACCTTGTTATCGCTGTCGAGGTAGTAGTAAGCGAGGAGCGCGTCATTGTGTGACGTCACGTTGAGGATATGCTCGAAAGCATCAGATTCATCGGCTGGTGCACGCACGTCGGTGTACGATATACGAAACTCGCTCGCCCGCCTGCAAACAATTAATAAATACTTTAACAAATAATAAGAAAACGGACAAGACTAAAGAAGATAAATTCTTGTTTTAGAAATTAAAAGCAACAAAGGTTTGCCAACTCAAAGACTATGGTAATTAACCTATGGCGATACACACAATGCGAAAGTTTCTCAGAATGGATGAATAATTCTAAGCCTAAAGTAACATAAGCTTACTTTTTATCCCACTAAACGGTTCATTAAGATAAATGTACTGTCAAGTCATCATGTAAACCTCCCGGCGAAGCCGCTGCCGAAAGCTAGTCCATCATAAAACATCAACAGAATACAATGTTAGACTACGAGTACACAGGGCCGGATTAGCCATGTAGCAAGAGTAGCAAATGCTACGGGAGCCTCGCTATGGTTATGGTTCAGAGCCAATTACTTAATTTTTCCAAGTCAGTGTTAACAAGAAATAAAATAAGCCACGCTTCTGACTAGTCATATTTTTAAGTATGAAATAAATTGACAAATAAAACTCAATTCACAGATTAGTTGTGTTATTCGGAAAGCATTTGCTACGTGCCCCGCTCTGGTTTAATTCGGCACTGCTAGTACATTATCACCATGCTCTTTGAATATGACAATCAGACATATTGCTCGGGAAGTGGTTTTTGGATTACGCGTAGCATCTACCCTCGAGAGGGACATTGATTGGTTTTAGTGTGGAAGACGACAGGGGAGTCTCACAAATCCTCTTATCGCCGCCGGCCGGGGAGGCATTGCAGGCAAAGTCGGAAGTGTTGAATAATCAACGGTCTGCCTATATGTGTTAAATTAATGCATCATACCTAACAAAGCGTAGTATATAAACTCGAATATTTATTCAACTAAACTAATATTACGGAAATCAGACTAAAGCCACAACTATCGCAAGGGTCACTAACCATTACTGTTAATTTATTATTATCATGCGTATGATTGGGAGCTGTGATGTGACGTCAATGTAAATGGACATAGTGCGCAAAGCTATCGGGCGTGTCGCTACAGAGATGAATGGCTGCTACTATTAGCATAGTATACAAATATCTTTAATTTCAATGAGAAGCAAAACAAATCATTAAGACTGTAAAGACAACAGACTATCCATATCTATTAAGATGTAAGATATAAGTGGCGACAGACAGTAAGATAGAGCAGAGGAAATCGCATAGCGCATAAAAAACTATGTACCAATTTTAAATTAACTCCTTGCAAATCACTACGATTATTGCAAAAGTGTTGCATATACTTAGTACTCAGGTACTTTAATTATTTTAATTTGCCCACAGTATATAGCAATGTGTTCTGTGAACTTTCCCAATAAAAAGCGGATATTTATGAAAAAGAATAAAAAAAAATACTTTAAAGAAAATTTTATAAATATGTGTTTTGAATGTGACGCGCCTATTAGAAATGTAACATAGTTGTCTCAATATATAACATATGTACTAAATAACATCTGCCAATGAGGTCATACTTATAAATAAACATACATTTTATTATTTCAATAATTATGTTATGTACCTATGATGTCGTATGTGTACACTCAATATGCGCACAAAAATTGAAAACAAAGCAAGTACATACACACAAATAATGCAGACTTAAAATATAATCTGGGCGGATTACGCTTTCTTATAAGTAAAATACCTCCCAAGGTTGCTGATAATTTATCTAACATTACCTATTAACACAAATGACATTACGGGACATGAAATACGTATTCTTAATGTATGAGAAAACTGACGTTCGCTTATCATTATCACGTAGGTAGGTACACACACGATATAGAATTTCTGTGTAAATGTTTATATTAATCCAATTATAACAACATTAATTGCATTTGTATGGAATAAACAATAATTAAATCAGAGGTATCGCTGGATATCTAAATGGTCACAATCATTATAAAAACTAAATATAATAAAAATAAAAAAATATATAAGCAGAACTCTTTAAAAAAACAACCGAAAAAACCGTAACCCTAGTCAAACGCGGTAGTAATTCCTTATAAAAGAGTTTTCAGCTTCTACTTTCTGAGCCTACTGACAAAGTATATTGAAGGCCTTAACAACATATTGAAAGCCAGATTAAAAATTTAAGATCGACAGAAGTATCAGACAGGGAGGGAAGGCTCGCTCTTACTATTTAGCCGCTCCGGGCAAATTTTTGGATGCTCTTTACACACTTACTAGCTGGTCCCGCGACTCCGCCAAAGTATATCATACCCTATGTAACTCGCTTATGATGTAGCTTCCCGTAGGTGAAAAAGTAAGTATTTTGGAGCCCATTCAATGCAAGAAAATAAACAATCAAATCTTTCCTCTAAATAAATTATCACCTATCATTATTTTATCATAAGCTTCTTCTTCTTCTAAGTCGTTTCACTCTTGACAGTGGTCGTGTCGTGATGTATCATAAGCTTTCTATAATTTTATTCTGTGACTTATAAACAAGTTTATAAAAAGAAAATTAAGTTATTATTACTCAAACTATACAATTGTCATATGCATTCTCTTGTTTAGAACACAGAATCTTATCTACCATCAAATATAATTTCCTTAAAACGTAACTAATAAATTGTAGGTACACGAAAGGTAATAAATATTATAAGACAAGTAATACGAGTCATTAGAAAATATTAAATCTCACAGTATAATAGAGCTACAATATTGAATGAAATTGTATGTAGCAAATAATCAAGCAATAAGTATTACGAATACACAACGCAATTGATAAACACGGAATGAGCAAATATGTTCTATCTGAAGCATCTAGATTTCTACTGTATATATGAACGACTGACCTAGGGATTGCAAAATCCGTTTTTTTTTTTAATCTAAATTCGGTTTTCTAAATTTTTGTCCGTTTAAAATCCGGATAATGTTTTGATGAAACCAAAATGAGATATCATAAATTATATTAAAATTTGCATTAATTAGCTGTAGTCCACGACAGGAAATAGTAAAATAACAAAAACAAAAGTTCGGTTTAAAATTAACCAAAATAAATAAAAAACGACCCAAACCGTATGAATGAGCGACAAAGAGTCTAACGAGGGAGCCAAAAACTTTTAGTCTTGATTATTTTGAGGAATAAATGCCGTTTGATAATGGAATAGCAAAATTCACAATTCGAATGGAACTGCAGGAATGCATCCCTGTCGTCTCAGCTATTCTTTTCACATGGGCATTGTTTGAGAAGCTTTTGAAAACAAAGACGTTTTATATCGTACTGAAGCCTAGCTGAGGCTGGGAAAAAATATTTATCACTTATTCTTAACGAAAAATCCTCTTTGTCCCTGGCACTCTGAGATGGGACGCGAACCCATGACATTACGAATGCAAAATATGAAATGTTATATTTATCACCTATGTTTTGTAAATAATAATAATAAATACACACCGCCTTTATGCATATTCAATTATTTTGTTATGCCAATACGTTTTTTTCTAGAATTCCATCTACTTAGACATTACGTAGAGCATATCGATTTATTTTATCACGTATTTCATGGACATCAAATACGCGATAAGTTGGTTTCATTTTGTCGGATAAGCCAATTAACATTATAAAATTACACTGGTCATAGTCAACATGAAAAATGTCTCAATATTTGAAATTGCACTATATCTTTTATATTTGATCCCCATAATATAAATATAGAACTTAAAATTAATAGTTATTAATTTATGCCATATTTAAGATAATACCGGGTAACTTGGTAGATGTCACTTTATATTAAAAGATTTCAAATAATTTAGCGAATCTAAACCCGCGTGAAATTTTTTATTACGCTTTCGTTGTATTTTCGTATTCAGTGACCCCAAATTAATAAAATAACAAAGCATTTATCTTAAAGGCCAACAAAAAGTTAAATTTCGTAGACCAAGTGTTATTATTATTAATAAATTTCATTTACAGCTTTTTAAGCTTAGTATCCAATGTTAAACAAATTGGATTGGACTGTGGACAGAGTTTCCAACTCCCCTAATATTTATATGCTTTTTTTTATCAAATATCACCTAATTACATAGATGACATGTTAATATTAGCGAAAAACAAAAGATAGCGTACTTTGCATTCATTCAAATTCAGAAAGAAGGAATTTATATGTGATTAAATTTCTATCAAACTAGCTGTATCCTGCGACTTCGCTTGCGTAAATTATTAGCCTATGTCTCGCACCTATTATTATATACGAGTAAATAATATAAATCGATCCAATAATTCCGGAGGCTATCAAATGTAAACAAAAATGCAATCTAATTTTCCTCTTCATAATATGAGTATTATCATTTAAAAGCATCATTTTATTTATATTCTACTGGCAGGGACAGAGCTCGATACGTTGTCGCGACGCTTCGTCAGTTGGTGAAAGCGGATCGTATTTCTTGTTGAACAACGAACATAAAAAATTACATGCCTTTCTCTACCACAGGTTTGACATGCTGCGCCGGCTCAATGTAATTTGACGCAATGCAAAATACTGGAACGACGCCCATAAAAAAATCACAACAAATAACAGACTAATATAGACATACTGATTAAAAACTGTTATTTTGATAATGAAAATAGAAACTACTACTGCTAGATTAAATAAAACTTTTGAATACCGTGGACATGGATTAATATCCAAAGAACAAAAAAGACATTTTTTAAGGTACTGCATGTCTCCAAAAAATTATGCCATTGTGTTCCCCAAATATAAACGCCAAAGCAATTGCCTAGTTTGCCTATATTATAGGCCCTATAAGGACTGGCCGGCCCTGTTGATGTTCATACCTCATACCTTGTAAATTGTATGAGGCTCATACCTCATACCATGAAAACAGGGCAAGCATTAACTAACTTGTTCAATTACTACACACATACAAATTAACTAGGACCTTTTTTATAATTGTACATGCTGATACCTAATAAAAATTATCGAACCCTTGGAGTTGGAGAGGATTTTATGTCCAGCACGGGCGTGAGCGATGATGAAAATGTACAATAGCTCGTAATTAGTTAATCTAGTGACCTGTGTCAGTTAAGTTCATCTAAGATTAATAATACATGTAAAAGTCTTAAGAGATTTATAATTGTTTATCCATTTGATTTTAGTAAATATAATAAATAATTATTTACACATACTTACATACTTCTACTGAGTCATTTGCCTTTACTCTTATCACACAGTTAAACACATGTTAATGACTAAAGTCAATAAGATCACGGATGCAAATTATGATTGATATCTGAATTTGATTAGCTACGAAACGTTTGATAAGATTAATTTGTATAGTAAGGTAAGTTGGTAATAAAATACATATCTGTAATTATATTTACTGTCGTTAGCTTGTTTTATTAATTATTCTTTAATACTTATGAAAAGTTAAAAATAAAGTCGAACATTAAACAAATAAGTACAACTACCCACCAAAAGTTCTAATAAATTTATTTATTATTAGGTAACAAAACAGACATTAATCAATATATATATCTATAATAAGTAACAACTGTATAGTACTAAATTAATATCCTAAAGGTGTTTACACAATAAGATATGATAAAGATTTTTTTTACTGATTTCAAAAAACAGACAAGTATATATCAACCTGGATGATTAAACGGATGCGACATTTAGGTCTACCACAACCTTTTTAATACAGTTTTTGAATTTAAAGAGATTGCATTAAATATGTCTAATGCCTGATTAACTGGGAGGATCTCATTATAATATCTGCACATACGAGCGATGAGATTATGATAAGATATATTATTTCTATATGTCGGTACGACAAATGTTGGAAGCCTGCGTGGATTACATTTGAAATTAATATTAAGGGATGAATGAAGATATTCTGAGTCAATTACGGAATGAACTAATTTATGACAGTTATTAAATCATTTTGATGGCGACGTATGTTAAGAGATGTAAAATTGAATTTACTCGATCTGTCTTTTGCACGTCTTGAGCACAAAATTGCACAGCGCTACCACTTACTACCACTGCTATATACATATTATTTTGGATAGGTACAAAATATGTTATTGTGCTCGATACAGACGCGGCGTTTGATGAGGCGAAAATTTTCTTAAACGGTGAATATCGTGGCTTAGTCAATAGAGATGATATAAGTGAAAATAAGATGAATTTGAAAGTTGTGTCATAATCGATAGAAATAAATGGACACAAATCGGTACGCGTCGGTATCAGCCTCGAGTAAAGGAAGTGCGAAATTTGCTTCATAACCTACTTTTTATTCCACAGCTTAATGGATCGTAGTGATCCGGGCGACTGATACGGATAATGACCATTTTCATTTAGTCCCGCTATCATAAATAATGATTAAAGTTTTCGATCTCAACTCAAGGTCAATTTGGATAATACTTATGATTCACAGTATTATGCACCAAGAGTGCAGTCCAAGGTCCGCATTGCTTGTTTATCGCTTTCCTTATATCGCGAAATATAGTAAAAGAACATGTTACACGATTAAACTGTTTATGAATTGCTCTCTAAAATTAATAATAATGTTGAATTCTCTGAAATATCTGCTGTCAATATTACGATCAGTACGGCATTCAGATATGACATAATATAAAACATGTATCTCTGTTAGGTAATTTATGTTAAAATCGCAGTTCTAACCTAATTTAGTATTCTGGTAGCATCTGGTTGGGGTCGTAGTTCGAACATAACCTATCCTACTATTCTGGTAGCGACTGGTTGACGTACCGTTTTAAATTGGGTACGCAGTTCTAAAAATACGGCGGATTCTTTTTTGTTATATTTTTAATTTTGTATAATAAATATTGTGCAATTCACTAAATTGTATTTCTATGAAATATGTTCCATTCAAATAAATAGTTGTTGAAATATAATATTCGAAACAAAAATATAAAGATCAAATACGAAACTTTTCTGCAAAAATAAAACAAAGTAAATTCTATGAAATTTCTGTCTACGAAACAAGGAGACACCATATCAAACACCTGAAAATAATTAAATGAAACTGACTGACCTTCTATCAAGCTGATAACCATCACCGCCATCTTTCTTTGAATCCATGGTAAGTTTGTAGTATATCTTGGCAGCGGCCTCTGACCTATCATGGGCGGAGTACATAAATCCATGAAGCTGCTGTAGAATGTTCCAGCTGAGTCGCCATAAGGATTTGCTCATTTTCGGAGTGCACGTTACAAATCTGGAAATTGCATAGAAATTGACTTCTTTTCTTATGATTACCTATTTATGACTTATTAAAAATATTATAATTTTTATCGTTAATAGACAGTTATATTATTTCAAGACATATCCATTTCGTAGAAACTCTTGATGTAAAATAAAAATATAGATAGCATCGAAGTAACTAATAGGTAGGTATCTGTTTATGCTGTTTATATTTTTTATGTATACTTGCAACACTACTGAAAAGAGCAGTTGTTAATATTTAAAAGCAAACGAACTGATTTTCCTCAACTTTTGTTTTCAAAAATATGCTGTCTTATTATAAAACGCGAACCTTAGTTAATATCTGATTTAATCCATTGACCACCTAAAGCAAATTGCCAATGACAGAAGTGAAAACGTGAAATTGTGACATTTTGACTTATGGTTTTGGTCGGATAACGGATTAAACCTGGTGCTAAAGTTAGTCTTCGTTTCATAATAAAAAGTTATCTAAGATTCCGCTGGCGCAAATTATAGCCTATGTATAACATGGCTGCACATCAGATTTCCATTATATGTCAAATTTCCACAATCTACGTGTAACTTATTAAGATTTAAAATCAAATGAAAAAAAATTGACAGTTTTGTATAACCTGACGTGCTGTGTGACGGGCCCGTGTGTAACGTGAAATATTTTTTTAAAATCAGTCCAGTAGAGAACATATTCAATGCAAACAAACAAACAAATTTTTCCTCTTTATAGTATTAATATTTATATTCAAACAGCTCTTAATTTAGACGAAAAGAGTCCTATCTTCAAATTGGTCACTGCTATTTTCAGCATAGTTGAATAAACATCAATTAAACCTTTTCAAAGGTGAAGTTGGTGACATCACTGTGTATGATAAATTATGTTAGGTACTAGCTGTTTGCACAACTTCGCATTCGTAAATCATAGGCTATAATGTCACCCGCGTCTAATGTAGCCTCCCGTAGGTGATAAAATTTTTAAATTCGGTGGTTCCAGGGCCTATTCGATGCAAATAAGAAACAGACATACTTTTCTTTTTATAATATAAGTATTGATTACTATATTGTAGTTTTGAAGTGTTACAAACAAACATTAATGTTATTAATTTTATATTATTGAGCAAGCTATACATTTTAATAGATGAAAGCAAAAAAATATGCGTTCCGAGTTTTTGTAAGCGCACAAAACCTATCAACACACCTATGAAGAAAAAATATTATCTATTGTTTACAAAGGTACAAAGTCAATATAAGACAATACTGTTGTCATTTATTAGTTTTCATTACAAAACTGTAACGTGTATGTAAAATTTTATCTACACATAATTCTCAAATCAAGATTTTGTGTTTTCCAGAAATAGATATAAATAATATTTTTTAACAAAAACATATAAAATGTATATTCGTTCTAGGTTGATAAATCACTAAAAAAATCATAGAATAGGTAGGTATGATAATACTTTTTCTTTTTTATGATTCAAAATAAAATGGCTTGAATGATGAATACTTATTAAATCGAGGCCGTTATAAGTTTTAGTTGACTAATACATATAGAAATATAAAGTTATCGTCACTACTCGAGCTGAGTTTAAACAAATAAATATGAAACAATGAGGTTGCCAATTAGATAACTTGTACTACTACTAAATTTCCTTTCCTAAAACCCTTACAAAGAACCTATATCATCATCATTATATAATTAATTATAATAGCGTCATAATGCAAATATTTTTAAGGCACTGATGTACTTATGTTAACTTTGAGGTTAGATAGGTATTTATCCTCATCTTTAAAAATGCTTCGCAACGCAATGGCTACTAATCTGGAAAGTGAAAAGAAGATGGCGCTTTGATAGAATAAATAATTGAATATGAGAAAGTTACTTATAAGATAACGCTTAGATTAAAATCGAAAAATAAGCTGTAGTCTAAGATAAGCACTTTGCCTTCCTATGAAATCTGTTTTATCCTTTTCTACTTTCGCTACTATTTATTTATTTCTTAATAGTTTGACAGTCCAATAAACATAGAACTCAAAGATTTTTCATAAAAATTGCACGGTATATGTTTTTCTTTTACATTATGTCTTTCTTCAATAACCTAGCAAAAACTGACATCGCTGCCGTTGTTTTCTTACGTGTTAATTTATTACTATTGGAAAATATTTTACAAGCTTTTATTTAATTTGCAACGTATATGTCGTAGCCAACTGTTTAAAACAGCGCCTTAATTAATTGGAGCCTTTTTAATTTAATGGTGCCATTTAATTACATAGTAATTCGTCAAACAGCGGTGTAGCTGAGCATAACGTTCTACAGTAACATTTTAAATGTAATAATGACTTTACTAGAAAACTAACTATGCAAAAAAGTAAAGGTCAGCCGACCAATTATATGTCTATGTTAATCAGTTCGCTGCGACATATACGTTTATGGGTATGCTAGTCAAATTTTACAATCGAATTACATAAACGCCTTTATTTTCCCAAAAATAAAAAAGCGTTAATTTATTTATATTTTATTGCATTCAAATTATGTACTTTCATAAGTAAATAAACAATTGGTAGGCCAAAATTTTAACATACGACGATTTGACCCTAATTGAGGTCAACATAAATATTTTGAATTTATTTATAATTACATAAGTATATATCATTTAAAAACAAAAGATATGCAAACGCGTTTTAATACGAATTACGTCAAAACCTTGACCTAATTTTGTTATGCATTATCATTGTTATATTTTTACTGTCAACTATAGGGAAATCGTAGGTAGGTGTTGACTTGAAATATTATATCATATAATATTAATCGGACGGTTTCCTCTAAATTACTAAGATGCTAAGCCAATTTTGGGGACTTGGGAACAGTCGTACTTACCATAACGTGCGACTGTTTAAAAATACGTTTGATTAATTATTTTAAAAGTGAAACCACAACAACAACATAATACGATCAAGAATACCACCACAACTATAAATAAATAAATCAGAAGGTAAACGATCTAATATAAAAATTTGGGCATTGAACTTTTGATGCTAATACTCATTTTCACTAACCGAGAACATCGCTTAACCAGGAAACGCCTAATGTTAAGAATTTTATTCATCATCATTGGTGAAACGCATTTTCACCTTATGCCAGGGTCGGGAACCTGAGGCTCTTTCGATGTTGCGGCTCACAAGTAAAACAATTATTTACTGTCGAAATCTTTCAAATCGTGTAATCTAAAGATTAGCACCCATATTGTAATACAAATGATAGATACTAACTAGGACTGAGAGATAGATTCTCAAAGTCGTAATATTTTAAATAAAATCTCTGAATATAATATGATCAATATTAAATCGTCTTTTAGTAGCTTTTTACAAGCTGCGAAATTAAGTAAGCTATAGCTTTTGGCTATTTCATCTTATAAGGTTTCCAACCCCTGCCTTAGGCGCATTCCAAATATTAAGGCGTCATATTTGAGCGATTTTCAAAATTAGTGAAAATGGGTAGAAAAATAAGCGAATTCCTAAGTCACCTGAATTACCCTCCACCCATCAATTATACAACATAATACACCCAACACCGTAAAAACTGACCTAGTCAGCAGGTTGTTGTGGCGCTTACATCTCTTTTTAAGCACGAACACATTGCCAACCACTGTGTATTGCACCGCATGCGTCTCTACTTTATCACCAACGTAACTAAAAAAGCGTGATGTTAATTTAATTGCAAAAGCTAATTTATGTTATAGTTGAATACGGGTAAGAGCCCCTGTAGACTTCAAGAATTTCTATCTACGTTTGATAAGACTTTTAATTGACATGAAAAACAGCCAAATGCGAGCATAGTATAAAACAAAGTCGCTTTCTCTGTCCCTATATCCCTCCCTATGTATGCTTCTTTTGCAATCTTTTAAACTAAGCAACGGATTTTGATGCGGTTTTTTTTCATAGATAGGGTGATTCAAAAGAAAGGGTTTCATGTATAATAAAAGACCACGCGGGCGAAGCCGCATGCGGAAAGCCAGTTTGTTCTAATCTGCGAAGACTTTTAGTAAAACATAATATAAAACCATTTAAAACACAAACACTTACAACGCCATTTTTATAATGATTCGATTAGCACAGAATAATAAAAATTGTAATATACCCACATACAGTTTATGTTAGTTATAAATAATAATAAACTCAAGTATATGTACCTATCTTAATTACTTAAGTGGAAAATCTAAATATGTAAAGCGAAGAATATAAATCCGTTAGAACAAACCTTACCATTAAACCAAAGTTTTACTATTGAAATTTTAAACTTGAAAAATTATGGCGGCCTCAACAATGGAGATTTTGACAACTTCTTTAACGCCGAATGAGTCAGTGCAACCCTAATTTTTCTCATTTAAAGAAATAATAATATTGATATTGACAAAATATTCGAACGTAAAATAACAGTATGTCAAAATAATTATACTTATTATCTATAGGTACGTTATCTATTACAGTAATTGATACGTCGGTAATGAAGAGCAATGGTTTATCATTATGTCTCGAACGATAAAATGACATCACCCAAGTAATTAAGAATATTAATCATAGTAAATAGTAGGTAATAACCAACAAAAAGAGGTGTAACCAACACCGTACATTTATCGTACGATATATCAGTACTAGCCTATTTAATAATAAAATATAAAAATTAAATTGTGTACGTGGTAAAGTAACGGAGAATCAAGTAGCTAAAAAAATAAGAAAAGAATAACATGCTGGCCACCTTCTGTCGAAAGAAATGCATGGATATTTATTAAGTTATAATCACTGAAATTAAACTTATTTTTTTATCGAAATGATATACTTTAATAGGTATAGAGACGTCGATAGAAACTAAAAATGTACAAGCTTATCTGCATACTAATAGTGGGCACACATTGTCTATTAAATGTTGTATGTACATACATATTTTAAATAAAATATCTATTAAGACTACCAAATAGTCACAAGATTATTATGTGTCAAAGTTAAGAGAGAAAAAAGCAACACTGCGATTTTAGAAAATGTGAAAAAACAAGAGCTTTGTAAAAGTGGAAATTTAAGTTAAATTTAACTTAAATGGTTTACTTCTAATGTTATAGAGTTATTGACAGTAGGTCATCAATAAAAACGTAAATTAAAGTGTTCCAGTATTTATTACTCCTGAATTAGTATTTTTTAATGATTATATTCTGATTACGTATTATTTTTGCAATAAAGTCACTATTTTTGGGCTGCGTGACTTCAAACAAAAATCTAAAGCGTATGACGTATCACGTTCTGGCGGTGAATTCAAAATCAAAATGAAAAAATAACAAATTGTAGGTCTTATCTTGTATACTTATTATATTTAATACTTTCTTTTTAAAATATTTTTGAAAAATAATAAATAAACCTATTATGTCAAAATAAGCTTTTAATTATCTAATCCAATATGGCGTTTTTCTTGAGCTGTAAAAATCAAGCCCGAATATGGATCAAATTATTCATTTCGATCGGTTAGCCTTTTGTTTTTTTATATAAATTCGCACGTTGAGAATGACAATGTCATTAACCAAAACAATGTATTTTTTACTTTTGGCAACATTTTTCTTGGTTAAGTATAAACTGTAAAATGCAAAGATCCCTGTAAACGTAGTTTGCATAGAAACTGCTAGGTGGCGTAGTGACGATACGTTGTTTAGAGGAGAGGATTACATTTTCTTGAATTTTAAACCCACATTACTGGAAATCGCATTTTTTTAATTGTGTCACTATCGTTCTTAGCGTACTATCTTATAATACCAGAAGACAACATTTTTTTATTTGGCTAAGTTAAAATATGATCAATAGACGGAGTAGAGTAGTTTATATTTATAGCATCAATAAAATTATAACAAACATTTCACGCTTCAATGAGCAGCTGTACTTGAATTAAGCAAAAATTGTACACACGCTATTTCAACAAGAATTGCAAGGCGTTGCAAATGATTGTTACTTAATAAGAAAATCCACATATGTATAACGGAACTACATACTGAATATGAAAACCTGGCCTACTAATTTATTTTATAGTACCTATCCGTTAAATTAAAAATGAAAACTGAATCAAGTTTTGCTACTGTTATTATTAAATAATAATGTTTAATAGGGCCTATTTGTTGAGACATCTTCAAGTCTTCGGCTGTCCTATATGAAAAGCCTTTCAACAAAAATAAATTTCAAAACTCTCAAATGAATTGCCGAAATTTCATTTGATACGTACGCATCCTCATACAATCACAAAATAACGATTTCCTGTACACATATAATATACAAATTAGTTTTAATGAAAATGAATATCATTTCATTCTCGTTTTATGGCTTTTGAAACGGGAAATCTGATTAAGACGGTTACATTTATATAATGTGTACATAGTTAGTAAGCACGATGATTATAAGTACTTAGGTAAAGATTAAAAAAAGAAATCCCCATAATAGCATGGATACTTACTTGGTGAAAGTAGCGTACATGACGTCAATGGGCACTCTATATGGCAGCGTGAGTACTGATAGATAGCGCATCGCTCTCTTTCGCATCATCCAATTTATGATGCCACTGTTCGCGGAGTCTATAGCGTTTTGGAATATTGTCATCACTGTGTCGGGGAGATCGTCTACTAGTGCGTCCTAAACAAAATAAAACATAATCAAATTTGCTGACACTGAATTCGACATTAGCTAAATCATAGAAGAGCTTGTAGAAGGAAGAAATAAATTGAATTTTTTTGCTTATTTTATTGGCCGGTTAATCAATGACAGTCACGGCATCAGGTACAGAAATCACTTGCACTTCGCATGGGGCCCTATCGACCAATGCAAGTCGAATTTATGATTAGAGCAATACGGATACAAACAATAAACGATTTTTTTTTCTGGTGGTGTTTAATACTCTATTACAAACAGCGCGTGGGGTCATGCGTCTTTTACTCATATCAGAACTTAGAGAATTCAACCTTATGCATACGTCGTCGCCATAGCCACACCATGACAAGTGGCGTTATCACGGGAAATATTGAAAATTAAGTTTAGTTTTAAATATGAATGATACTTTTTTAATATTTTTTCAGACATATTTTATTGTTATGTATTTATTGAAATTAATATTTCAGTACGTTTAAATTACCTGTCTGTGCGTTTTGCATTCCTCACATTCAGGATCGAAATCAAAAGTCGTGTCATCTAAAACGTCTTGCAATTGAAATGTCGACTGCACGGCAAGACAGCGTGTACAAGAGATCATATTGTTCCTTTGAAGGAATCGAAGTGCATCGTCAAAACCCTGTTTACACATGTTGCTCAGTACTTCTGGTTTCGGAGGGAAGAGAATACGGGCGAAACGGTTTATGTTTTGTTTTGATAGTTCTATACTTGTGTTCGCTACGTTCACCTGTTGGCATGAAATATAAATTACAATAGATTAAAAATTAACATTTAGGGTACATACGTAACTAGCTTCGAGTTATGTTAGTTACATATTGTTGTTGCAGACCAAGTCTTATTATAAATTAAGGACTTAAGTTAGTACTTGGTTTAAATAACCTGTTGGCATGAAATATTAGATACAAAAGATTAAAAATGAACATTTAAAGTACCTACGTAATTAGTTTCGAGTTATGTTAGTTATGTCTACATTGTTGTTGTTGTAGACCTAGTCTTATTATGAATTAAGGACTAAAGTTAGTACTAGTTAATAAAACAACAATCAAATAAAAAACGCAAATTGACAATGATAGAGGAGAAAATTTCAAATTGAGACCTGTTGACTTATTTTGGTTGATCATGGTTTTAACCTAGTACTTTAGTTAGTCCTTGTCTTATATTAAGACGGTATAAGTTTAGTTTAGCTCGCATAGCTGAACTGTTTAGTTTGCATATATTGCAGTTTGACTAAATACATTAGAAAAACGATGTCAGCCTTTGTCAGCCAGTATGTTACATTTTGGTTTACCAACATTATTCTTTTGATAGCAATAATACTAATACAATAATGAGATATAAATAACAAGTCATGTGTGAGTTTAAATAACAAGCCAGAAACAAGCATAAAATCACATTTATTTGTATTTATTGTTATAGAGGCAACAGAAATACATTTGTAAAAATTTTAATTATCTAACTATCATGTTTCATGAGACACCGATTGGTGACTAATGGAGACAGACAGACAGAATGACAGTGGAGTCTTAGTAATAAGGTCCCATATTGATTTCTTATATTTTCACATGCACTATCCATAAATGAAACAACTTTTAAACAGTTTCGTTGCATTTGTATTTAGTATTATTGATGTTACTGACCCTTTTGAAAAATATGTTTCATTTATTAATAAGGTCCCATTGTACCCTTTATGTAAGATACCCTAAAAAACAAACAAACCTAAACCTGTACTATATTCTTGATAAAAATGCTTGAAAAAACACTTTGTCCCTAGCAAACACGATTCGAGTCCCATCTCAGAGTGCCAGGGACAAAGTGAGTATTTTTCAGTATAGCATTGTGAACGCATAATTGATCAAATAATATACCTCAATTATGTTAAGTTACGAAAATTTCAGACAATACGCGGATAGTTCTAATTATTTAAAAGTGGCAGGTATTTAAGCTATACTTACATGGAACAACTGTGAGCTTAAATCCCTTGGACAGATATCACTCTCGCCACAAAAGGGGCTCACTGTGATAGTGTTCTCATCAAGAACTGGTAAATTATCACTAAAACCACCATCCATGTAGCGGATGCCATGAAATCTTGGAGGGAGCAGCCCTGAGAATACTGGTACGAAGCAAGATGCCAATAGAGCCTGCACCAATTATTTACACTAGTTAGTTTACCATAAAATTACATAGTTATAAAATTATAGAATATAGAAGTCCAAATAAGTATTCATACAAACTACCTCGACTATAACAGCTTCAAAGTTTTAAATAAAATGCCTCAGAATCACACTAAACAAAATAAACTAAAATATGTCTTTCAAATTATTATTATAAATAATAAAGGATACTAAATAATAGTTGATTTTATACAAGAGGCTAAAACAACCCATTATATACAAGGAAGGATAGTTCTATTCTTTAGCTTTGGCGACGGAGTATATAGAAACAGAGTTAGAATGAAATTTAAGGGCTTTATTTTACACTCCACTTATCACATCTTTCACTATGATAGCAATAAATTAAATATGGTTACCAATTCAATTTGTAATTTAAAAGAAAATAATAAAAAGACATTTGTGCCCCCACTTTTTGTCTTTTATGGCAGGACCACACTCAGGAAATATACTATAATTTTGGGCATAAACCATTAGTGTGTAGACTGCAACTATTTTTATTTTTTCCTTAAAAAATAACTTTTTTAAGAAACTGTATCAAGCAAGAGAAGTAAAAATATTTTTTCTGCATTATTTTGTTATGCCAAAAGTTTCTGTTAAATATTATTATACTTATTAAAAGTACAGAATAAAACACACTTACTTGCATAAGATCATCTCTTGTTGGAAATTCTGACACTATTACATTTTGACCATCATATACTCTTGTTAGTGAAATATGAAGTTTACCGCTGACCTTTTTATGGGCATCAGGAGGTAAATACTTTTCCATGCCTTCGAGAAGGACATTTTGAATATTAAATGAAGGACTGAATGGTCCCAATGAGCCTGCTCTAGCCTCTCCTACAACCCTCAACACATCACTAGTTAGCTCACCTAAAAGAAAATAAATTATAAAATGTGACAGATTAAACATATTTTACTTTGAATGTTAAACTCATTTTAGATAATGCTTATAAATTATAAAGATACATTTTTTAGAATTTTTAGTTTATGAATGATTGTGTAAATCTGTTCCAAAATGTCATCATAAGTACCATTGTAGGAGAAATTAGATTTTACGACAAAAAAATTTTAAACTCTAAAAAATGATTATTAATAATTATGTTAGTTTTTTATCACTGAGATGATGTGATGATGATCAAATATGTATACTACAAAAAGTGTATTAGAGTAATGACAAATATAGACAAAATGAATTCATATCGTCTTCATTTTATTAAACACAAAATACTGACTCTTGTATCAATCTACAATCATAAAACATGTAGAGTCATTAGAAAACACCTAGAATTTTAATGCACTTATAACAAGTATCAAAATGAGGAATAGATATTTAAACAAAATAAAAATACACTTCTCCAAATTAGCAATAGTCTGGTCAGGCCAAATGCTATAACAATAAAAATTTATAATCACTTACTATTATATTATACGGTATATTAAAAAACAGGAAACAAAAATGCAATTTAATAATCAGTTAAAATTTCTAATAGATAAAGCATATTATAATTAATAATTATTTTTTAACTAAAAACTGACATAAATAAGTATACTATTTTTATCAATAAATTAAAAAATATTATTTAATTTAATTATTGTTATAAGTTTCTTGACTTGTAAATTCTAATATTGCATAATTTTATTTGTATTTTTAATCTCTCAAAACTTGTATATGAACAACAAAATAATTACTATCTTGTAATTTTAATGTGACATACAATAAATGATTTGATTTGAAGTTTAAACATATTCAAATTGCAAAATTTAAAGTTCAACATAATTTACAAACTACAAAGATTTAAACTATGTGCCATAATTATTTGGTTGTTGCAATCCAGCGTATACACAGAAGTAGCATTTTTAATTTATTTCTTATATTTTTAAGTGCATCTTGAAACTCTGTATCTAAATAATAAAAAAATTACCTATATATTCACTCTTACCTCTGAATAAATATCTCAGTCTTTTCTTAGATAAAAAAAAAACTCTTGTAAAATACTAATCACTCCAAATTCAATATAAAAATACATTAAATTAACATAAAAAAATATATCTTAAGATCACTCACAGATTGTTGTTGAACATGTTAACATTGTATAATATTAGTTAGTAATCTTGACTACATTTTTTGAATAAAGCCTGATATGACTTTACAATATGTAAGTTTTTAAATCAATTTAATTTAAATACTGTAATATTCCAATAAATAATTAAATATTGCTTCTAGTTCAAGCAATATTTTTATGTTTTTTCAATTAAGTAAGAAGATTTTCAAGTTGGATATATTTTTTTAGTTAATTTTGGATATTAACTTACATTAAATTTGCAAAAGCCAAATATCTATCCTAATCACAAAGTATAATTAAGTGATGTCACATAAATAATTGGCACGTAAAATTAATATTCAATAAAAGCTAAACGTACCGATGGGCAAATCACAAAGAAGACAACAAGCTGATAGAGCACCAAAAGAAGCTCCAGATATTTTTCCTAAAAGCAAATGTGGTGCATATTTTTTGAAGCATACTGATACTCCAACGTGGTATATTCCGAGGAATCCACAGCCAGCAAAAGATAAGTTCATTCTTGTTCACATTAAATAAAACCACTACAAAAAACACTAATAAAATATCAGAATCTTCCTGACTAAGACACTAATTATATAGCTTTTAATGTAGCCATATATGTAGGTGCAAGGCAAGGAAAGATAAGATTTAATCACAAGTAGATAAAGATTTCACTTTGGTAAAAAACATAAACAGAAATAGACAACACGACACTTGACACTGCTTGACACTACAAAACCACAGTACAAAACATCACAACACAATCAAGTAAGTAACTATCATTAATAAGGACGCACCGAACGATATATCGGTAAATTAGATATGGATATCGATATATCAAAATACCAACATATCAAACCTTATTATCACATGAAATTTAAAGAGTAAATGCACATAATGAGGAAGTAATTTAAGAAAAATTGAAATTACTAAAAAAGTATCTCACTAAATGGCGACTCTGGCAAAAGTCCATTTTTGTAGGAAACGTATGGATCAAAGATAGTAATTTCCGTTCCTTTTAACTAACATATTCAAAAACTGAAATTTGCAATATATTATATATATCAATACAAATATGGAAAAGTACAAATAGAATATGATTTGTGTATTGAGTTTTGAAAATTAATTTACTTTTATATATGAAAGAAAATGGAAAGGGTTGTCAACATCTAGTTTGATTTCTGGTATTAATGTTTTTTTTAAATACTTCCTCATTCTGTGACAAAATTCCCTGACACATTATGGAAGTAACCTAATTTATTGCATTGAAAGGAGTAGTTTTTTATCATCACTTTTTGTTTTAATTTTTTTATATGTTTATGGTGTACTTAATAGATAAAATAATAAAACTAGTTTTATATGATTAAGACTATTACAAACAAGACTATTTAAGACTATTTTTAGATTAACAAAAGAAAGACTACGTACACCACAGAAAGAACAAAGGAACAAAGAATGACAAAGACGGGACACAAAGTTTACCAAACAGTTAAGGTACTAACAGACATGCTAGACACGCTCATTACTGGCATGCTAAATGCAGGCTTGCCAACTTAGGCCTTTTAACCCCAAATTTAGGGCGGAACTAAATTAATTTGGCTTTTTTTAGGGCTCAAGAAAATTTTAGGCTAATTATAGTGCCAAAAATTAACGTTTCTAATTTGACTTATTTCGTGAGAAAGTGCCGCCATCTAGTGACATTTATTTTGATAATTCTCCTTCTTTATTGTTGTAGAGCAAATAATCTGTGGCACAGAGATTCACGTTTAAGCATGCCATCTTACGGCGGTATTGCACATCAGGCTCACAATTTGTCAGGCTTTTAAAGGAGAAACAAAAGCGGTCGATTCAAAATATCAAGATTTTTTTAATGTGCCTTTTTCAAAGCAACCACTGGCCAACCCGTTTCTCCATGTTGAGTGAAGATGGAGGGGCTTTTCTTCGCTGAACGGTCCTATGTGGAGACAACCACGATAATAAATCGCCAACCCAAGCTGCCGTGGGCGAGCGGATGGTTGGCAGCTGGTGGTGCTGTTGATACACGGCCTCTGGAAGTGGGAACTGACCGACTGGTGAAGGCGGGGGCGTTCACAACCCTAGGCCTGGCCGGGCATGGAGCCTCTGCTCGGATGGACCTAATTTGGATGCTGAATGAACTGAATGAGCTGAACTCTTGTGGGATTTAGATGCTGAATGCGAAACAAAAACCTAAAATTTCTGTTATGAGGAGGCCTGGCTCAGGCGGAAGCAAGCGGGAGGTGAGTGGTGATGAGATAAGAGACGAGGAGCAAGGAGGTGAGAGTTGAGGAGAGGAAGGCTCTGTCACATACAGCCGAAGGACAGAGGATAGAGTCGGGAAAGAGTGAATCGGAACGTATGGATGAGGGGACGGAGATTCCGGACTTGGTGGGGGAATCTGAGTGTACGAACTACTGAGAGGAGGGTTCACAGTGGGATGAGTTGGATCCTAATTTTGATCTTGACCGATTTTGCAACTCGAGAGCTTTACAGCATGTATGGACTTTTATGCTTTACATACTCTTTACGTGGACAGAAAAAAAAACATCTTAAATAGTTCTTCGAAAATAGTAGTTCAGATTGTATCTTAATTTCTTTATTACGATTTCTATAAACCTACACATCTTTTCTAAAAGTTTTATTAAAGAGCAAAAACAAATTGTATTTTAGAGTATGTTTATTGTTTTTCCCAAGCTTTAAAATATAGAAGGAAGTACAATGAGGAAGTATTTGAAAAAAAATATTAGTTCCCGAAATCCAACCAGATGTCGCCTCAGTACGTTCTTAATTTCTCCATGACAACCTTTCCGTTTTTTTTTTCATGTTTAACAGTAAATTAGTTTTCAAAACTCTATAAACAACTCATATTCTATCTATACTTTTTCGTATTTTTATGGATATCTAAGTTTCAAACTTTTCAAATTTCAGTTTTTTAATATGTTAGTCATAGAATTAATAAGTACTTTGTACGTAGTACTTATTAATTCTATGATGTTAGTTAATAGGAACGGAAATGATTGTCTTTGGTCCATTCGTTTCCTGCAAAAATCAACATGTGCTAGGGTCACCATCTAGTGGAGGTGCTTTTTAGTGCATTAATACATTTTATTTAAATTTATTTGGTGAATGAAAAATGGTAATAGGTACTAGTGGAAATTCTGTTCGATCCTTTTTTAATACTAAAATTATATGAAATAAGAGAGTAAAAGACTGCAAGACGATTTATACAAAATTTATTTAGTTTTGCTTGCGTTTTTCAAGTGAATTTTTTTTTTCTATCGAGTGTAAACTGGCAACTCTTTTTCTTTAATGTATGATGTACTTAAAGACCTTTCATTTGAAGATGGAACCTACTGACTTTTTGTAGGCGATTTCAAACTGTAAACCCAATATGATAAAAAAACGAAAAATATTAAAATCCGCAACCAAGGCGGACTTAAAACCCTACCGGTCAGATTCCACAAGGTACTCCTTATCTGCGAGCAGCCCGTAGAAACCAAGCTTTATTCCTATCCTCGGCAATCAACTTGACTCCACTAGTGGAGGCGCTTTTTTGTGGTTGAAATTTTTTTTTTTTACCTCTTTTGATGAAAACTAATACTTCCCTACATGGTAGTTAATATATTCAAGAATTATCTAATATAACGTCCTGTATTTGGGATAAATTTCGTGCCGTATACGATTAAGATTTTATTGAATCTTAATCGTGAGATTAAGATTCAACACATGTAAACCAGCCATTACACATAATCCCATGAATTCCGTCCAGTAATCAACCAAACCATTATTATTTACTTGAGATTGGCCAAATGCACAATTTTAACCCGTAAAAACCGTTATTTTTATTTAACATTGAAAATTATGGCTAAATAAATAAAAATATGCAGAAAATACATATTTATTTTTTTTGTCTTTTGGTGTCTCATCATGAAGCTATACACTTTATATAATTAAGTTTATATACATGATTTACACAATAATCTTACTTACAATTTCGTTCACCAAGTACATATACAATGAGAATAGTAATTAAACAGATTGCCTCAAGCAATGAAATTTGTTTAGCAATAAAAATCAGTTGTATAATTATTTGGCGAGTTATTATTCAAAAACTTTGCTTGCACTAAATTAAAATGTGACCTTGTTCATCAAACATTTTCAAGACGATTTAATAATTTATTGTGCGTTTGCTTTATCCTAAGAGAAAACAATTACATGGTTAGCAAGATTTAGGTCAGTATGGGAAATAATTGTTTAAAATATGGTGATAACTATTCAAAATAACTTTATAAATATATAGACCCAATGCCTAAATGCAGTCAATAACACGTCAGGTTATACAAATCTGTTTAAATTCTCCACTTGATTTTAAGGGTAGAGTTTAAAATCAACTGAACAAATTTGACATAATGAGATAACCTAAAGTGCCGCTGCAGAATAATGACAAATCGAATAGTATCGTTAGACTACATCATTTAAAATCAAGCTATTCAAATATTACAATATAAAACTTAAAACTTTATTTATTATCAATCAATTAAAAAACAATTAAGATAGCTGTTTCGGTATGATTTTCATTATTGATTTTATTCGTGATTCCGCCTTAGTTAAGGCACGTGACACTAATAATAGAGATTAAGGGGCGCAAATCAGGTTATAGAAAACTGTCAAACTCCACTTAATTTTAAATTTAACGCATCGAGAGTAGAGTTTCAAATAAACAATAGATGAATATGGCGTTTATTTTGGTAACCTGGCGTGAAGCTATGTCTAGTTTTACATTAAAATATCTAATGTAATATGAAAGAAATTAAAAACCGAGACCAGCATAAAATCTTAATATAAAATAACAACGGTATTAAAATAATATTTAAGAAATATCAGTTAATTACATTATCGTGAAATTACTTTAACTAACATTAGTATTTAATATGATTATAACAAAATATACATGCATAATTTGACACTAAATATGCCGTTACAATTTTCAATTTACACCGAAACAAAATTTTGCTAAGTAGGTAGGCATTCACTGATGTTGGTTGTTGGTAACCGTTTATCAGATTTTTCAATTGTGTTCTGCGAATCCAGCGCTTCCTAATGGCTGATTTATACGTAATTAAGTGGATTCTAGTTTTAAATTCAACGAGAAAGTGTTTAAAAAAAAAGAAAGCACAAAAAAATAATTTCAAGAAAAACAAAAAATCAGACTGCGAAAAAACGAATTTTAAAAATACATGAAAAAATGAACTTACATAAAAACTAAAAAAAAAAGAAACGAGCCCAGTAGTTTAGAATCCTGTTAAGTAATACAGAACAGAACGACTCATAGTCGGGGTCCCTTGGGAAGATTTGATTGGTAAAATTTGAATGGTAAAAATAATATTATTTATTTTTATATTATACTTTTTAGTTACGATTGGTTGACTTCGTTATAAGATGGTAAATTTTGCAATCAAGTTATTTCATTGAGGGAGTTAATATCGTGGAGATTATGTAACTTGCGGTGATCTAAACTACTGATGATTAGTCCTACTAAAGACCTAACTCGGCTCAAAGCTACATATGCTTTATTTTTGTTCTTCATGCTCTTTCACTGTTTTTTTTTGTTTGTATATAGTTTATACTTTAAATTAAAACTTAAATCAATAAGTAGGAAAATTAGCGAGAATGTTTTGTTAAACAACTTTAAATCGTTATACATCCTAAACCATTATTTAAAATGGAAAATGATAAAAGGAACCTGCTTGTAAAATACCTATTCAACGACACCTCACTTGACATAGTTCGTCGATTTTTTTTTCCTTTTTGTCAATATGGCGTATGGTTGTCGCTGTGGTGAATTTTGATTACTGTCATGTCTTTAGTGACACTCGCAAGGTTAAGACGAATCGATTGAAGTAAGAATCATCAAAATCGGCATAAGCATTTAGTCTCTAGAACGCCACATAGAAACAAACAAACATACATACATACATAGACTGATAAACACATTACCCTTCTTTGCGTCGCGCAGTCGGTTAAAAAGCACCCAACTAGATGGAGACTCTAGCAAAAGTCGATTTTTGCAGGAAACGAATGATTCATATCAAAGATAGTAATTTTGAAATTTGCAAAGTTCGAAACTTAGACATTAATACAAATATGAAAAAGTACAAAAAGAATATGAGTTGTTTATTGAGTTTTGAAAATTAATTTACTTTTATACATGAAAGAAAACCGGATGGGTTATTTTATGGAGAAATCAAGAACGTACCGTAGCGACATCTAGTTTGATTTCGGAAACTATTTTTTTAATACTTCCTCTTTTAGCTCATAAGTAGTTACCTAAATTTTATTTCTTAGTTGTGTTTACACTTTAAGTTAAAATCTACTATTCTACTTATTACGTGTAAACCAGCCATAACCTGTTCTGCGGATACCTGAGGGTCTTATTATTACCCGTCTACCCGGTGTGATAATGGTACGGAACCCTACGTATGCGAGTCCGACTCGCATTTGACCGGTTTTTAGTAAATATGTGGTCCAAATTGTAGTGAGTTTATTGAGGAAAACCATTGAAATTTGTATAGGGGTTCATAGGTCAGGAAAGGCAAGGAAACACTGCTCTGAATTACGTTTTAAGTAAAATCGAACATAATATGTTGGTTGATCTATCCAACGATACTCTCAACCGACATCTAGACGAGAAAAAATTTTCCCACTTAATGTGTATAAAATACCTAAAATAATATTATTCCAAGCATTTTATTTTACCAATTTGTCTGTGAGATTCTATATAGTATAGACTTATAAGTAATATCTGTGATATTAGTGACCGACCGAAGTTTCGGTTTCCGCCAAATATTAGGGATGAACTCATTGTTTTCGTACTTTTTTAATGTTTATTTTAATAAGCTTCAAAAAATACTACTGTAAAAACACGTTATTTTTATATCCACGACACAATGTCCGCCACATTAATTACGTTGTATTCGTAATTATTTAAGAGATATAAAAACAAGACAAGTGCCATCTAACAATCTGCTACAAAATAATAAAGACGAGAATAGCGCCATGTAAAGATCTTAATAAATAGATACTTGTTTACGACTTACGAAGTACAGATGATATAATGTTATTGGCAATATGACGTCACATGTTGGCCAGTCATGTATTCGTGTTTCAAGTCACGAGACACTAAATAAAAACTGCTTCTAAATAAGCATTTACGGCTGAAAATCAGATCTGTTTATTTCAAAGCAAGTTTATTTTTTTGTCAAACTACATAATTTATTATTCACTACCAAATATACTCCATTGTTGTTGCGATTTACTCGGATTGATTAGGTTAGGACCTCATGCCAACCTACTTAAGCAATGTAATCTGTAACGTGCTGGAACTGTGATCCTTGTAAGGCTGAGATCACACTGTAAACTTACGCGGTTATGGTATAGCTGAAAGCTCTAATTCTTTTATATTTACAATATATCAAACTATACATTGCCATTCATGTCTTCTAATGCGTGCGCTTGTCTAAATTTTTGCTTATTTACAATCTTAGCATACTGGTACATAAAATGATAATGTGTACGTGGTTCATCATGGCTCGTAGCGTAATCTTATTACATATAGATCCGTTTGCATATCGAGGTTCGGTCGAACACTAATATACACATCTAGTAGTAGTCACTGACCTGAGTAATACTAGACCGCGGACATACGGACATGATCAAACTTCAAAGATTGCAAGTTGACTGCGGAACAATTTTAAATGTATTACTTAAATCTCTTTAACTGTATAACTTACAATTGCTTTGCCAATTCTTCGATAAGAAGTTAACTGTAATTTGCTATAAATGTACAATAACCAACATAAATAAAATTGATCAAATATAAAAATATCACAACATACAATTGTGATGTAACATGGTCGCGTTGTAATAAATATAATCACAACTTCATAAAGCTTTAACTGATTAAAATTACTAACCATAAATATTACTATCTAAAGATAAACTTAAATAACTAATTACATATTATATGGAAAATTAAAAAGGAAGCTGATGCGTCAAGGCGGAACATCAAGTTTTCATTAGTTCTGTCAATAGACGGCACCAGTATTATAATAAGAATTTTAACTTTATTATAAATAAAGAGGACCATAGTAATTTATAATAGTGGTCATTTTTGGCTATTATTTCTACATTTTTATTAATATGAAAATATTTAAGTTTTGTAAATCAAATAAAGCAAACCCATATTTAATTTAATAATAATCATTAATTTTATTGCATAACGAAGAAATACAATTAACATAAAATGCACTAACAAAACAAATGACAGCCTTGTCGCTGGTTCGAGCACCTGAGAGATCTCTTCTGGGCAACCAATTATAGAAATTAAATAGGGAGACCAAAATGAAGAAAAAAATATCTATTGACAGAAAACATCATCATAAAAGCTAGTGGACATTTCATTGATGAAGTCTTCAAATTAGAGCACTAATACCATTTTTGATAATCAAACAAAACTAACAAAACATGACATTCCGACTTCCTTTTAAACCTTTGAAACACAGGGATCACACATAGCTAAACATTGTGATAGTTGGGTTTCCAATCACATAATGTTTTATATAACCCAAAAATACATGTTTATGCAAATTATTCAAATGACTTGATAGCATTTTTCAAGCATTCAAATCTTACTAATTCTTCAGAATAATTTGTGTTCTTCATTTAATAAGAAAGTAGAACTGCTTCCAACATCAATATAAGCCCATTGTTTTTGAATTCTATCCTGTTCGTTTAGATGTTGAGAATGGTTATAAAAAACCCAATACGTACTAAAACTTCAATTTCGATAAAATTGCGGTACTCTTCAGTTAAATGGCTTGTCGAATGACGTCACACAACCCGATTGGAAGTTTGAAAGAAATCTATAACCTATAAGAAAACTGTAACACAAAAAATTAAATACTATTAAATCTATAATTTAAACATACATTTTTTTATTATAAGAAGCAGTAAAATTAATTGTTCTAATAAATAGTGATATAAATGGGATAATGTTTTTAGATAAATAAATATTAAAAAGGATATATCAGTTATATAACAATCAATTGTCGTTGGATGAACAATGAGGAAGTACTTGAAAAAAGCATTAATCGAAAGAAGGCTAGATGTCATGTTACTATTTCGAAACATATGTGACGTTCAATAAAATTGTCTATGTAACGTATCCGATTTTTTTTCTAATTTAATAAAAGTAAAGAGAGTTTCCAAAGTCAATAAATTGCCGCTTATTTTTAGCTATTCATGTTTTTTACATTTGGTTTTTTATTATTAGCTCTTCATGTTTTTTTAAATTTCGAACGTTTATTTAAATCGTCTTTGAACCTGGACTTTTTTATATTACGTGTCGAACGAATATTATTGTATTTGGTTCGTTTTATAGTCTTCATTTCGTGTCGAGAATTGACAAATATGTGTGAAACATATTAACAGCATGTAAAGACATTTATTTTTAGCAGTTTCTATTCTTTAATTACTTCCTCATTATTCCTCATTCTCAATAGCCACTACGGCGTATTGAACTATCAGTCGTCACTTATACGGCGTTTCTTTTTCGATTTTTTCTTTTCCATTGCTTCCATTCTCATATCTTCTAAATCTTCCATGATACCTGAAAAATTGAACTAGGATTAGATACCCTATTATATAAAATATAAAATAATAATACTAAAATGTTAAATAATTATTTATTGAAACTTAAATTGTTATCTATCTGAAAACTAATTCGCCAAACTCACATACAACTATTAATCCTACTGAAGATGTATGCTAAGAATACTATGGTGGTAGGGTAACATTACCCTTTCATATTAAAAAAAAAGTTTTAAAGTTTGTATGGAAGACAGGTAATACTGCTTGTAAGGCCATTCGCCTTACAAGCAGTAAAATAAATAAATAAATGGTTAAATGGTTAAAAAATAAATAGTAAAAAAATAAATGGTTAAAAAATGACCTTTATGTTAATTTGAGTTATGAAAAATCAGTATCATATAATCATAACTCAAATTAACATAAAGGACATTTTTTAACCATTTATAAGGTTAACAAGGGATGATAACACAATAAGAAACGCAAAGAATTAGCGCAGAGAACTCCTATGATTAAATAATTTTGTTTGAATTAAATAAAAACAATTACCAATTTTTTTGCTAATATATTACAATTGTAATTGTAAGGCCATTCGCCTTACAAGCAGTAAAATAAATAAATAAATGGTTAAATGGTTAAAAAATAAATAGTAAAAAAATAAATGGTTAAAAAATGACCTTTATGTTAATTTGAGTTATGAAAAATCAGTATCATATAATCATAACTCAAATTAACATAAAGGACATTTTTTAACCATTTATAAGGTTAACAAGGGATGATAACACAATAAGCAACGCAAAGAATTAGCGCAAAGAACTCCTATGATTAAATAATTTTGTTTGAATTAAATAAAAACAATTACCAATTTTTTTGCTAATATATTCTTCACGTTGCTGCCTTGCAAAACTAGACTCCATAGTGGGATCATCTTGGTCATCCATATCTCGATATCTGAAAGATTAAATTCATACATGCATTTTCATATTTGTTGAACCTTACGACGGACGGAAAATATTGTATTTCATATGGAGGTATCTCAAAAAGGAAAAATCTTGTTTTTAATTTACCAACTTGAACTCTGTATAGTGTGATATTGTGCAAAATTATAATGCTATATTTTTAATTACAACTTACTTTGATTTGTCATAACCAAATATTTCCTTTATATGTCTAGAGTAATCCATGTTTTCGTCTCCGTCATCTATGAAGTCATCCATTTCAGAGTCGTATTCCGAATCGGAATCCAACCGGCCTGAAATTAAGATACGAATCTTTCACATTATATTTTCATGACGTGAAAATCGTTATGGTACTTGTTAAATAGATATATAATAAAAAAATATTTATGCCCCGAAACATTCAACAAAATGTACTAGCAGTGTTCGCATTGAGTTTGCTGTCGATAACCATGACGACATTGACCCATCAAGTGGTACTGACTGACAACAAAAAACTAACTGTATTTCTAGGCCTAATTTTCCATCAGTTAAATATCAGTTGGGAATCAAATTATTAAACTTAACAACTAATAAAAAAATACAAAAACAACAGTTTCAAAAATTGAAGCTATAATATAATGGCGTTTTTAGCTTTGCAGTAGTCGGAGGTTTTGCCTGGACTTGCGACATGGTGAATTTGAAAAGTTTCTAAATGTCGATAAATAAAAATTCAATAAGAAACTTACGCTTTGGTTTTCTCTTTGTATCATCTGGGTTTGCCTTTCTTCTGAAATCAGATTTTCTGCAAGCATCCTGCTTTCCATTCTTACCAATGGTATTAATATGCTTGTCAAAATCGAAGCTAGCAATTTTATGTTTGCTTGTACCAGCTTCCGATTGACTCTGTGATGGCTTGTCATCAGACCTTTTAGGTAACATTGTCTTCCCAGACTCTGATGACTTCTTACTTGATAGGGTTTTAGGAGAAGCATTAAGAGGCAGAGATTTTTGTTTTATTAGCATTTCCTTATCCTTTATACCATTTCTTTGTACTATCTGTTCCTTATTAGCTTTTAGTGTTAATTTTATTTGAGAATTATCACCATTGAGATATTTAACATTAGTATTTTTATTTGGTACAGATAGTTTTTTTTCATTGGAGTTTTTATCTATCCGATAAGTATTTTGACTCTTCAAATCAATACTCTTTTTTAAATCCAGTTTTCCAAATTGTTCTCTAGATACTATTTTAGATCTTTCTGCAAATTTGTTAGATTTCTCAATCTGTAGATTTGTTTCAATTTTTGATTTAGTTTTATCTAGTTTCTCTCTATCTCGATTTAATCTATCTATATCTCTGTCTATTCTTTCTCTTTCTGCCTTTAACTTATCTAATCTTTCTTTATCAAGTCTTTGTCTTTCCTTTTCTTTTTCTAGCCTTATTCTTTCTTTTTCATTCTGCAATCTATCTCTGTCATTGTTAATCTTATCTCTGGCACCACTATATTTGTCATTATTATATTTTTCTCTTTCTGTTCCATATTTTTCTCTGCATTTTTCACCTACATATCGATCTTGCTCATCTCTCTCCCTGTCATTTCGGTATCTTTCTTTATCAAGTAAATTAGGACTATCTTTTCTCAAATTGGGTAAATTTTTGTTTCCTATTTTTGGAATGCGACCAAAAACTCCTGGTTCCTGCTTCTTTTCTCTTTCGGATGGTTTGTCCTCTTTTATCACTGAAAATAGACATGGTTGCACATTAAATTTACCTATTAATGCAATCAAATTTGGTAGATGTTTAACTATTCTTTCCTACCTTTTTTACTATTTCCTTTTTCAGCTTCCAATCTTTCTTGACGTCTCTGTCGTCTTGCCATCTCTTCTTCATATTCTCGTTTTTGCTTTTTTGTCATAAGTCTCTCTGTTTCTTGTTCTGCATGTGTTTTTTTAGCAATGGCATCCAGTGGTTCACTTTTTTTCTGTTCAGCAAGCTTCAACAGCTGGTTGAAATCCAATGGTGGTGGTGCTTGTTTACGTATTTTAGGTCTATCTGATTTTGACTGTTCTTCTTTCTTCATTTCTTTTTCTGGTTCATACTTTGTGGGTGGACTGTCATCTCTCTCTAAAATATTACAATAGAAATTAATCAACGCTCAATAGATTCAAAATTTATTATGAATATATAGGAACATTATTTTCAAACTTGGTTCTATTTTTTTAATTTTTTGGCTACAATACCTTTGAGTAGCTTTTAGTATTCGAAAAATTATTATTGTCATAAAAATATTGGGTACCCATAATTTGTATAGGTATCCAATATTGGAAAAATAGAATAAACATCCAATATTTTACTTATACAATACATTATGTTGTCATTAATTTCTGTCAATGTCAAAGGTTGCGTGATGACAGTGGTATCACTTACAGGCCTGGTGCTTATGATACGTTATCATTATGACTAGAGTTTGCAAATCCCAAATGAATAAAAATATATAAATTCATACCATTATTTGTTCCACCTTTACGTCTCCTTTTATGTGGCACTGGATCATCTTCATGTTGTAGAGCATGTTTCACTCTTTCCATAGTACCTTTTAAATCTTTCTTCACAACATTTTCTAAAATAAATATATTTTTGTAAAAACACCTTGTATATTTTGCTGTTACTACTCATACAACATGAGGTATTAACCCAACTACAGCACTAGAGACAATATTAATGTAAGTCCTTTACATCTTTTTATACAACAAGAGGCTACATGCACAGCTGCACATTTAAATATGCTGGGGTTATGAGGATGACGGCACCCTGCACACCAGTATCCTAAAGGACATCAATAATGAATACCCATTCTTGAAGGCAATAAATAACTTAATTTACGAAGAGACACTGAACAGACACATGTACAACATGGTGATCAACAGCAGTAAAATGTGCAGAGGATGCAAGGAGGAAGAAGAAACACCCTTGCACATTTTGACTGATTGCCCGTCATGCGAAAACGATGTATCTATCTGGGAAAGCATGTGATGCACCCAGACGATATTAAAAAACTTACGGCCAAGAAAATACTACATTTTCTTGTAGAATATAATCTTGACTGTGAACTGTAGTATGTGGAGATCACAATAGATCAGCAATGGTTGCAGTGATACTGGGCTACATAAACCCTAGATAATCCGCAACTCGAAACAATACAATCCAATGTGTTCCTTATTGTCATGACAAGTTTTATATATAAGAAAATTAATGATTAAAGAAAATAATATATTTTATCAGAATAAATTTTTACAATAAATACAGAAAGTTATTAATGGTATGCGACAGAAGACTTTTGACAGATCAGATTAATTACAGTGGTACTGAATTTGGAAAATCAGCTAGTAAGATATAAAAGTATGTAACAGTTGTACAATTTAGATTTATTTTTTATAAAAAGGTAAGTATCAATTGTAAATAGAATAAAAGGACAATGTTAATGAATAGTTACAATTCTAATCATACTCACTGGAAGTGGGAAATTTTGGTTCTTCAGGTATTTTACTATATTGCTGCATCATTTTTTCATAAATAGCTGCTGCCGCTTGGGATTCATATCCATAATCATCTTGATCAGGTTGTTCTGGTCCTTCCCTAGTGACAGCAGTGTTATCCCTGTCCACAGCATCTGCTATAACAGACTTATTAGCAGATTTAATAACTTTAAGTGTTTTCTGAATTTTCCTAAGGGCCTTAGGATCACGCATGGCAAGCAATTCTTCACGTTTTCTCTGAGCTTCCAGCTTCTTCTGTTTTTCCTCTTCATCTTTCTTGGCCAAAAATTTTTGGATATTTGCTGACAATCTATCTTTTTGCTTTTGTTCTTTCTTTGGCGGATCAAACTTTGCCTTGTAATAATAATTACTCTGAAAATAACATATTAAAATTTCTCTTAGTATAATCTAGGATTTAAATTATTTTTAATGTTTCACAACGAAATCATAACAAGTTCAGTATGCCAATAGAACTGTAGTAAATGAAAACTTACAGATGACTGTTGTTGTTGATTTCTCTGGGCAGCTAACAAGGTCTCTCGAAATTCCATTTGTAGAAACTAGGTCACTCACTTTTACTTTGACTGCTAAACGATATTTAGCATAGCTAAATTTTCACAAATTATTATCGGAAATATGTAAAATACGTGTCAGACTTAAGTTCAACACTCGATCCCACGATTTTCTGGAAACGTACTAAATAGAGTTTACGTTTTACGTCACAAAAGTTATATCGCTTTCTTGACCATGATCGATTTTCAACGAATAATCGGTATAATATAATGACAATCCTAATTTCTATAATAACTTCATACGCGACCGCAAAGGCAGTAAGGCAAACACCAAATCTCTCTCTTGCGCTAGCCGTTCGTCTGCTATGCCAGAAGGCCTATTTAGGGTTGGCGATAGTTTTGTTTCAATATCACGATTTTGTTATAGATACCGTAGAACCATGAACAAGTAGTGTAGAAATACTCGTTCTTGATTCTACAAAAAGCCGTTTCAAAAGAGTTGAGTTTTATTTTTCTTAGGTATTTTTTATTTTATTTTTCCTCTGTCTGTCTAAGAATGCTTGTAACTAATACAAAAGATGCATGGCATTCTGGGTATTAATAAAGAAGTTGGCAGAAAACCCTGGTTCGCTATATCCAATAACAATCGCCAGAGAAAATTCTACACACAAATAAATTGATTGAGATTGGGACATTGCCGAATTAAAGCTCATTTACATCGTATGCATATGATAACATCTCCAATATGCACCGAATGTTCAACTCAAGAAAACCAGACACTTGAACACAACTTTTTTTCACGCCCAACCTACAATATCCAGCGAATCGTTGAGATTCATCACCTCCTCAAAAGACACAAAATTATACCGCCTTCTCTTCAGGTTCTCTTAGCTTGCCAGGAATTTTTTTTATCGATATATGACTATATTAGATCCACTTTTAAAGAACCACAGGATTCGACCTTCCCGGATATGTAAAATAATGAACTTGGACAAGACAAAGACATTTAAATCTAAAGATCTGGCTATCAGCCTTTAAAGACAAGACATAATAAAAAAACAAGAAAAGATTAGGCTTTGCCTTATAAAATAATAAAATAGGTAACGCAAGTTTTGGCTGTATGGCTAAGTTCTTTCGCCTAATAAAGAGAATGGAATGAGGAAGTATTTAAAAAAAAGCGAAAGTACTAAAAAAGCATCTCCACTAGATGGCGACTCTAGCAAAAGTTGATTTTTGCAAGAAACGAATGGACCAAAGACAGTCATTTCTATTCCTTTTAACTAAGATATTAAAAAACAAGTTTGAAAAGTTTGAAACTTAGATATCAATACAAATAAGAAAAAGTACAAATAGAATATGAGTTGTTTATTGAGTTTTGAAAACTAATTTACTTTTAAACTTGAAAGAAAACCGGAAAGGTTGTCATGGAGAAATCAACAACGTACCGTAACGACATCTAGTTTGATTTCGAGAACTAATTTTTTTTTAATACTTCCTCATTATTTTCAGCGTTGTTATAGATCTGATAACTCGAATTAATATCGAGTTACGCAAAGGATATTAATCAAGTTTAATGTCAATTAATCCTTGAATAAATGTCTTTTTTTTTGTATATAGGAAAATGAAAACTAACACAATGAAAGTGAGCATAGAGAAAGTTTTTTGAAAGTAATGGAAATCAATAGAATTAATGCTGTGAAATTATTAAAATTGCATTTAGCTACGGTAAACAATAATGCTACTGTGAAATAGTTTTTATAAATAAAATACTTATGCCATAGTAGGTCTAGGAATTTTTCATTATAATATTTAACAAAAGTTCTGAAAAAAATAACAACTAGGTTAGTTAGTTTTGTTACTATTCGTTTTTTGTTGAACTTATTGCAATAAAACTACATCAAGTCTCAATCATATTTCTTTATTATGTATTGTGAATGAATGAATAGGGTTTATTAATCAGCAACAAAGGATAATAATAATAAAAAATCCATTTAATATCTATAAACTTAACTGATATGTATCAAATATACTAGGTATTCGTACAAAATTAAGAATTAAAAAAAAAACTATGATCATCTCAGTTATTAAATCTTATATTCATAATTAAATCATCTTAATAAAATTCAGCAATCAACAAGAAATGTTCGTTCGAAACGAACAGCAAGGTTTAAACTTTAAATTCCAAAATCACAAAATCGTCATTAGCGATAGTATAAAAAAAATTATACTATCGCTACATTTTATAAAAATTTTATACTATCAGTAGCAATAGTATAAAAACATTTATACTATCGCTACTGAATTTGCATGTCGACGGCGGACGTCGAGCCAGGTGAATGAATTTGTACAGTGGGTAAGTGCTTTTTTGGTTCTTACAATAATATTTTGGCAACTCTAATCGGGTCGAAGGCTTGTTTGTCGTCGGGTAGTAAAGCTTCGTAGAAGGTGGAAGGATGGAATGTTTTATTTACAAATCTTACAGCTACTTATACTAAAACGTAATATAAAATTAACCAATAAAAATTCCTTAAAATTATGAATACAAACTTAACCAATGAAAAATGCATATTTTAAACCAATTACAAAAAAGCTACAATATTTATTTAGGGAAAGTGCCGAGAGGAAAGTGAAAGGACTAAGACACGGGGCGAGGCATCTTGTGACGTGGCGTATAAAGGCTAGCATTGATTTAACGATATCCTGTTTGCCAGGCGTCGAGTGAGCGTGCCATATGTCAGCCTTCGCGCGCCACATGTCAACCTTCCGCAGCGCAGTCACCCGCGCTGTGAAAGGTTAAAATGTGGCGCTCAGCTGTTGACACGCACTTGTTGCGTTGCTTTCTCCTTTGTTTCATGAGGAGAGTTACGTTGAAATAGTTCTTTTAAGAGCTTCTTATTTCATTGGCGGAAATACAAATAAATTTTCCATTTACTGATGTAATCTTATTTCTGTCTTACTAGTGGTGTAGCCACAATATTGTCAATAATGGCATATATGGAAATATTGCACATAAAAAAACGAGCTGAATTCAGCGCTCCGCTTTTTGTGCTTGATTCCAAACCTGAATTCGGATGAATCAAGACAATTGAAGTTACGAGCAACCAATAAGTTGGTTCATCACTAATGTTGACATATAAACCGAACATCGTTCCTTTACACGTAACATAATAAATTACTTAAACTTACGATTCAAATAAAATTAAATAAATTTGAAAATTAGATATTATATGACACACACTAACCTTGTCATATTAATTAATTTTCGATACGCAATCTACTTTTATTACGTCAAAAAAAAAATTGAATAAATAGATCTAAACTTCGCTAATGACACCTAGTTTAATTTCAAGAACTAATTTTCATTTTTTAAATACTTCTTCGTTGACATTCCGATTATAGATGATTGATATTAGAATAACATCGATGTTCAATACTTATCGAAAACTGAACATCAATTTGGAACACATCGATGATTTTTTGCAATAATTTACAAAGAAATAAAATACAGTGAAATCTTTCGAAATTTACTAAGAAACCAAACAAAATATTACATATTCCAATATTTTTATCAGCTGATTAAGAGGAAAACTAATTTTGATAAGGAAGAACCTTTTAATCTATTTCTTTATTGATAAAGAATAGAGCCAGCGTTTGTTTACAGGAATGTAAAATATGTTTTTCAAGATATGTATGTATTACATAGGGACATAAAAATTCGGTTTTCTTTTTATCAAAATATCGGTGTTTTTGGTAATATCGATTAAAGAGAAAAAAATTAAGAAAAACGAAAGCATTAAAAAAGCATCTCTACTAGATGGCGACTCTAGCAAAAGTTGATTTTTGCAGGAAACGAATGGAAAACCAAAGAAAGATTAAAAAACTGAAATTTGAAAAGTTCGAAACTTAAAAGTCAATACAAATACGAAAAAGTACAAATAGAATATAAGTTGTTTATTGAGTTATAAAAACTAATTTACTTTTATGCTTGAAAGAAAACGGAAAGGCAGTCATAGAGAAATCAAGAACGTACCGTAGCGACATTTAGTTTGATTTCGGGAACTAATGTTTTTTTTTTATACATTAGTTCCTTCCTCATATAAATTGATATTAATATTATCAAATATCAATAATGCATTGGTCTCGCGTGAAGCCGTGAGTTAACACTTCCTCATTTCATTTTCATTTTACATTTAGAAGTTAATTTATTCACTTGACAATGGTGGAATTGTGCGGAATGCGCAGATAAACCATGAATAAAACAAGAAGAATTATATATTTTATTTAAAAAATCGAGTGATTGTTAATCTGACTCGAGTGAATTCAAGTTAAACGCAACTCGAGTCGAGGTCATCACTAAGCACTAATAGTATCTATGTTTCTCCTTCTTGGTCTCTTTTGAAAAGTTTGACGGAAGCTGAAATTATGGTGGGTGATGTTTCTTCACATTTATCCATTTTTTTCTCTTACATCTCAGATGCATAGATATTATTGATATGTGTTTCCTTGTAATGAAGTGATTAACGTGTTGTTGTTTATTTTATTTGTATATTTTTATGTGTGTAATAAGATAAATAAGATGTCTTTCTGCAGGCCACATCCAAGAAGAAGACTAGGAAGCTTCGTGGTCACGTCAGCCATGGTCATGGTCGCATCGGTAAGTTATATACATCCGTTACGAAACCCCTGGGTTTTATATAGTATATCAAGTTTATTGTAAAGTTATATTTACAACCTTCAGCTATGGTACCGTCGATTATAACCTCTTAAATCCTTACTGCATATATTTATTTACCTTGTGACCCAAAATCGATTGATTTCTTCCAGGTAAGCACCGCAAGCATCCTGGCGGTCGCGGTAACGCAGGTGGAGAACATCACCACAGAATCAACATGGACAAGTACCATCCAGGATATTTTGGCAAAGTATTTATCTTTTGCTTCATTTTTTTTCCTATTAAATATAGTTTTTTGTCAACCATTTAGCTTAAGCTTTTCCACAAAGAAGGTGATAATGTAAATTAGACAAATGAATAAAATAATCCCAATTGGTTTAACATAAGTATTTTTTTTTCAGCTTGGTATGAGAAATTATCATATGAGGAAAAACAAAGACTTCTGCCCAGTTCTTAATTTGGATAAACTGTGGACATTAGTGTCAGAGCAGTCAAGACTCAAATATGCAAATGCCACTGATGGTAAAGTCCCTGTGATCAACATTGTGAAAGCTGTGAGTAATTTATTTTCTTTTAAAATGAATAATTTTTTCAGTTGTTAATGAACCATCTGTTCCAGTGATAACAGTAACCAACCCTAATTTTGTACAATTAAGTTAACACTTAATTATAAACAATTGTCATTGTATATTCACTTGCTGATACTAAACTTTCTATAATCACCAAAACCATGACTATAAGTGTAATGACATATACTGTATTTTTAAATTTCATGGCATGCTGCCATTGATTAGATTAGAGAAATAGTAGATTATTTACCAGTGAAGTCTGATTTTTAGAAGGTGATTGAGGAAGTTGCAAATATATTACTTCATTCACACTTTATGTGTAAAGGTTCCCTTTGTCTGCCCAAAAACAGTATTTTTAACCATATATTTAAAAACTGTCTTTATTTGCTACTAGCTGTTTTTCTGTTCCTTACAACCAGTTGCACAAACGGTGTGGAGCAATATCACTGATACAAATTTGACATTCATTAGAGTTTAAAAGCATAATTAAACCTTAGGCTGTGTCCCAATTGTATTGTGGTAGTATTGAAAATATTTGTAGCAGTTAAAAATATGGCCAAATCTTCATGCTAATTCAAAAGGGTTTATTGAATTTGTCAACTGCCTTTGTAGTTTTTCAGGATTATTATTTGATATTTTGCTGTAGATTTTTAAGTATTTACAGAGTGGTGTTAATTCACACTAAAAAGTTAAATAAAAAACAACATTTGCTTGTTTGCAGAAAATATGGTAGTGTTGGAGAAATTTAATCTGACTATCATTAAGAAATAATAATCTTTGGTTTCAGGGATACTACAAACTACTAGGGAAAGGCAAACTCCCCAAGCAACCAGTTATTGTCAAAGCAAAATTCTTTTCCAAATCTGCTGAGAAAAAAATAAAATCTGTGGGTGGTGTGTGTGTACTATCTGCATAAGTATAAATATATTTAAAAAGAAAAAAAACATTTTTTTATTTTTTATAAAATTAAATGAATAATATTAGAATACTGCTGATAAACCTAGATAAGAAATTAAAACATTTTTAGGACTATCTGAAAGTGATGGTATATGTTGAAGGATCCAATTAAAAATCTCAAAGCTTGTTTTTTTTTTTGCCTAATTCTAATAGTTCTACATTCAGTTCCTTTATAGGATTATTGGGATTTTTTCCAGTAGTTCCATGGGTCTGTGAATGTTATTTATGCCAGAGAAGATTCATTGCATTAGTTTGTTACCAAATAAATAAAGGAACCGATCCTTCTCATAAAGCTGACGATTCTTTTTCTAACAATTATTGTACTGTAATCCTGTTAAAGATTTATCCATAAGTCATAAGTATCCATAAGTCGTGTTTATTTTTGATGATAATGTTTGCTAATAAACAAGCAGATGATCAGATCTTTTACATTTGACAACAGCCTCATTGTGACAGTATTATTTAATAGAACAAATTTCGACTTGGTTATAGTCTTGTAACTAAAATGTAAGCAACCTGAATTTGCAAAATGTTACATGAAACTCCCAACATGAAATTTGGAGCAATTGCTATTTGTCACTTGGTTTTAAATTTATATTTTAAAAATATGAATTTGTAATTAGTATGGGAAAATATTTTGGACAATTCATAAGTATTTATTTCATATATATATATCGACGGCGAAGTGCCAATACCTCCTATCTAACATTTTTCGAGAAAATGACTTTTTTATTTCATTGACGTTAAGGTCGTTTTCCACATGGGTTCATGAAATCACCTAACCGTATTTTTTACGACAACTGGAGAAAAATGAATGTGGAAATAGCTTCTAACTAAATTAGCGTATATAATTTATGGCAATTTCTCCTATCTACGTACAAGACTACTACATCTCAACGCGGAACATTGCCGATTAACTTTTCACAGCAGCTGCCGCGCCGCGGCTCGTGATATGGGTGAAGTTAGCGGTAGGGTTGCGTCACGTCACTTGCGAGGGTGTAATATCAATCGTATGTACATGGCTAGCATAGCATGGAGGCGAAGACATAGCTGTCAGGTAATTTGAGGTACCTGAAGGACTCAATATGCAATATACCAATCCTGGGGATGCCTACTGACACCATGCCCCCGAGAATCGATTCACACAGGTCATATCTTGTGGAGATACCCACCAGGGACGACTGGTCAAACAATCGTATAGTATGGAAAAATGGAAGCCTAAAGTGGTACACTGACGGCTCCAAATCCGGTCCTGAGGTAGGATGTGGAATTCATGGAGAAGCCCCAAGGAAGGCTATAAGTCTGAACATGGGAAAGTACTCCTCAATATTCCAGGCAGAGGTGTACGCCATTTTGGAATGTGCGGCAGCCAATCTGCAAAATAACTACCTCAATCATACTATCTACATCCACTCTGATAGTCAAGCTGCACTCTTAGCACTAGCTTTCGACATAACTAGATCGAAGCTGGTAGAGAACTGCAAACAGACATTGAACTCTTTGGGCAACAACAACAAAGTAGTTCTACGATGGGTTCCAGGTCACGCTGGACACAAGGGCAATAAACAGGCGGACAAACTGGCGAAGAAGGGTGCTAAAGACGCCCTTATCGGACCAGAACCTTTCTGTGGCATCCCTCAAAGCCTAACCCAGCTCACCTTGAAAACATACTGCCACTACGCAGCTATTCAACTATGGAGAAACACTCCCGGTATGAAACACTCTAAGACCCTGATTAAAACCTTTAACAAAAAGGCGGCATCAGAGGCCTTAAACTTAACCAAAAATCACCTTTGCACACTAGTACGAGCACTCACAGGGCATTGTGGACTAAACAGACACATGTATAATATGGGGATCAGCGGCAGTAGAATGTGCAGAGGATGCAAGGAGGAAGAAGAAACACATTTGCACATTTTGACCGATTGCCCGTCACTAATGCAAAAACGATGTATCTATCTGGGAAAGCACGTGATGCACCCAGACGATATTAAAGAACTTACGGCCAAGAAAATACTACAGTTCCTTGTAGAATGTAATCTTGACCGTGAACTGTAGTATGTGGAGATCACAATAGATCGGCAATGGTCGCAGTGATACTGGGCTGCATAAACCCAAGATAATCCGCAACTCGAAACAATACAACAATATCAATCGTAAAAGCAATTGAAGAAACAAATTGCTCTAATAATTGAGCTAGGCATTTTACATTACTTGGTTCTTCATCCTTGTACTTGATAAAAATGGCTTATAACTGGAGAAATTATTTTTCCTTTTCAGTACCTACCATAAAGAGTGCCCCCAAACCATAGTATTAACATTTAGCCTAAATTTTCTCTAGCCATTCTTCCTGTTGTATACATAGATTTATTATGTAACTTTTCTCATACCCTATAAATTATAGTTATGAAGTCCTAAGCATAGTTTTTGTATATAAAAGGGTTCATTTCCAGGAGTACATTTAATCATAACATAATTTCGTTTTCAAATTTTATTCTAAGCTTGTAATACAGGACGTTCATTTTTGCCTTCTAGATTTGTATTTGTAAGAGCATATCCAGTGCCACCCCTTTGTAATGGTATAATGTCTTTCTCTTTAAGTTTCTCTCCAGTTAAAGGGTGTATCCAATCTTTTTTTATTATCTTTTCAAAGCATTCCATTGTTATAACATGTCCAGTTGGTCTGTAAAACAATATAGAAAATTTTCAAACATAAAGCATAATAGATTTCAAATATAACCTATTATTTCCCATTTGCACTCACTTTATTACAGCACATGGTACTGCATTACTCAAAATGTCATGAGTTACAGGACACATGTATCTATTTTCTTTTGCTATCAGTGACTTCTTATCATCAGGATCGTTTACAAGAGTCCAGTTTACTTCTATAAGATCTTTCATTTTCAATGGCTTCCCACTGATAGGGCAATAAACTGTAGGATCTGGTTTCTGTATCTTTGATATTTTAGCATCAGGAAGTTGTGAAGGAACCCAAAAACTAGGCAACTGCTTGTCTTTCCCATTGGCCAAGTTAGATATTGAAGATGAAGTAGATGGTCCAGGTTCACTAGTATCACGACTAGATATATTCTTCTCCCTGTTCATAAATTTAATTAAATTTGCCTCCTTTTCTGCTGTTGCGAGCTCAGCCTTTTCGACCTCTTCCTTTTTTAACTGCTTTTCAAATTGTTTGAGTTTACGATTGTATTCATTTTTCTTCGTTATTATAAACTCAAGAATTGCTTCTTTATCAAATAAATAGCCTTCTTTAGTGACTACAGGTTTCCTACAAGGTTGTAATGTTAGACTGCAACAGTCAAAGTTTTTCACTGAATCTTTACCAACTCTTTCACTCTGCGTTCCATAACCGGAAGCAGCGGCATCTTTTTTCTTTTCGTGATAAGTGTATACCGCACCTGCTGTACAATTTCTAGCATGTCGAGTCATAATTTCCACGTCGTATTTAAAAAATCAACATCACTCGTAGAAGTACATACATGAGCACAAATCTGTAATCACCACAGACTTGGTAGGTATCAGACGACCAACTTCCTAACAAAAAATTTCTTCGTAGAACGTGATTGGGAGCCAGTGATACATGACAGCTTCATTCGTTTTAAATATCTATCGGCAAAGGCATTTAGCTATGCAGCCTTGTTTTGGGTAGGTACCTAGCAGTCTTCCTAGTTTCCACATTATTTTTACTTTAATTTAAATTCCTTTTTTGTTAAAGCAGACTGATAAGTCTAGCTTATTATTATTGTTGTATTAAAACAAAAAAGGAAAAATGAACACGTAAATAAAACACACATTTTTCCAATATTATTTATTGAATAATTTATTTTTTAACTTATTATATTTTTCACAGCTCTCTTCTGCATTCTCGGCAATTCCTAGCTACGTTTTTTTAGTGGCACAACCTTATGAAACTTTTCAAGGTAATCACAATTTTTTTTAAAGAGGGCACTGATTTTTGCATACCTTTTTATACACATATTTAAGTTTTTCTAAAATTTCAATTGCCTTTGGCCAGAAAGAATGATGGTGTGTCTTATCTGTCACAGCTCTTTTCCTTTATGCTTTTTTTGTTTATCGATGCTCCATTGACACTATCAAATAATTGATCAAAGAATGAAACAACTTCAGCTGCATTTCTTAATGTTGTGCACATCCTCATAAGTTGCTGCAAATTAAAATATTCATATAATAATTGTATGAAACTTGATTCAAAACAATTAACTGTTAGTAAATTTCATCTAATACTCATAGCAATTTGCATTGTAAGACAAAGCTGCAGACATATTTTTACACAATTTTTTACCTGCAAAAAGAGATATCATAGTTAAAATTATCTTCATTAAAGAATCATTATTGTAATTTAAGTGTAAACTATATTAACTACTTGTTACATAATTAAATATACAGGTCATTGAATCAACACTTGCTCTGATAGAGAATATAGAAGCTGAATACAAATTATATATTTTATTTTTACTAATTTAAGTTATACTAATATAATAACCAATGCATTACCTTCATCTTTTTAATTTTATCAGGTATAACTCATTTTGAAGTTTTTTGGCCACATCTCCAGGAAAGAAAGTGACTCCATTGAACGTCTTGTAGTGCAGGGCAGAGTGGAGGGTACCAGACCCCGTGGTAGATCTCCCATGCGATGGACTGACCAAATAAAAGCAGCTGTGGGTGGCCAACTACATGAATGCACCAGAATGACGGCCAACAGAGCGAAATGGCGAGAGATAGTGCACAAACTATCAAAGACAAGGAACGAGACAACATGATGGCCACGACCGCTCTGTCAAGAGCGTAACGATAGAGAAGAAGAAGAAGATAACTCATTAGTCATTTAATTTATGACATAGCCCAGCTTCAGTGTGTTGGAAGTCTGTCTCATAGACATAAATAATATCATGCCTTTTTGCAAGTTTACCACCAAAATTATTCCTGATACATTTTATCAAGTGTGTAGAATCATAATGTTCAAATCCACCCCACATATTTTAAGAATGCCAACTGAAACAAAAATTTAAGAACTTCTTAAAACATAGATAACAATATAAAAATAAGAACCTTCACTACTTTCATTAAATCTATTAGTTTTCTTTCATATAAATATAATTCTCTGTACCAACCTGTGATTTCAATTTAAAATTTGATCACACTAAGTGTCTTCTTTTAGATTTTTGAGTGCTGATTGGAAAGCTGAGCCTTGGTCATATATTATTGCGATGGGATTAAGGTCTAATTCAACAACTTTTTCTACTACTAACTTTAAAATATTCTTGATGTACAGTAGATGTCGCTCCTTGACAGAAATAAATAAACATAAAGGCTGTTGCGACTTGTAAACAGCACCAACATAAATACAAGAGTATGATCTGCGAAATCCACTTTCTTTTCTTGGTGTTCTACAAATCCATTAATGTTATCTTTAATCCTTATTACTTTTATTATACGAAAGTGCTGTTTCTAATGACATCTCATCAAATATAATGGAGAATATTTTTATGGAGTTTCATTTCTCCACCTGAAAAAGTAAATTCAAATAGTAGTAGAAAAAGAAAATATTATTATTTGGTAGTAATACATAAAATTATAAAAGTGGTATGAAAAAACTTATATGGCATATATTTACCTCTTACATGAAGCCTGGTTCTATGATCAATTTTCTAATCATAGTATTCAGTGTAATTTTGGATGATAAAATAAAAAATTTTGCTTAAAAATCAATAACACTGGACTCTGCTTTGATATTGATAAAGCAATTATCTTTTCTTCGGTAGTGAATCACCTCTCATGTTTATTTTTAGAGCACATGCTCACATGCATTTCAAAAACATTTTTGCAACTGTGTTCATTTAAAGTTAAACTACGTCTTTGGCTTGTTATATTCTTCATAAATTCTCTGGTATAAAGGTGACAATTGGCTTTATTTGGTAATAAGCCTTTTCCTTTTTGTTTTGGTACATTTCACAGGGTCTGTAACATCAAAAGTATTCAGTGAATTTCTCTATTAGAACTACTATTTGATTGAAATAAAGATACACTAAAGAAAGAGACAGGTCTTACCAGATAGTTCAGTTTGTCATATTTTAATCTCTAGAGCAAGCAACTAATTGAGTAAACTCAGTGGCTGCAGACACAGGAGTCTCAATTTGTTCTTTTAAAATTACACTACCTATGAAATCAATATTGATTATGTGTGTAAGATTAAAAAACAGGATATAATCTTAGATGATATTAGAAATATGTTATTTATATTATCAATTTTTTCTCTGATCAAAATCACTTCTAGCGTGCCCGCTAGAGTTAAGTAACTTAATGTAATTTTTCTTTATATGTGTAAGAAAGAGAGATCTACTAAGACTTTTTTAAGTAAAAATCTATATTAAAATACACCAAAACTGCAGCATGAACTTTGTTATCTAAATAAAGTAAATTAAAAACAAACCTCTGTTCAGTTCCACTTTCTAATATGTGTGGTCAACATGACTTTTTCTTGCATAGCTGTGTTCCCAAGTGAATATAATTTCTGTAATAAAAAAAATCTAATGAAGAATAGCTGTATTCCAAAACACAACATAAAGTGAAGATACATATCATTTTAATTACATTATCTAAAGGTAATAGCAGATTAAACCAGCCTTACCAGTATTGCTTGAAGAAGGTAGGCTGATTGAGAGCCCATCATCATTAAACAATGACGGATATGCATCACTCAAGAGTCATGATTTTGGAGTGATGAATCTTGGTACATCGTGTTTGCTACAAATGACACTTCTGCCTGGATTAAAATTTTCAGTATCACACACAGCACTAAAACATTGTAACCACTTGGAGAATCTTTACTCGTTCACTAGAATCTTACAAAGAATAGCGTCCTGTTCGTACTTTAACAATGCGTGTAACACAACCATAACATAACACATCAATTTCTTAGGCATCTTCTACAAATAAAAATACTTCTAAAAATTGAGAGTTTATATTACAAATAAAGCGAACAGGGTAAGCACAAAAGAAACTTTACTCAATCACTTGTAATTCCCTGATATGTAGGTACATACTTAAGACTTCTTCTTCTTTTATTAATGGCATATCAGCGCATTTCACACAATTTTGCCAATGTGAAATGAATAAATTAATTCCAACAAGTAAAATTAATTAAAGATTAATTAAAACATTAATACCTTTACTCTTTGTTGTATTGACAGTTTCTGTCAGGTGTCATGTCTCCATCTACTGACAGGGGTGAGGGGCGTGTGGAAATGTCATACATCACTGGACCCCTACGATTGGTTTAATGTACGGAGTTGACGGGCCGTGGTAATCACAATAAAAGTAATGGTGTGCGGAATCGATTACCATTGATCGATTAATCGATTTTTCAAATAATCGATTGTTATCGATTATGATTTCATAATCAACGATTAACCATCGATTATTTCTTAAAATGTTAGCAATAGGAATAGTTTAAAACGTTAGTATAGTACCTACTTACTTTACTTCGATGGCTTAGCAACCCAAAGCGGATCGCGAGTGTAATTATTATTAGTAGATATTCTATTACTTATTATGGCAACCCTGGAATACTCCCACGAACAAATAGGTAACTTTACTCTTTGGTTGGGGAACTCCCGATGATTGAATGAACGGATCTTAGTTTTATTTTAACAAATACAAATTAACCGTTATTTCACCACGTTTATTTCACCACCACGACCACGTTTCGCTTCCGTAGTTCATCACTGGCAACACACACTGATTTAGACCTTGGTCTTGAGATACTGTGGTAATTTGGACGCGAAGATTTTTTGTAGCTTTGTTGTGTATCTTGTTATGAATTAAATATCTTGTTTAATTGACATAGTTTTTTATTCACTGAATCACATAATTTACTTTTACATTGAATCACTCTATTTGAAAAATTACTAAGGGAAAATATATATACGTCTATATCCAAATGGCGGCGGCGGTGTTACCACAGACAAATATCTTACATTTTCCACAAAATATACTACAAGCTTCCCGAACGCTGCCCATCCGAGCTGAATCCGACGAGAGATCTCTTTCTCGAAGTTGGACTTGCCTAGTTGGACTGTCTGTCTTAGGTACACATAACGGTCGACAACTTCAAGAGTAGTATTCCCAATTTTAACTGGAGTGGGTACAACATGGACGTTTGACATGATTTTCGTCTTATCCATGTTCATCTTAAGACCCACTCTTTGAGATGCACTACTGAGATCTTCAAGCATATTGTTCAGGTCTTCAAAGGTCTCAGCCATTAGGACTACATCATCAGCAAAGCATAGGTGTGTAAGATACTCACCATTAATATTGATGCCATATCCTTTCCAATCCAGAAGCTTGAAAATATCCTCCAATGTAGCGGTGAATAGCTTTGGAGAGATAACGTCTCCCTGCCTTACGCCTCGCTGCAATTGAATAGGATTAGAGTTCTGGTT